AATACAAGGTGGAAAAAAACAAAAACAAGGCAAAAGAATAACAAAAGCAGAAAAAAGACAAGGCAAAGGCAAAGAAAAGATAAAACAGAGCAAAGGCAGGGCAAAGGCGGGGCAAAGGCAGAACAAAGGCAGGGCAAAGGCAGGGCGAAGGCAGGGCGAAGGCAGGGCAAAAGCAGGGCAAAGACTGGGCAAAGGCAGGGCAAAGGCAGGGCAAAGGCAGGGCAAAGGCAGGGCAAAGGCAGGGCAAAGGCAGGGCAAAGGCAGGGCAAAGACTGGGCAAAGGCAGGGCAAAGGCAGGGCAAAGGCAAAGGAAAAGGCAAGGCAAGGCAAGGCAAGGCAAGGCAAGGCAAGGCAAGGCAAGGCAAGGCAAGGCAAAGCAAGGCAAGGCAAGGCAAGGCAGGGCAAAGGCAGGGCAAAGGCAGGGCAAAGGCAGGGCAAAGGCAGGGCAAAGGCAGGGCAAAGACTGGGCAAAGGCAGGGCAAAGGCAGGGCAAAGGAAAAGGAAAAGGCAAGGCAAGGCAAGGCAAGGCAAGGCAAGGCAAGGCAAGGCAAGGCAAGGCAAGGCAAGGCAAGGCAAGACAAGGCAAGGCAAGGCAAAGGCAGGGCAAAAACTTTTTTTGTACACAGTTGGTATCCTGACTGTCAAATTTTTGTAGAGATAAATTTTTTCTCTAATCTCTCCTTTTGCCCAGCTTAGGCCTTCTAAAACTATACGTAAGGTTCAACCTCAAAAAAGTTCTTAATCAAAAACGTACGTAAACTTTCACTTACAATAAGCTACGTATATTCTCACTGATTTCTAAACTATATTTAAATCTACATCAAATGTCTATATACACATTTTATAAATATAATAAGAACGTAACGATGCCATTTCCTGTGATTTGGCAATAGTAACATTACGGGATAGTTTAAGTGACACTTTTTATTAAAGCTTCAAAACACGGAAGTATTGGATGGTACACACTTTTAAGTCTTAATGAAAGTACGTTCGAAATTGCTTTATAACATGGAAAACTCGATATTAAAAGTGTGTTAAGACAGATTTAAAAGCAGCTTGGCAGAAACTAATCTTTCAAACGTTGTTAACATTAAATTACGTTTTAATTGTAAGAGGGGAAGGGAGAAAGAAAGATAAAGCTTAAACTTCTCTACCCTGCCCTGCCATATCCTACCTTACCCTATCCTACCCTACCTTACTCTATCTTATCCTATCTTACCTACTCAACAAAAAACGATCTAAATAAAAAATTTTAACTTTAATACCTATCTTACACATAAACAACAGCTTTTTAAAATTATGAAAATTCCACAAAGTCTAAGTGTCTACCTATATGTTTGTGTAAGCAATCCCCACACAGAAAGTGTAATTCATGCAAGGACACAAAGTGTTAATGAGACTTTGTTTGTCAAGCCAAATATAAACTTTGAAGGTGTATTTTTAGTAGAATTGCTATAGAAATGACATGATAATGTAGTAGTTTATGGTGATTTAAAACAGCTAGAAGAAGTTATCATAAATGACTTCATTTGCTATTAAAATTGTAGAAAAACTTGAGATTTTAAAAGATATTGACTACAAATAAACAAAATGTAGCTGAAGCTTGTTTTTCTTATTGAGAATAAGAAATTTGAAGTTTAGTGGAAGCGAAAGTACAAAATGTTTAAAATTCTGGCCAACAAAGTTAATAGAGTATATAAATTTAAAATTTAACTTGTAGAAATAACTCTGTAGATTATAAATGTACTGAATACTAATCTACTCATCTATGTATAACCTACTGTTTCTTTGCAAAAGAACCATAAATAAGTAGTACAATAAATCAGATGTTCTTCTGCAACATTTTGTAAAACAAAAAGTCAAGGTAAACTGAAAAAATCACGTTTTTTCTTAATTCGGCCATGAAGTTGGAAACGGGGCCGCTACCTTCAAATTTTTGATTGGGTCAAACAAAATTTAAATTTTTTTGACCGTACCAGACCACGTATTGCAACAGGCGTCGCAACCAAGATTGAACGCAGGGCAGGTTATTAGAAATTTTCCACAAACGGTCATGTGCCGTACTATTTTCTACCTGTACATGACATAGTACATTACTTTGTTTCGTGCTCTTTTGTTCTGACAAATCAAACACAAAAAAGTTTTTGTTAGTAAAAAAAGGCATTGCTTATGCTTTGCCCTATCCTTGCAACTCATCTTTAAATCATGATGTTCTACCTTGCTCTGACATGTTACAGAACAAAGCACAAAACACCCTGACCTTTGTCCAAGCGTTTCCATTAAACCTTTAAAAATTGATAGTTTATAGAACAAAAAGATACAATATCATTATGCATTGTACTTTATCGACTAAACTATCAAAAATTTTAACAAATCTATTCCAAAATCGACAACAATTTTTGAATTTTTACTAGAGCGGTTCGGCCCGCTAAAGTCACAACCAAAATCGCAGTACAAAAGTGTTTGACCGGGCTGAATCAATTTTTAAAAATGCTTATCTAGACTGGCAGCTACCTCTATCTATCCTCTCTTAACACATTTTTTGAATAATCTCTTCCCCACCATTCCTTCTCCTCCTCTTCTTTAGCTTATCCCAGTCCTATGAGCTATTTACAATACAATATATATTTCATTGAACCACCTATTGTACATTTAAACTAATAACACTCTGTATTACATAGAAATCTCCGTAACACTACATAAGCAAAACAATAAAACAATAAAATGTAATAAGGTTTCAAAGCCCAACAGAGGTGACATCGTACGGCTTCTAACCTGTTTACCAATGAACCAAAATGAGGGTTAATAATGAAAATTTCACAAGTATCCGGTGTTTAACACTTGTGATGTAATGAGAGGAAAAGATTAATGGATTAGCGAAGGCTTATCACAATTACAGTTCTGAAAAAATTACTCTTAGTTTGAGGTAGTGCCGTGCCACGTAGACATACTTGTGACTATACGTAATTTAGGTATTAGTATGGGTGTGAAACTTACGTTTATACTATCAAAACTTCAACTTTTTTGACAAAAGTAGCTAAAAATAATCAATAAATAAATTAAAAGTTTTGTCGTTTTTTCCAATGAAAACATATATAAATCGACGACAAAACTTATTTGCTACCTTCATTTGTCACTCCAAAGTTTGGATTAAAATCTCCTGCCAATGTTAAACTCTCCAGCTTTTGTATTTTAAAGATTCGAAGATTAAAAATAGCTTCTTTACTTTCTTAAAACAAAAAAAAAACCAAATGAAAGAACGCTCAGATCTGAGTGTGACTCAGCCCGTTGAGAACGCATATGGACATCCGCGTCTTCAGCTGACTCTACGCACAGCCACAAAAGAAGTAAAAGTTTAATGGCGCAGAATTAAGAATGTTTTGGATAGGTTAAAGTCCAATGTTTTGTAGTATTTTATTTCTTTTGTTCTTGAAAAAAATAAAAAAAATATTTATGTAGTAAGATTTTCAAGGCAGTTGCACAAAATAGTTTTGAAACTTTAGAACAAGATCTATATAAAACGGTAGTTTATTATACATTTTTAACTTTAAATTTCACGCGGATTCAAAGTTTGTTGTCAAATCTTAAAAATATTTTAAAATAAAAAAGTTACAAATTTTCAAAATTTAGTGAGGCTTCTATAATACATGTCATACAAGAAAGACGAACCGAATATCTTTTATAACGTAGGATAGGGTAAATTCAGTTAAAAAAGAGTAAATTTGAATAAGGTAAATTAGGATAGGGTAGAATAAAGCAGAGTAAGGTAGAATAAAGTAGAGTAAGATAGAGTCGAGTATGTGATAAGGTAAGGTCCGGTAAAATGAAGTAAAGAAAGCTAGGGTAGAGTAGGATAATAGAGAGTAGCGTAAAATAAGGGAGTCAGGACTTTTTGGGGCGGGGAACTTTCGGGGCGAATAAGTTGGGGGCCGGAACTTTTGGGGCAGAATAAGGTGCATTAGCCTTAGTGTTAGCCTTAGACAGTATAATCACTTGTTTTGACTTGAAGAGTATCTGTGATGAATCTTTTCGTAGTTACTAAATCACAAGCAATAACTTTTTCATTTTAAGTCTTAACATTTCAAAAAAAATGTTCTATTTTATTTTTATTGTGTTGCTAATCAAATTTCGAACCCTTGTATCAAATTTTTTGAGAACAAGCTTGCACAAGTCAATTAGTGATTTATGTATAAACTATTTTTTATCAAGAGAATTATGCGACTAAATTTGTTGACTGATAAGGAATTGCTTAAAAACGTGTTCCGAGGAGGAACTATTGAAACAAAAAAACAACAAACTACACAATACATTCGCTACAATCACTGATTTCTACAACATTTCAACACTATCACTGATTTCAAACACATTTCTGTACTATCACTGACTTTAAACTTGTTTCTGTGCTATCATTGATTTCTATAACATTTCTATACTATTAACGATTTCTAAAACGTTTCAACACTATCACTATTTGTCTCCAGGCTTGTGTTTCGGAAAATGCCATTTCTTATTGTATCTAAGGTTGTTGTTTTGTTCGAACGTTCTGATTAACATTGTAAGGCTAGTCTTTTGAACATTGATTATTTTTATAAATACAAGCAAAATCGTTTAGAAAACTTTCTGTCGTCAACAATATTGTTTATATGGTGCAAGCCTACGCCTTAGACTTGCTGTTTCTATTATATTAGTAGTTTCATCGTTATTTCAATGATTGCAGGAATATTTTTCTTATGCCTTGAATATTAATTCTTAACTTACATAATAGTTTTAATAGTATTTGCTGCGGTTATTACTACTGTGATATCAATTACACCGCGCTTATTGATAATCTTGTATCATAAACGTTCTATTATTTATATTTCAGGAACCACAACGTATCTAAAACGACTAAAAAGTAAAGTTTTTAGCTGAAAATTACAGCTACTGTACCACAAGTATCACACCAACTACAGTACCACAACTACCACAACCATAAGTCATTGTCTATGCTATAACAAGTCATGTTCGCGACCAATATACAAAAGCATTTTTTTACTTTACACTACATAACAATACTATTCATAATATTATCAGTAACAACAGCCAAAGACCACAAAGAATGTATTCCACTAGAAGGTCTAGCCCCAGGCTACATTGCATGCGTGTGTAACGCAACATACTGTGATAATATAGAAGACTATGGTAAACTAAAGCCAGATGAGTTTGCTGTATATGAATCTAATGAAGATGGCAAAAGATTACAATTGACTGTTGGCAAGATTGGAGAGAAGTTAAAGTTCCAGACAAAACAGGATAGTCGTAAGTGTTATGTTATAAGAACAATGTTTTTTGAAATCTGCCCTAGCTGTAGCCCTATCCTACTCTAGTAGACTTGAAAGAAGAGCCACTAGACCGGGCCACAGCAGCTTTGAAAAGGGCCAACCAAGGCCCGGACCCTTTACAGGTCTACACCGTAATTCTCTCCCAACTTCACCCTAACCTTATCATAGCTTTGAAAAAATGTAAAATACGGAGGGAAAGTCGCAATTGATTAAACATTTATTTTTTTCAGAAAAAATAGTCATAAAAATTGACCCATCCACAACACATCAAAATGTGATAGGCTTTGGCGGGGCTTTCACTGATGCCGTTGGAATAAATTTAAAAACAGTGACAAAAGAGTTACAACAACAGCTGCTTGAGCAATATTTCGGAAAAGAAGGTAAGTTTTTTAAAAATATAAATAAAAAACGGAAAAAGTTTTTTAGGCTTAGTTCTAGCTTTAGATCTAGCTTTAGCTCTAGCTCTAACTTAGCTTTAGCCCTAACCCGGTATTATACAATCATTACATTAGCCACTAACTCATAAAAAATTACCGTGTATTTGAAAGCAACTCGGCCATAGACTGAACTATGTTTTGATTCATTGACAGTGTAAACTGTGTAAACAGCGACCGAATTATCTCTAAACTTTGGCCTTGGGAACAAAGTTGAATGTTTGCTGTTCGAAATTACTAAAGATGACAATTCAAACACTAAAAAACTGTTTGAGTTTTGTTGATTTTTTGTCTTAACGCTACTTGGACGTGTGTTGAATTGGTTTGTCACAAGGCGTTTCAATTTCTATTTAAACTCAAGTTTAAACGAAAAAAAAAAATAAAAAAAAATTTTAAATTTCAAAAAAAATTTGAAAAAAATCTCGAAAGTTCAAATTTCAAAACATAAGATGAGAAAGACCCCTAAAGTATTAGAAACCAATTTTTCTTAATTTGAACCCCCATTTTCAAGGCATTGGCTACACAATGAGTCGAGTGCCAATTTCGTCGACCGACTTCTCAATGGAAGCCTACTCTTACCTTGATAAGCCTAACGACTTCAACTTGACCACCTTCCGGCTACACAAAGCTGATTATGATCTGAAGATACCATTTATAAAACAGGCTGAAGAGATTTTGGGAACACCATTGAACTTGGTGGCTTCACCGTGGTCAGCTCCAGCTTGGATGAAATCAAATGGCAAAATGGTCAATGGAGGCTTCTTGAAAGGCACTTGTCCTGGAGAATACTTTGAGACTTGGGGCAAGTATTTTATTAAGTAAGTTTGTGTTTTATACCTAAAATCAGATCTGAAAAAGATTTTAATTAAAAATGTGCTCATACCTTACAATGGAAGCTTGACTGCACCTTGCAAATCGGTCATAACTTTTCCATTCTTAAACATTTTTAAGACAGAGTATTAAATTTATGATCAGCATAAAAGTCAGCTTTAAAAATGTAAATTTTAGACATATTTTGCAACTTATAGTTTTCTTTGGCATTCCGCTTCAGCGAAATTCGCGAAATTTTTCGAAAGTCCAAAGATAATATTCTAGGCCAATATCCTTGTTTTCTTTATCAATTTGAAAGGTAAATGTTGTCTATTATCTGTATAATACTATTGATTTCTTCACACTTTCTGGATTTCATGAAATTTGTACTTTTCACATTGTTCTAGTTCGTTTTTTCTCGCCATTTTGGTAGTCTACGAGATTCAAGCTATAATAAAATTCAGAGTCAGTTGGTAATTAGTTTATTTTATATTCTTTTTGCTGTTTTAGGTAAAGAGATGTTTTTCAACAAATTGAAACTGTTCCTCATTGTTTAAGCTTACGTTTGCGTTGAATAACACCTGGATATTGTTTTAGCGAAATTTTTAGGTAACAATTGAAAGTTGGGCAAGTGTTAGGCTTCAAAACAGCGAACTTGTAAGTAAAAGGGCATAATAGGTTTCCTGATTAATTCTTTGTCTTTCTAACTTTAAAATACGTCAAATTTCAAAACATATACCTAAAAACGTCATTAAAACAACATAAGAATGTTGATCCAAGCAAACCATAGGCAAAAACTAAGGAATAGTTATCAATTTGTTGAAAAAGAAATTTCTCGTACCTAAACCAACAAAAACAAAGTAAAAAAATTACTAACCGACTCTGCTCATAAAGACGATGTTGTTGTAGCTTGAAGTTTGCGAAAGCTTGCCAAATTTCACAATTTATTGTACCAAAAGTGGTATAACATGTTCTATAGCTAGATTTACGTTTTCTAAATGTTGAAAAGCTTTTTTCAGATTTTTCGACGAATACCATAAGAATGGCATTGATTTCTGGGGTCTAACAACTCAAAATGAACCCACGAGCGGATTGGTCCCATTTTACCCATTCCAAAGCATGTATTTGAGCGGAGAAGATCAACGGTAAGACTTCTTTTCTCTTTTTCATTACTTTATATTATTTTTAGGATGTGTGTCATGAAAAAGTTGTCATTAAGAGCAATATTGAGTTGGCAAAAAACTCCTGTCGTCAATTTATATTGTAGTTCAGGTTTCAAAGTGACAAAACTTTTGTTTTACTTCAATATACCTCCTTGTTGTAATTTAATACCCTTGATTTCAGTCAATTCGTATCGACTTATCTTGGGCCTTTCCTACAAGCCTCTAACTACACCAAGCATCTGAAGGTAATGATAAACGATGATAACGTGGAAAAGCTTCCGAGCTACGTAGAGAAAGCCTTCGACGATCCAGAATCTTCAAAGTACATTCACGGCGTAGCAATTCATTGGTATCACTCGGAGGTATCGGATATGGATCGGCTACAACAGACTAGCGAGAAGTACCCTGAAAAGTTTATTTTATCGACCGAAGCTTCGACCGGCGTTGGTTTGTGGGATAAAGGGCCTTTATTGGGGATGTGGCAACGTGGAGTACGGTACATGAGGGACATTATTGATACGATGTCAAGGAATACGATCGGATGGATTGATTGGAACTTGTGTTTGGATCTGACTGGAGGGCCGACTTTTGTGGATAATAGGGTGGATTCGGCGATTATTGTGGACAAGGAGAAAGGGGTGTTTTATAAACAACCCATGTTTTATGCTCTGGCTCATGTGAGGTGAGGATAGCTTATATTTAAAGAGGGCGGGTGATTTTGGTTTGGAAGAGGCTAACAATTTTGTTATTTGTTATTTGAAAGACAATTTGTATTTTAAAAAATTCAAATTCAAAGGCAAAAATTCCAGTAAATTCGTTCCATCCCATTCATATCGTATCGAGCATGAAGTTATCGACCTTCCACCTGAACACGACTTCAGATCAATCGCTTTTCAAACTCTGGACAACAAAAGAGTGTTGATCATAAGCAATGACAACTACTTTCATACGTTTGATGTTCAAATCAAAGATCCGAAGAGCTCGAAGAGTATCTATTATACTATTGGGCCTAAGAGCTTTACTACTATTATTTGGAACAAGCCTTAAAGTTTTAGTTTAGTCAATATTTATTTGGAAATTGCAACATAAATTTTTTGATGTTCAATTATGAAGGAGCTAAATGTTTTTTTTAGAAATTAAAAATAAAATTTTAATAAAAACCTTTAATTAAATTTTAAAAATATGAAAACCTGACTAATTGACATCTCATACATATAAAACTAACACAATGTGCATTCTGATAAGAGTCGGAGGAGTTTTTGTAAAAGTTCGGAAACAAATGTTATACGTCAAAAGACTGGCCTTTTCACGCCCTTATAATCTTTTTTGCATATATATTATATATATTGTAGTACTTTGAAGGTTATTTTCCGGGAATAAAGCTTGAGGGAAGGGGGTGGGGTATGATTGGGAAAATCATTCTTACCTAGGTCTGTAAATGGAGTCAAAAAGTAAGGAAGGGGGCCCAAGCCGAGTTTGAGGTTGGGCTTAGGAGACTTCTTTTTAGGTCTAGACTCCTTGGCAATCCTTTTTTGAAATTTGCCTTTAGGGATTTTTTTAGTGAGGGAGGAAAACAAAAATTTTGACCAAGGATAACTTTTTTCAAAAAAATTATTTTGAGCTGGTAAGAATTAAAAATATTTTTAAAATTTTCACAAATTTTTTTTTGTCTAAGAACTTAATAGCCAAAACAATAAATAATTAATATTTAAGCCACGTACAAATTGAAACGATTTCTTAGTTGGAATTTTGAGACAAAACGCGTGAAACCATGGTTTCCCACTCCTAAAACACAATGTTTGTTTAGCTAAAAAGTGGGGGAAAACACCAAAGTTATGGATTTACACAAAAGGACAGGGATTAATTAGACTTTTTTTATTATATAATATGAACTCTTATAAGTTTTTAGGAGGGGGGGGGGCTGGGCGGATGAGGGTGAAACGGGGGATGGTGTACCAGTAGAAAAGTGAACATGTAGATTACATTAATGCTACTGCCTACAATTTCCGCAACAAGCCGATTATTGTTGTACAATCTGTTGTTGCCGTTGAGAAGCTTTTGTAGGCCAGAGGCTTTGTTTTTGGGTTTTCAAGGGCAGGTTAGAGTAGGATACTGTACAGCAGGTACTGTAGGATAAGCCAGGGCAGAATAAGGTAAGATAGGGTAAGGTTGAGTAGGGTGCAGTAGGGTAAGATATAGTAGGGTACTGTAGTGTAGGGCAAGGTAGGATCAGGCCCGGGCAAAGCAGGAAAAGGCATAACACGGCAGGAAGAACAAGGTAGAAAAGGGTAGAGTATGGTAGGGTAGGGTAGGATAGGGCAAGGTAGAACGAGAGTAAAGCGAGGGTAGGGTAGGGTAAGATAGCATGTTTTCGGGTCGAGTAGGCTTAATATATTGAGTTATTGTCTGAAAAGCGTTGTTATTGATACGTTTCATTGTGTGTATATTAACATTCGTAGCTTAAAAAAACCGTTTATTAATGATGTCAAAGCTTTTTTTGATTAAATTAAATTTTTTTATGTTAAGCCTTTTGTTTTTGGTTTTCGTTTTCTAAAATGATTTTTAAAAACTTACAATCAAGAATTTAGTACTTTGTTGGAAGCGCTGAATTCGTACTTTTTCTGTGTAGGGGGTGCACTTCCTTTGTGTGGGTGTGCTTAACTATGTAAATAGTATACTTTTATTTGGTACTAGCTTTGTATTACAGTGAACCATCTTTAGTATGACTCAGGATAGGCTGCCGCTCTCTTTATAATGACAGTCTTTTGACCGCCGTTTGTAATAGAACTCCTCAAAAAGTGACTTGGTGGTGGGAAAATTGGTTAGAAAGACAGGTTTGGACCAGACTGTTGAGTATCATATTAAAAAGGTTTTACTGTACTTAAAAAGGATTGAAACTACAAAATTTTTGTTTTCGTATTGTACTTTTCCTTAGTAAAACATGTTAAGATTTTTTTGATATACATGCTTTTTGTTATACAGTACTCTCTCTATATAAGCAACCCGAAGGGACCGACATTTTGTGTTTACTATAGGGAGTGTTGTCTTTACAGAAAGACTTTTTAGTGCAAATTGACTTTGCAGAGCCAAATTTCTTGTTTACTGTAAGGAGAGTTGCTTACACAGATGGTTCACTATATAGAGAGATCACTGTACAAGCGTTTTATATAATGAAGTTCTAATGTATTATATTGTTGTTTCCGCTCATACATATATTAATAGATGATATCAAAACAAGTCGATGTAACTTCGAAACAAACTTCTAAATATAAAAAAAACGAAGAGGAGCGATATAATGAGTGAGGGACGATTCGTAATCAAGATTTAAAAACCGGGTTTGAATTGAAGATTTGAATAATTTATTTTGAAGAAAGTGATTTAGCTCTGATTTCTAATACTTTAAATATTGAGAGTTTGTTCTACTTTAGAATTAAATTATGAAGAAGAGTGGATATTTTTGAAATTTTTTGATTTTTGGAAGGAAGTGTGCTGTCAAGACGGTGTTTAGATTAGGTATCGATAAGGTAGAGTTTAGGGTAGGATAAGGTAGGGTAAAGCAGAGTAGGGGTAAAGTAGGGTAGGGTAAAGCAGGGTAGGGTTTGTTTTTTTCTGCTTAAAAGGAAGGTACCCGACCTGCAACGCTCAGATTCTATTCAAACTTTTTATGTAGCAAGATCATGTAAATGTAAGATCTTATGCAAAATTCTAATTTGCGGTTTGCGGCCAGCCTTGAGAAAATCGAGATCAAAAAATCGCGTTTTGAATTTCCCGCCAAATTGGCATAATGTGTCAAGCTTTTAACTTTGTCATTTTTTGACTTTTAACTATTTTTCTTTAATATTATGATAGAAAAGCTTCAAATGTACCTGCAATTTTAAATTTGTAAGCCTATCTTATCTGTGACATCAAAAAAGTGCTTGCAACACAATGCCAAATTTGCCAAATTGGCGGGGAATTTAAATATATTAATTTTAAAACTTAAAACCGCAAGCTAAGATTTTTTATGAGTGCTAACGGTACTACAAAGAAGCCGTGTAAAAATTTTGAGCTAATTCTGAGAGTTGCAGGTTGGGTACTTTCCCTGTTAGTGTGGAGAAGGGAGTGGTTATTTTCATTAAATCACCCATTTTAAAAAATTTTTAAAAATTTTAAAGTTCATTTTAATTATTTTTTTTGACGTTTTTAAACTTTCTTTTACTTTAAAATTGTAAAACTGATTGTCGGTTGGTTCAGTTTTCTAAACTCTGACTAAATTTTAGTAAGGTTTTATATTTTTTATTCTTTTTTATGAATAACGTTGTATATTCTTGCTATTAGTTTTGATATATGAATCATCACTACAATTATTTATATTAGTAGCCATTTTGTGAGCTTTTTTTAACTAAAAACACGCTTTTTAAGCTTTTTTTTTTGAATTTTTTTTTATTTTGATATAAGTTGATTATTTAAAATTTCAAAAAATTTAATTCAAAAATTTTACATCCTGTTTTAAAACTTCCTTCAGACTTAAAACGTAATACTTTTCTATTTTACATAGTAAAACTTGTACTTTGACTCCTACTATTTAATATGTAAGTTATATCAAACGTTGCTCTTCCTTTGTGTTAAGTTATATCAAAGTTTTCGTTTTCAAATTATTCAAAATACATTTTCAGTAGAATTCAAAAATGACGTTTAAACTTTGCTCGAGGCAGACGGCGTTTGCTTTGAAATTATAAGCGTCGGAGAACGATTTTTATGCTAATTTTATGCGATTTTTAAGGTTTTTTCTTCTAAATTTAGGCATGATTGTTGATTTTTAAAAGTTAGCACAAGGTTTTTTAAAATTTTTGTGAATTTCAAAGTTTTTCGTATGATTTTAATAGCCTTTTTGGTAGTAAGATAAACATTAATATTGTGACTGTACGTTCTTTAACTGTAGTTTTAAAAATTCTGAAAAAAATTAGGCATACAGTAGTCTAGTACAGTACTCTTTCTCTATAAGAAACCCAAAGGGGCCGACATTTTGTGTTTATTATAAGAGGTGTTGTCTTTACAGAGAGTCTTTTTAATGCAAATTAACTTGGCGGGGCCAATTTTTATGTTTACTATAAGGATAGTTGCTTATACAGATGGTTCACTATATAGAGAGACCACAGTATGACGAACTCGTCTATAACTTATCCTATCTTTGTCAAATGACTTTGTTAAATAACGTCGCTTTAATCACATTCGGTTTTTTGCAACGCATTTTACATTCATATTTTCAGGGAGATCGGCATCTTCAAACCTAACTTACTACAACATCGTAACATGAACATATAAGTCTCAAAATTGAAAAAAAATAGATGACATTTACTAAAGACAATATGAAAGATCTAGAAGTTGCCGATATTGAACCACTCCTACCTATTACTGATTATGAATGTGTCAAAAAAGTAAGGTTTTAGTCATCATTTTCGGTTTTTCTTTATATTTTTATGGAATTGTTGGGCGGGGTGATTTTGGTAGGGGGGGGGGAAGTAAAAACATTTTTTTGAATAAATATAATTTTCATTTATTGAAAATTGTTCAACATTGAAAACCTCCCCCCCCTTTTTTTTTACCTCGCCCAACGCTAATGGTACCTTACATTATCTAACCTTGAAACCTTAACCTTTTCAGATCCCAATCCGTCTAAGCCAGCCAAAGAAGTCGAAATACCGGTTCTCAATATTGATATGGCTTAGTTTTCACACTGCCGTCCATTCTCTACTGCTAACTTATTCAAGAAGTCGGCCGAACGTCGAGATCTACCTACCTTCGGTGGCCGTCTTCTTCACTGAAATCATCAAAGCCATCGTGTGTTTGATGATTGTGGCTGGCACGGAAGAGAGGTGAGGGTTTTGTTTTTGCTTGAAAAGGGGATTTTAGGTAACAAATTGAAAAATGACGTGTTTTATAACACATCTAAAAAGTCTTTCAGTCTATTATCATCCCTATCTTCTCACGTACTAAATGCTCCAAAACAAGTGCTACGAATGGCAGTACCAGCAGTACTATACAACATACAATCGAATTTACTATACCTAGCGGCAGGTTATATTGATCCAGCTACCTTTATGGTAAGATTTTCGAAATTTTATAAACTCTGTGATATTAATTGGCATATATTGATTAAAAGTAATTATATTTTCGTATTTTACATCGAAAAATTAGTAAAAAAGAGCAAAAATTTGAAATTTAGGTTATAATTTGATTTGTAGCCTTTTTAAAGTTAAAAACAAAATTCCATGAACTTTTTGACCAGTCTATATAATTTTTATTTCAATTTTTACAGATTCTTCAACAACTCAAAATATTTTCATCAGCTGTGTCGTCAGTGGTATTACTCAACCGAAAGCTGTCCATAGGCCAATGGCTGTCGTTACTGTTACTCTTCAGTGGTGTATGTGTAGTACAAATCAGCAGGGCCAAGAATTTGAGTAGCTCACATGATGAAAGTTTTATTGGTATGTTATTTTAGTTTATTTTTGGGAAAATGAGAGATTTTATAATGTAACATTATTATTGATTTTGACATTTCGTCACAGTGGTTTTTAGATTTTTACTGCCATTCTTATTGAAGTTTGGTACTTTTGCAGATATTTTTGTCGATTTGTTTTGATTTTTAAAAGCTTTTCATTTAAAATTAGGTTTTTGCGCTTTGGATAACGTTATGCTTTTTCCAATAATTTTTGTGACATTTCGTCTAATTTTTTTAAATAAGCAAAAAAGTTGTTTTTATGGTTTTAAAAGCCTTTTTTATTTAAAACTTGCTGGTTTTGTGTCTTTGATAACTTTGTGACTTTTCCAATAATTTTTGTGACATTTTGTCTAAATATTTTATTTTAATGATTTTAAGATTTTATACAAAATTTTAAAGTTTTAATTTAAAAAAATGTTTTAGGTGTCCTGTGTGTCACAATAGCAGCCATGACCTCAGGCTTTGCCGGTGTCTACATGGAACTACAATTGAAATCGGTTGAGCCAGTATCAATATGGCTACGTAACATACAAATGAGTACAGTATCAATACCAGCAGCCTTTACCACAATCCTAATACAAGATGGCAAGACGATACTTAGTGGCAGTGTCAGTATGACAAAAGGCTTTGATTGGGCAGCATGGAGTACTGTATTTTCGTCAGTACTAAGTGGTATCTCCGTAGCACTGTGTTTAAAATACGCTGATAACATTGCGAAGGACTTTGCCGCTGCATCAGCCATTATTCTGACTACGGTAGGAGCGGCGGTGGTGTTCCAGGTGTACCCGAACTGGATCTTCTGCTTTGGTGCTGTCATGGTGATGTGTGCTACGTACTTGTTCTCAAAGCTGAAGAGTACTCACGTTGAGAAGCCGAAGCATGTTGATATGGATGAAAAACAATAGGCTCTGGTACTAGCATAGCATGAGGGTAGGGTACTGTTAGAAGATGCTGTGTATGGTACTGATAGAAAATAAGATTGCTTGTATAGTACTGGTGGATTGAATATGGTACTGTACTTTGAATAAACTTATACTAACTTTAGTTCGTCTTACGGTAGATTTTATACGTCTTACTATATCTACTAAAGTTGTATGAAGTTTTATCGTTTATAGCAAAATTTAATTTACAGTAGTTCTTACTGTAACATATGTTAATCTGTGTGTGTTTTTGTCAACTTTTATTAGCAATACAAATACAAATGTCATAATTTACTCATAATGTGATGTTTTAAGAGCCTAGAATTCTATTATTTATTTTTTCATTTATATTGCTTTATGATTTTAAGTTATTGTTTGTTTACGGGTAAAAATAAATTCTCTGTTATATATTTATATTTGGCTGATTGTTAAGCAAGTAAGTGTAAATATAAAAATTAAAAAAATTTTTTTAAGATAGATTTTAACCTACTGTTAAGAAAAAGCTTTAAAATATGATATTATATGGAATTAAAACTACATTTTAGACTTACAAGGATGGAGGATTTCAAAAAACAGCCAAGTTTTTACAAAGAAATAAATGAGATTGGTCCTAAGGGTGAGAAACGGGCAGTGTTGGGCCGGCCCAGCCCAGCTTTGAACTAAGGTCGGGCTGGCTTTAAGGTAAACTTGAAACGGGTCGGGCTTAAAAGTTAGCACAAGCTGCGGACTGCTAGAGTTGCAAAGTAGTCCTGAACCAAAAAAATTTTTTTTGTTTAAGATTTTTTTCAATTCTGTTAATGTTTTTTGATTTTTTAGGTACTACAGTCGATGAATGATCTAGACTACATAGGAAAAACTTTAAAGGTAAATTTTTTTAAATTTTTTAAAATTTTAGAGTTTTTTAAATGTGCCGGAGCAGACCTAAATGTTTTGCCCGGGTTGGGAACAAATAAAAACGAGCCTGGTCTAAAACTTAGACCTCGGGCCTAGAACAAGCTTCAAAACTAATCCCAGCCCGTTTTTCACCCCTACCCGGCCCAAACTCTTTACCGGTACACTCCCCGCTCGCTTCTCCAGCCTTTATTAAACCAAAGCTCATTTCAATTAAACGGCACTCTTTTCGTTCCACTAAGCCTTCGAAATCAGTCCTCAAGAGCGAAGGAAAAGCTTGCAAAAAGCCGAAAGATCATGGCTGTTAACGCGGGCGGCCCCTAACCCGAAAAATGGCTGTTAATCGCGGCCTGATTCCGGCGTTTTTTCGCCTCGCTTTGGCCCTTTTGTCCCTGGGTTCTGGGGCCACGAATTGGCGCGACCTTCGACGCCGTAGGGGTTTTTTGTTCATATGAGTGTGAAGATTTGGTTTTTTTGCCGCTGGTGAAGAACTTATGCCCCGCTGAAAAGGGCATTAACAAAAAATGGGCTAAGAAACAAAAAAAAGTTTCAAACTACGTTTTGGGGGCCGAGTTTTGGTTTAATTTGGTTTTGTAAGGATTTGGAGGGGTTTTGAGGGTTTTTGAAATTATGGTTGGTACGAAGTCAATTGTCAGCGTTAATGGAAGATGGAGAGAATGACAAAGTATTGAAGTACAGTAAAACCATTATTTTTATAATAACGGCTTGTTGACCGCCTTTTGTAACAGAACTTCTATCAAAAAATATCTGTGTAACGCTTGGGTTAGAATGACGGTTAAGATCATATAATAGCACTTTGGTCTAGTCTTGTTAGTACCATACTAAAGAGGTTTAAAACTTCAGAAAATTGCCAAAATGAAATTTCAACCCGGCCAACTTAATAAAAAAATTTTTAAAAGAAACAGTTAAACTTTTTAATTTTTTTGTAGGATGGGGCAAAAAAGGTAAAAAACCATTTTAATGAAGTAGGAGGGTGGAGAAGATAAAAAAGCTTAAAAATCGAAAAACAAAACTTTTTTAAATACTAAAGCATATAAAGCTAGTGCTTTGGCTTGTTATTTTAATGTTTAAATACTCTACATCCGGTTTTAAGTTGTAGGCTACATTTCTGGAAGGATATTTTATGAAATTTCTTAAATTCTTGTGATGTAAGGGCAAAACTTTTTTAAAAATTTTTGCAGTTTTGTTTTTAATTTGTAAGCTTTGGCTATGTTTTTGATTGCAGCTGGTGCTGATTTGGAGGCATTTAGCTAGGAAAAAAATTGAAAAAAAAAGGTTTTTAAAGTTAACAGGGGGGGGTCACGTTCAATTTTTAAAAAAATTTTTAATTTTTTAAAAATTTTTTGGGGAGGGGGTGGGTAACAACAAATTTTGAAAAAGTGAAATTCGCTACATTTACGGTACTTGCTTTTTATAAAAAATCAAATTTTAAATTTAAAAAAAATTTCAGAAAAAAAACGATAAAAGAAAAAGGTCGATCGAAGCAGGACAGACTGTTTGGCCGTGCTTTACGGCCCATGACTGTCCGCTTTCAGCCACATGCACAATGACTTCCTAAAACACTGCCTACACATTCCACTGGTACTACTTCTCTTATGTAACATAACATACGGTAAGGTTTTTTTTTAATTTTGATAGATTTTTAATGGAAAAAACGGCATTTTTTACAATTTTTGAGGTGTTTTGGTCTTTTTTAGGCTTATTTTATGGGTTTTAGGGTTGTTTTAGGGTTTTCTAGGCCTGTTTAAGCGCTTGTTTTTGCAGCTTATTTCAGAATTTTTAGGCTTGTTTTAATGCTTTTAGGCTTCTTTCAGTGCTTTTAAAGCTTGTTTTGGAGTTTTTTAGGCTTGTTATAGAGCTTTTAGACTTGTTTTAGTGCTTTTAGGTTTGTTTTACCGCTTTTTAGGCTAGTTCTGATTATTATTTTTTTACATTTCTTAACTATTTTTTTCATGTTCTTTCTCATTTTAGCCTTCTTCCTCTCATGCACGCATCTCAAAACCCGCTGCATGAACTCGATAGCATGTCGTACTCGACACAACGCCCTCAACAATAATTGCTTCGATTGTGGTGAGTTGACATTCCATCCTTCTTAAATTGTTTTTTAAGCAAATGCCTCGTCTAATTTGGCCAATCTCTTGGCATTGCGTCAACAATTTGGACACGACACAACATGTCATTGTCATGGTAAGTGAGAAGGCGGCGAAATTAGAAAAAACATATTAAAAATAAGTTTAAAAAAATTTTTTTTGAAAAATTTTAGTTTTGAAAAAAGTTTGAATGATTTTTTCAAAATCGATTAAATTTTTGACATTCGTTACATTTGTAAAAATTTTTTAATTATTTTTGTGACATTTCGCTAAACTCTTTTTTAAAACCCTAAATTAAAAAAAATTTTTAAAAATTAGGTAAAAGACGCACTCCGGGCCATGGACAAAAAAGGTTTTTAGGTATTCACTCAACATACGACTGTATAGCATTCAAAGAAGAGATTTGGCAGAATCCATGTGAAGAGCGATGGAAACAGTGCTTGAAACGTTCACATAAAGATGCCAACAAACGTACTACACGGTCGCCAAACTCTGACAAAATTCAACAATGGCGAAATGAGCTTAGCTATCGTGAGTTTCAGCTTTTATGCGATATTGTTTTAGTATGAGGTAACTTGGCATAGTAAGATATGCCTACCACAATATCTTTTTATCTAATTTTTTTTATTTAGTAAGGCTTTATAGGGATATAAAATGCATTTCTATTACTTTATTTACAATGTCGTTTAAATTCAAATTGTTGATGTTACAGTAGTGGCAGTTGCTATTGATCTTTTAGAACTTCCATCTCAACTAACTGCCTTATCGCAAGTTTCATGTAATCAAGCTTTGCATGAAGTTTGTCTGAAGCACATATCATGCCGAGAGCTTTGGAAATTGTTCCGAGAAACTTGTACTGTAGATGAACAGAATGTCTGTAGGATGACTAATCGGTAAGAAACTTTAAATTATTAAAAAAAGTTGTCAATGCCATTTTTTAATTTTATTTTTTTTTATTTGAAAACGCAGAATTTACAATCATATTTTTGATACAATTTTTTTAAAAAAGCAATAAAACTTGTGACACTTCGTCTCAAAAATCAATAAAATTTTCGACATTTCGTCATTTTCAAGATTTATCAAAATAAGCTATATTTTCTACAAAAATTGATTTTTATATTTGAATTTTGCTTTTTAAACCCATTTTATTACAGAAATGACTGTTGGCAATCGTTTGAAGGGATCAGCTGGACGGGCCTGGGTAATTGTTCGTGTACAACAAACAACTCGGACTGCCATTGGATTCGATTGCAGACAAATTACAACAAGTGCATTTGTAAGTTTGTTTTTGGGGTTTTAACTTTGGTTTTAAACAGTTTTTTTTAAGAAAGTAGCTTGCTTCTAACAGGTACTGAAATAAATTTTGTTACCTAAAATATTTTTTTTTTTAATTTAAATTTTTTTTGAATTTTAGACGAAATAGCGACGTCAGGGGACATTCCAAAGACAGTATCAGTTCAAATTCCTATTGTTTCGACCACAAAGATTACTCCGTATTGGGTAGCAGCAACAACTCCTCAACCATATTACCATGTGAATCATTACACCACCATATCTGTCGACACATATCAACGAGAAGTTGGTGAGACTTTCTATTTTCTAACCTTTATTTTATGACATTTTTAAGGCTTTTAAATTTAAACAAAAAAATAACTTGTTTTAGGCTTTAAACATTAACATTAAGTTTTTCAAATTATTCTGTGCCCTATGTTCTAAAGATTTGTTTTAAAATGGGGCACAGAATTATTTGAACAACCTAATACTATAAATTTTTCAAAAGTTTTTTTGAAATAACTTAAAATTTTCAGCCCGCAGGGAACAAGAACGCCTACAACACGCCGAACGTCTTCGACGGTACGAAGAGCAGCGCCGCCGCTGGGAAGAACAGAATCGTCGTAACTCAGCAACAACAGCAGCAACATTTCTTGCGACAACTCCAAACTATTACAACCACAACAATAATCGTAATGCTCAATATAGAGTGGTAGCCAAACATTATACTCAAAGCAACGCTGACTACTATCAGCAACATGGCATGACAACGCCGGCAACTTTGCCAAGTAATGGAGTTGTTTATACTACTGGGGTTTATGATAGACAGAGTGGTAGTAGGAATGGGTATAATGATGGTAAAAATGGCTACAGTGATAGTAGGTACAGTCATACTGACAGTAGAAATACTCATAAAGATACCTGGACGGTTAGGGCTACAACTACAGTAAGACCATATGTTGTGTATACTACTAGTAGTACTAGTACGACTACAGAGGCTACTACTACAAGTACTATCGTTACTATAACAACTACTGAAAAGACTACGAGTACTAGTACTACTACAGCAGAGCCGACTACTACGAGTACTACAACTGAAGAGCCGATTACTACAGAGTACGGTAGTGTTTGTTTTGATACAAAAAAAACTTTATAAGTTTTAAAAATGGTTTGAAATTTAAAATTTTTGCCTAAAAATACATTTTGTTATTTAATTTTTAAAAAAGTTGCTGCAACTTTTAAACCAGGCTAAAGGCAAGCTTCTTCAGATTACTATAAGATGATACGTTATAAAACAAAACTTCGTTTACAAAAAATTAAAAATTGAATTTTAGCGAACCTCCGTCAACAGTACCATCAAAACCAGCCGGTCGAGCCCCACCACCACTTCATAAATTGTTGTCAAAGATTGTCGAAAAACCGACCGATCCACCATTAGAAGAGAACGAAACACTGACAGAAGACGAGACTGGAGCCTACAGAGAAGAAGGAATCATGTTGAACAGATGGCGACAGAGCAGTGTTATGGAGGGCTTTACAGGTATGGAAACAGCTTTTGATTTATGACACAACTAGCCTTTGCCCTGCCTTTGCTCTGCCTTTGCCCTGCCTTTGCCCTGCCTTTGCCCTGCCTTTACCCTGCCTTTGCTCTGCTTTTGCCCTGCCTTTGCCTTGCCTTTGCTCTGTCTTTGCCCTGCCTTTGCCCTGCCTTTGCCCTGCCTTTGCCCTGCCTTTGCTATGCCTTTGCCCTGTCTTTGACTTTCTTTTAATCTATTCTACCTTTCCCTACCCTACTTTACTATAGCTTACCTTAACCTATTGTATCTATTATGCCCTATCCTATAATTTCTTGCCATACCATCTGCATCATAGTAAACTACCCTAACTTACCCTACGTCATTGTCACCATAGTACACTTGCCTACCTTACCCTGTTTTTGAAAATAAAAAGGTATACTATCCAAAAATAAAGAATTGAAGGTTTTAAAGCTCAATCTTTTTACATATTCAACGCTTCGAATCCCCCTAAAATACTTTCTTTTTGCAACATTTCAGAACAGGAAGCCGAGATTCATTCACGGCGAGCGGTGAAAACCCTCCCCCGAAGCGGGGGTTTTTCGTAGCACGTGGAATTTAATTTACTTTACGAAAACTTGTAAAAGTTTCAATGCGAAAATCCCTGTTTCGCGGTTGTCAGGAGAACTTGGCAAAAAAGGAACAAGAAAAAACACAGGCGAATCTTCTGCTTTTTCGACCTTATTGGGCACGCTTCGCGTAATCCATCAAGTTTTTGCGGGAAATGCGTCAGCGTTACGTTCCTTCACACTGTTTGCGGGGCTGGATGGGTGAGGGAATGGGATTTTTTTTGAAAAAGGGGAATGCTGAATGAAGGCATGGAATTTTTTAAGAAAAGGGGGATGTTGGTTGAGGGCATGGGTTTTTTTTGGAAGAAGGGAATGCTGAATGAAGGCATGGGATTTGGGGAAAGGGGGGGGGGTGGGGATATTCGTTAGACGAATGAAATTAATGGAGAAAGGCTGGCTGGTTGAGGGCTTGAAATTTTAGGAAAAGGGGAAGATGGCTGATGGTCTAAAATTTTGAAAAAGGGGATGATATTTTAAGGCATGAGATTTTTAATAGTTATGCTTGTATAAGGACATACCGTTTTGGTAAGGCATGGGGGCGGTTAATCATTTGAGAGCATTGTTTTTGTTTTGCAAGGAGATGCTGGTTAAGGGCATGAAATTTTGGAAGAAGGGGATGCTAGCTGAGGGCATGGCATTTTGGGAGAAACATATGCTGATTGGAGGCATGGCATTTCAAAGGTAGGGTGACTAGCTGACTTCTGTATTTTGACCTTTTTTTTTAAAAAATCTTTAAAAACTTCAATATCTTCTAAAATCTTAATGACTCATTTACATATGAAACATAATCCGTCTGACCAATATGTTATTTACCATCTGCTATTGAAAATCTTTCTACCTGAACATCTGGTTTCTTTGAACATTTCAAAAACCCAAAGTCAATGCTTAAAGGCTTTGGAATCTGGGCCACAAATCCAGTTTCTGTGTTTTTGGGTTGTGGGGGGGGGGCGTTAATTTCCGGAAGAACGGGTCCGGTCTTTATGCCAAAAGTTTTTAGGCGCAAGTATGTAACAGCAAAAAAACTTGTTACTTTTTGGTTTTTAGGTGCAAATTAGTACTATTTATTGGTATTTTGTTGTTCAGATAAATCTGAGCTTTTTTTTCAAACAGAATTGTTTAGGTTTTGAGGTTAGGGGACACAGAATTATTTGAACAAACTATTTAATATAAATTTTTTCTTGATATATGGTTGAAAAAAGTCGTATTTTATCAAAAGCGGTGGGGCGATTTTTTTGGGTAGGGGGGGGAGGTAAGGTGAAAAAATTTTTTTGCAAATGGCTCAAAATTAAAATTTTTGTCATATTAGCGCTTTGCAAAAAAAATTTTTTTTGCTTGTTCCCCTCTCCTCTAAATTTACCTCTCCCTCGAAATTTTCTATTCTTCTTCTTCTTTTAACTGTTTCTCCTTAAAATTCTTTTCTAAGCTATCTTTGATTTTACCGTACGTCAATAACAATTTCCATTACTTATCTTACTATCCAAAATATTGTCCATCATTTATCTTTATAATCACTTATTACTATACTATACTAAAAACAACCTTCACCTCATAGCACCAATTTTATTCGCCATAACACCACAGTTACGTCAAATGGCGTCCGGTCTCGCGAATATTAGTCATAACAAACGTGCTGTTAATATCTTGACGATTTATCGTTAAATTCTCTGACATTTAATTCGGCTGTCATCCGTTTTATCCGGCCCCAAAATAAAGCCCATATCCTGACTATATTGTTTTTTCTTCGTTCTTAACGCCGCGACAATTTTTACGGTCCAATGTAATGCGTCATGGCATGGGAGGGGGTTTTTGTAGGGCTTTAGGTAGTTAGATGGGGTTTTGTTGTAGGAAATGACAGAGAATAGGTTTCTAGTTATTAGTATTAGGTCGTTTAACTAATTTTGTGCCTTCTAATTTGAAAAAATTGCTTTAATAGGAGGCACAGTATTATTTGAACAGCCGAATCTTTTAAAAAGCTTAGCTTAAACAAGCTCAGGTAGTCTTAGTTTTTCCCTAGTACTAGCCTGAGCCTGAGCTTGAGTCTGAGCCTGAGTTTGAGCTTGAGCCTTAGCCTTAGCTTCAACCTATCTAAAACTACTCTATCTAATCCTAGCCTGCTTACCCCTGTCATAATCTGCTTTATCCTGTCTAACCTTACTCTATCTACTTTTACTTTCTCTATCCCTACCCTATTCTTACCCTAGTTTATCCTACCTACTGTACCAACTTAGTAAACGTTTTTTTTCTTGCACTTAACTCAATATTACGGTATTTTTCGAAAAAACTATGTCTAAATAAGCTTAGTTACCACACCTACGTCCCACTATATTCACTTTACTATAGCTTCATTATAACATTGACAGAACACATTTTTTTACTATTTTCTTTTACATTTCTGTGGCTATAACTAGGTTAATTTTGTCTTCAAAACTTGCGGCCACGTACATAATTTATAGATTTACGTAAAAACCTTTTGGGCCGATTTTTGGTTTCCGGTGGCCATTGTGTTCACGGCTTTTTGGGGCGTTTATTTCCCGCGGCTTTCTTTAACTTTCTTTATCGAAGCCAATGTGAAGGTGAAACATGGCTTAATGATGTAGATACATATGAATAGGGCATGGAAAAACCATTATGATGGTTTATACTGTTTTTTAAGGTGGGCAGGGGAGTGGAAGAAGTTTTGTCATAGACTGGTATTGTAAGCGGTGTAAAGTGAATTGGCATTGTTGCGGAAACTATTTTTAAGAAATAAAAAATGACACATTAAAAATTTTTTTAAATGTAAATTTTGAAGTAAAAAAATACGCTTGGTCTTATTTAAAGCCGATGAAAGGTCAAAAACCTTATGTATGAAAGCTAATGTGTAGGTAAAAAGTTTTTTTAAGTAATTTCTGTTTCACGCTAATTTAGGGATTTAGACGGGTTGGAAAATGAAAAACTTTTAAAGTTACTTTATGTTAGTCAATGGCCTTTGACTTAGTTTTAATTTGCCACAGGTTTTTTTAGAGTTTGCAAAAGGCATGATTAAAAACTTTTACAATATCTGTAGATTTGTAACTTTTTTATATTCTTTTTTGAGTTGTAGAGAACTATAGATAAAGCTGGAGCTAGAGCTAGAGCAAGAGTTAGAGCTAGAGCAAGAGTTAGAGCTAGAGCAAGAGTTAGAGCTAGAGCAAGAGTTAGAGCTAGAGCAAGAGTTAGAGCTAGAGCTCGAATTACCTCTTACCTTACTCTTACCGTCCTAGAAAAAAATTGTTTGTGTGGATCTTATGACTGGTCTTCTCTACTGACTCGTATGATTTTTTCATTTCTGTAGTCCTTTTACATAACAATTTGCTTAAGGTTTTAAAATTGATTCGTTATAAAGGTGTTTGGTATATTAGAGTTTTAAATTTACTGTATAGTCGGCCGAGGTTTTGAAAGTAGTCTGTTATATTGGATTTTAATTAGTGGATCTCGTTATAAAACGGTTAGTTGTTCAGGAGTTTGTTCTGGAAGAGATAGTTAAAAAGATTTTGTTACACAGAAGGTATACTGTATTTTTTATTTTATTAGCTGACTTTAGCTTCTTATTACCTGAAATAAAAGTTTTTTTAATGAAATTCATTTTAAATTTTGAATATTATCTTTATCTTTTTAGCTCTAACCCTGCCAATTTATAATGTCTGTAAGAAACAGGTTGTAACAAACCCCAAAACAAGGCCAAGACTTGTTCACGGTACAGCAGCCGTGGAAATTCTTTTGTTTCGGCCGAAACTCGGCTGAATGTGTTCTTTGTAGGCTGAAATGAAAAAAGTTTTCGAACCAAAAGCTCAATCCCTTTAAAAACGGAGATTTAGGTCAGAAAAGGGAATAAATTTGGCCTTAAAAGGGGGAAAGAGACCGAGTGGCCATTGGGGGGTCGTTGAGGCAAAAAAACGTTTTTTTCGAAATTCGAAAAGAATATGAAACATAAAAAACGTTGATATCAACATGAATGTATCAAAATGACAAATTGAACTTGTTTTTGGGAAAGTTTTAATACATTTTTTTAATTTAAAAAAGTAAGACAGGAGAAATATATGGTTAGGGCTAGAAGCCAGGGCTACGAGCAGGGTTGGACGCAGGGCAGGGCATGGGCCCTGTAACAGGGCATTTGTGAATTGTTTTTTGGCGCGCTTTTTTTAATTTTTTTGGCTAGGCCTAAAAACGCAAAAATTTCAAGAAATGGGTTTTAAACACTGCTAATCCATTTTACGTTGTTATTTTCTTGATAGCTATTACAATTTTCAAGATATGAGTTTGGCGGGAAAACGAAGTTCAAAAAAATGCCTTGTTGAAATGCCCTGCGTCCAACCCTGGCTACGAGCCAAGGCTAGAAGCCAGGACTAGAAGCCACAGCTAGAAGCCAGGGCTTGAAGCCAGGGCTAGAAGCTAGGGTTAGATGCTAGAACTAGGGCTCTGTGTTAGTGCTAAGGGTAGGGCTAGCTTGGTATTTTTTTTTGGTTTGTGAATTTACATTTCAATGCATTACCTCGCGTATTTTACTCTCCTAATCATCTTTGAAACATAAGTACAATCTATAGCAAGCAGTCCAGTCCGGGTGGATAGTTGAGAAACCGCGTGGTGCGGGCGGTATGGCTGCGCACTGGCGGTCCGCATGCACTTAAACGTCAGGTCGAGCTGGACAAAGCAGCTCTCGATCCTCATAAAGTTGGCAGTAATGGCGGTTTGTGCACAGGCGGTGATGGGTTTGAGACATGGGCATGGCAGAAGTATGGGTGAAATTAAAAAAATTTTTGAAAATTTTGAAAATAAAAAAATTTTTTTTTGAAATTTAAAAGTTCAACCAAATTTAAAATTTTAAAATAATTTTTTAAAATCCAAACTTTCAGAATCGACCTGCTCGAAGCCTTTTACGGAATGCGAGATGGACGAGACTTGTCGTTGGCATATGAGCGAGTTGCAAATGAAATGTCGTTTGGAATTAGAGCATTGCCGTCGCGATCATTGTGCAGCTGCGATGCGAAGATTCTCGCGATATGTCACGAAGGAGATTCTGGAGGGCATGATGTTCTGTCAGTGTGCATTCAGCGACGTTCAGTGCAAACATCAGCAGGTGAGGGCGTGAACAAAACTTTAAAACTTTTTTAAAAATTTTTGAAAATTTTTTTTTTCAATTTAAAAATTGTTTTGATTTTGTAAATTAGAGGCATTTATAAATTTTTGGGAATACTTGTGTCTCAATAATTCCACTCTTACTAAAGTGACCGACTTTTTTAAAATTTACTTTAAAACTTGATATTATAGTAGCCAAAAGCCTAAAATCTACCCCCAAAAGCCAATAACATACCTATTTTCAGCAATGGATGTACCCCAGATGCCTATACGAAAGTTATCGTATAAAGCCCAAACGAAGTTGTACCCAAACTGTCAAGTACTGTCAACATGACAGTTATTGTCATCGAACCTTGACCGCCTTCAATCGATCATGTCCCATTGGTCCTGGTGAAGCTGGAGAATGCAAGGCTAAGGATATGCATAGGTGTAGATTAGCGTTGATCGGTATTAGAGGAACGGATTTGGAAAGCCCATGCTATTGTAATAGTGATGATAAGACTTGTTTGGCCAATCAGAATATGGTTCTGCCTAATAACCCTTGTGTTGGTAGGTTTGGGGGTTGGGAATGGGCATGTAAAAGCGCTTTTAAAGTAGTTTTAGATATTATAGTAAAGATTTATAGAGTATTTTTTATTATTCTGAGTTTTTTTCAGTTTTGAAATACAAGTCGTTGTACTAAAATGACGTCTTTTTATCATATAAGTCATTAAACCAACTAATTTTTGCCTAAAATTAGTTGATATGCACTTTTTCAGAAACCATGATGACAAAATATGCAGGAACATCAAACGAAAAAGACCCTGGGGCTGAAACTGAACAACTCATGCCTTCTGAACATCCATCGCCAAAGAACAGTCGCTCTCGGAAAACGTCAACAACAACAACTTCTGCTCCTTCTGAAGCCTCTAATAACGATGAAACAGAAGAAAAAACTGATGAAGATAACAATACCAACAAAGCAGAAGAAAAAGAAAGTGAGGAAGAAGTAAAAAATGAAGAAAAAATAGAAGAAAATGATGAAAATAAAGCCATAGAAGAACCTCAAGAAGAAGAAGTTAAAGAAAAGTCAGCTGAAGACAAAGAAGATGCAGAATCTTTAAATTCAGAAACCAAAACATCAGAATCTGACAAAACAATAGAAGAAGAAGAACTAGAAAAGAAAGAAAAAGAAGTAGAAGAAGCCGTAGATGTAGAAAAAGCTCCAGTAACCGACTCAACGGTACTACAAACAGCTACAGTACCAAAAGCCATGAAGCAGACGACATCACCGAGTAAAGGAATAAAAGTTGTATTAAAGGCAACCGGTGGTACTACGCCAAAAGTCATCAATGACACCAAGCTGGTTACTCAAACACCACCACCGGAAGGCGGATGTACCACTAGGAATATAGAAGGAGAATGGGTTACGCATTACAAGAATACATTGTTTAGGGTATGTTGTAGTTGCTTTGATCTTTAGGGTATGGTAAGGTAGGGTGAGGTAAGGTAAGGTAAGGTAAGGTAGGGTAGGGCAGGGTAGGGTAGGGTATAGTTTTAAAACGCAAGTAGGTATAGCCATTTGGCGGTATATGTATGCATAAAATAATGATTTACTTTAGCAATACAACGACTTATCAGGTCGATGTTCTTCATGGTGTCAATGTCACAAAAACGAAACTTTTACGTGTAAAGCAATGGACTGCCTACCCGAAGGGTCTTGTATCACTCCTCAGACTACTGTTGGTAAGGAAAAAATTTTTTAAATTTTAAAAAAAATTTCAAAATTTTCAAAAAACATTTTTTAAATGAGTACCTCTCCCCCCCCATCCTTAAACTACTTTTTAATAAAAAATAGAAAAACAACCTTATCAAAGTCATAATGCCCAATTTCAGCCTTTGGTGAACGTCTGTACATCGAGAGTCGCGGTGCTTGTTTGTGTCAAAGTGGCAAGTTCATTTGCGACACGAGTGAGAAGCTGGTCGAACTGGAGCCGGGTCTGTACATTTCTTTGGGATTCGCTCGTGCTGAGCTGGAGGAAATAAAGAAGAAGGTTCCGAAGCCGTTATTGGAAAAGTGCGGCCTAGTGAGTCCGAGTCGATCCGTGGCCAAGGATATTGCATCGAGGCTACAGTATGCGTTGGAACGGGCTCTGCCTAAGGTTAGTTTTGATTTAAATTAATTATTGGATAATAAGGTAGAAGATTGACGTTTTAATTTTTTTTAAATTTGTTTTGAAAGAGGGCACAGAAATAAATGAACGGGCTAATATTATTTCAGAGCACCCTCTGCCGAGTAGCAATGATAGAAGAACATACATATGACTCTGTCATCCTACTTCAAATCCAATGGTACGGTATCGACCCCTTTGCCAATACCACCGAAGCTCATTGGCACATCGGAAAACTGGAAAAAGCTTGCTCTCCGTATGTACGACAACTAGAGTACAACTTCTGGATGGAACGTGCTGATCGGTATCAGCTCGTACTGTCCACAGTAAAACAACTCCGCGTCTACGATCTGCTGGACGGGTTACCCAAAAGCGCCGCCACACTGCCAAACTTTCAGTGCCTTCAGAAACTCTTGATCTTGTTTTGGTGTTTCTTCTTTGTCTTTAATTTGTAGAGACTGTATTATTATGGATTGTTTAGAATTTTTAGTATAATTTTTATTTTTTTTTTGAAAAAATACGATAATTTAGGTAAAATTTATTAAAAGTTTGAATTTTAGATTTTTACTATTAAAATAAAAGACTTGAGTCAATTTTAGTATAATATTTATGTAGCAGAATAGATCATCAATTTGTATTACACAATTTGTCAAGAAAATGTCTTTCTTTCTGTCATTATTTTTAGGTAACAATTGCTATAAATTTCAAATTTTAACATTAGAATTTTAATAAAATTTTTGAAAAAGGGTGGTATGATTTTAACTTAGCTCTAGCCGTATCTTATAGTCCTAGACCTGGCCTACAGCTCTAGCCCAGAGCCCTAGCTCAAAACCTTAGCCCAGAGCCCTAGCTCAAAGCGCTAGCCCAGAATTCTAGTCCAGAGCTCTGGCTTAAAGCCCTAGTCTAGAACGCTAGCTCAAAGCTCTAGCCCAAAGTTCTAGCTGAAAACCCTAGTCCTAAGCCTTAGCCCAGATCCCTAGCTCAGAGCCCTAGCCCAGAGCTCTAGCTCAGAACCCTAGCCCAGAGCTCTAACCCCGAGCCCTAACCCCGAACCCAAAGCCCGAGCCCTAGCCCAGAGCTCTAGACCCCCAGCTCAGACCCTAGCCCAGAACCCTAGCCCAGAATCCCAGCCTAAAGCCTTAGCCCAGAGCCTTAGCCCAAACCCTGAACCCTAGCTCAAAGCCCTGGCCAGAGCCGTATCTAAGAGACCTATCCTAAAGCCCAAGCCCAGAGCCCTAGCCTAGAGTTCTAGCCTTAGTTTTGACCATATTCATAGCTCTAGACCTAAGGTTTGCTCTAGTCCTAGCCCAAGTTAAATCTCCAGTTTTGGCCATAACGTAGTTCTTCGCCCTAGGTCTGGTATAGATATAACTTTTTCATTGACTTCTGATAAACCAGTCTTCCTTCTAGACAATAATTTGTCGAGACTGTATTGAAACCCGCATTGTAACACATTCTTATGCAACGTTCTTTCTACTATTGTATTGTTTTTTGTAATTTGTCGGCAGCTCTTCAACGCAACGATTCATAAAGAGCAAACTTGATGAAGAAGGAGGAAGTCGAATCCTCCGCAATATTCTAATATCGCAGTCACTTTTTGAGCCATTAGCTTAGATGAAATGCTTAAGCAGTGGTTTGAATTATTACTTCTATTGATTTGTAGTTCAGGTTTTGTTAATTGCAGTAAGTTTTTGAAAAATTTTTTTTTATTTGACGTCAAAACTTTTTTTCTGAATTTAACCTTTTTTAAATATTTTGGTATTTTTTCTAGAAGCCCTTCTAAAAGGCTAGCTGTATAGAAAAACCTCACGGTCATGTTATGCATACTGTCATAAAGTGTATTGTCATGTCATGCATACTATCATAAGCATAGTGTCATACTATACATGCTGTCATGAAGCATTCTGTCATTTTATAGTATAACATTTAAAAACAGTCATCCAATCTTACCTTTACAGCCGATGTACCAGACTTGATAGACACCGAGCCCTTTGAAGCCTTTGACTTCGGCCCGAACCAAGAACAGCCAGCTGAAAAACAAATTATAGCCGAGCAAACCCTATCTTCTCAAACAGAATCACCCTCAAGATCTCCTAGTAGCCAAACAGCTTTAAAAGAGACAGGTTTATGCTCATTACTCAACGAATTACCAACTTTTATCAAACGAGACAAAGTCCAATCAAAAGGTATACCTAAATTCGTCCATTTTATGGACAGTCTAGCCGAATGTGTAGAAGTGTGTCGTCAACGAATTGAGCCAATTGAACAGACTTCCTTCGAATGTCATGGCTTTATCTTCAACCATCGATCTCATGGCAAAAACTCGTGTGAATTCTTTGATGACATTTCGTTGATCGAACCGATTGATCAAAAATGGGAAAATGGATCAACTTTCTTCGAAAGAGTTTGTTTAGAAATCCCAGTCAAATGTGGTGAAAGTGCTTATACGTTTGATTATGTTAGTGGAAAGAAGACGCATTCAACTCCAATTGGCATTATGACTGTGAAGAACCATGTTGAGTGTTTGAATCTGTGCTCGGTTAAAAATGGATGTAAATCTGTGAATTATGTGGAAAGTGAAAGGTAGGAGAGTTAAAATGCATTGATAATTTAAAAATGTTATGAGTAATTTTTATTTTTTTAGATTGTCTAAGTAAATTGCAAAATATATTCATATTAGCTCTTTGTAAAGAAATTCTCTTGCAAGGAATGTATCTAACCTGTCCTGCTTTGAATTAGCTCAAATTTTTAATATAAATCTTTCGTATAACCAATAGTAACCCTTAAAAAATGTTGGCTCACACTTTTAAGTTTTAAAATGTTAATTTAGAAATTTCTGCCAATTTGCCAATTTTGGCATTGTGTTTTAAGCACTTTTTTCGACTTTCCAGACAAGCTACGCTTACAAATTTAAAAGTATAGGTTCATTTAAAAGCTTTTTACTAGTATTGTATTAAAGAAAACTAATAAAAAATCAAAAAATTTCAAAATTATAAGCTTGAAACACAATGCCAATTTGGCGAGAAATTCAAAACCTAATTTTTTGATGACGATTTTCCCAAGATTTCCTAAAAAGTGCAACTTATTACTTTGCTGAAGATCTTATATTGGCATGATCTTTTTATATAAAAATTTCAAAGTCAATCAAAGCAGGGAAAGTAAGACACTTTCCTTGTTAAATTTTGTACAGTATTAAGTACAGTATTAACAAATAGGAAAACAAATTTTACGTTTAGAACCTGCGAGTTATTATCAGAACCAGGTACTGGTAACCTCATCGACTCACAAAATACTGGATTTTTTGAAAATATGTGTCTACAAGGTGAGTACTTTCAGCAGTACTAGGAGGACAAGTTTAGTCTCAACCCTCAAAAATTAAAAAAATTTATAGCCTCTGAAACCTAAACTAAAAAAAAAATTTTTAACCCTACCTTATTTTAATCTACTTTATCTTATCCTACTCTACCATACCATTTCATTCCACAACATACTTTTAGACTCCAAAAAATGCCTTGAATCTCAGCGAGTCGACTTTATCGTAACCAAAAATGCTCAAGTTGGTGGGCTAGAGCACCGTCTAGGATCAGTGTCGATCCAAACGTGTATGAGAAAGTGTGTAGAATCATCACTGGTACATTGTCGTTCATTTCAATACGACCAATCGAGTAAGGAATGCATTTTAATGGAAGAACTGTCACATTCTTATACTCCTTCTGAAACGTTTGATCTTTACGAGCCAATATGTTTGGATGAGAAGATTGATCTACCCTGCCAGGGTGATTATGTGTTTGAGAAGCTGGCTAATACTAATTTGGTTGCTGAGGATTTGATCTCGGTTAAAATGAGTAAGTTTTAGGTATTAAAAATTTTTTAGGTGTAGGTGAAGGTTGCTAGCTTCAGACGGCACAAATTTAAAAAATTTTCAAATTTAAAAAAAAATTTTCAGATACCACAGTAAGCGAGTGTATGCAGATGTGTTTGAATGAAGAGCATTGCGTTTCATTTGTTTTTAATAAAGCTGAAAGGAAGTGTAAGATACTGCCAGTTAATCGAAGACACGAACAGACAAGATCAATTGTCGAAAACCAATTCGACTTCTACGAATTGTCATGTGATCGTAACGCTGTTTTGAAAAATCAACGGCCGGTCGTTCAGGTGGAGAATGAACAAATTGGACAGAGTAAGAGGCCCTAACACAGCTTATCGTACTGTACCCTACCGTGCCGTACCCTACCCTACTCTACCCTACCCTACCTTACCCTACCCTACCCTGCCCTATTCTACCCTACCCTGTCCTCACTGTCCTCAATTCCATGCCATATGCCAGCATGCCCCACCCTAGTTCTCCCATGCAAAACCTAAAACCCTATTTTCAGTTGAATCCCAACCACTAATAACCACCCCCATACCACATATTGCTCTGCATTCTACCATCCCATCCACTCCTCAAACCAATCCAGGCAATCCATGTGACAGTACCAGAAGTGTACTACTAGAAAAAGGCCGTACTCTACGTATTGAATACCGTAATCTTCACCACGTTAATATTAAAAGCCTAGAACAATGTGAGGCATTGTGTGGTGAGACCACCATACCATGCCAGACATATGCCTACAACATTAGAACTGGTGATTGTTTGTTGTCAACGTTGGTTATTAATAAGAACAATCGGTTTTTGTTTGTTACTCAGCCGAATCCTAGTTATGAGCTTTATTCTTACCTTGGTAGACGTTGTGGAGAAGGTAAGTAGATTGAAAGTCAAAAATATGTCATAACAAACCAAAAAAAGCTATTTTGCGAAACTTAAAAAATTAAAACTTCAAAAATGACACATACTCAACAAATCTAAATATCATTCTAGGCCAATCAACAACCCCCATCCCAACCCTAATCTCCCAGCCAGTACCTCAAACCACCAAAATCCCCAACTTTCATCGTGTCGAGGAGTTCACAGCCACAATGATTCTGATGGAGAAAGACTTTACAACTCAAGACCCAACTGATATCGACCCCTTTGATGAAAAACCACGCCCTCATCATAAACATACCAAAGTCCCTCATATCCCGACTTCTGGAGCCTTTCAAGCCTTCCGCGATCCTCAAGTTTCCGGATTTGAAGGTTTTCCAGCTCCACCTGAAGAGAAGGATTTGAACAGTGGTAGTGATGGTATTATTGATATTGGAAAAGAATTGGAAGTTCATAATCAAGAAGGTCATAGACATTCAGATGATCATGTTGAGGATGGTGAACATGGTAAGAGCAGTTATTAAAAAAATGTTTTTGTAAGACGAAAGCTTTATATTTATATGTAAAAAAGGCCTAAATTTAATTTTTTTAATTTTAAGCTTATTGTACTAAACCTACAATTAAAAAAACTAGCCAAAATTAATCATAATTACCTTGTAAAATATTTTTTAAATAATTTAGAGACCATCCCAAGCCCAGGAGAGCACCAAGAACGCATTATTACTCACAAACAGCGTCAAGAACAAGTCTTTACTCATGGACAACATGAAGATCATGTGACAGAAACAAAAGAACACCATGATCATATTGTAACTGATAGAAAGCATCATGAGCATGGCGTTGTTCATGACCAAAACGATATTCATAAATTCCACCATGGTGCTCACAAAGATCTGCACGATATTCAAAGTGACTTGCACGATACTCACAAGAACAATCATGGTACAAACCCTCATTCAGTAGATCAACATGAACATGATGCTAACAATAAAGGACAACATATTGCACATGTTCAAGATGTACATCATGATGAACATAAAGAACACAATAATCATGACCAAAAACCAATAAAACATTCACATATTCAAGTAGCAAGCCAACACGATCAAGTCAAACATCATCACCATGGAGCTGTTCATCGTGATCAAACCTCTGTGGTTCATGGAAATCAAGTTGCTCATCAAGAACAGCAAAGAAATCAGCAAGAACACCAAGTGGATCATCATGAACAATCTTCAAATTCTGATAGTACTGATAACACGGACGGTCCTAGTAATACCAATACGGTAGATGTTCCTAGAAGAGACAAAACTTTGGAAAAGTTTGCTCCAAATCAAATCAAAGTACAAGCATTTTGCTTGGAAAATGGAGTCAATGTCACTTTTCATGTGAAGGACAAGGTAAAATACGTCAAATCGAGCAAAAAAATGCTTTAGTAATTAGAACGGGTTGGTGTGTAAAAGAAAATACTTTTAAAAATTTTTTGAAAAAACCCCCTGCTGACCAAGAAAATTTAACTTCCCCAACCAAAAAAAATCTCTCGCAAACTATAACACGTTCCTGACACTAACAAACATAACATCTAAAGCCAGCACAACACATATAACTTTTCAGAAATACAATGGAGCAGTGTACGCAGCAGAACGTTTTGCCCAATGCCGTAGCTTCGTCGAAATGAAGTCATCATTTTCGATCTTTGTCGCCCGCCCCGGTGTTAACAACAACTGTAATGCCTTTGAAGAAGACGGACTTTTAACCGCCGTATTAGTACTGTCAAATGATATGGTACTGCCTTATGATGTTACTACAAAAGACGACTTTTTCTATCAAATCACATGTGACTACAGCAAAGGAGAACACTCTTCTCTTGTTCATACTGGAATTGTTGTTGGGTCAGTTATGAAAATTTGTGGTATAAATGGTCAAAAAATATGTAGACTCTTAAGAAAAAAAAGATCTGTGGAAGAAAATATTATACTAAAGAAAAATACAGTTTAAAAAGTAGTAGGTAACCAAAAAATAGGTAAAAGAATTAATTATAGAGGCCCCGAACCGCGATCAGTAATGATGTCAAGTAAGAAGAACGATGATACGGAGACAAGAGTGCTGCTGCGAATACTGAAGAATAATCGACCAGTAACTAACGTTTATATTGGCGAAAAATTGACTGCTGTTGTTGAAGGTGACATTGATGGTAAGGGTTACAAGATAAAGAACATAGCCGTTAAATTACATTTTTTTAATATAAAATGACATTTTCAAACATAAATTGACATTTTGAACCAGTAATGTAATTTTTGACCTAAAATGTCATTTTTAATTGAAAATGTCATAAACCGTTATTTTCAGCCAACCGCCTCCGAGTTAGTGACTGTAACGCAACCCGAGTAGGAGGTCGTGAACCCAAGCCCAATTCCTTGTCCCTGATCAAAGACGGTTGTTCTGTGATGCCACAAATCATGGGTAATATTGTGAAAGGTCAGAACGGTCTAGAAGCACCCTTCACGGCGTTTAGAATCGATGGATCTGACCAAATCGATATTGTTTGCAGCGTTGTTGTATGTAAAACAAAGTGTGAGGAGAGGGTATGTGATATTGTAATCTGTGGCAAGAAGAGCATGAAGAGAAAGGATGGGGGAGACATTTAAAAACCTTTTTTCTTATAGGAAGCAATCTGTCCCCCAAACCGACCAAAACGAGCGATTGACCATCGTCGTGGAGATGACCAGATCACAGTAGATCAACGTCTTCGTGTCCTCGTAGTCGACGACTCAGCGATAGATTCAGAAACGGGCAATTATTCTCCAAGTGTGTTCGGTCTTCTATTAGATTCGGAAAAGAATCCTTACTGTGTGAATAGCAATGTTCTGCTTGGAATGGCAACGATTTGCATATTGTGCATGCTTTCCCTCGTCTTATCGATCGGATGGTTCGTTTGTCAACGTCGCAACGGCTACACACAACAACACGCGTATTCGGAACACTATGCTAATGGCAGGTATGCTGATAAAGTTGCAAATGGCAGGTATGCTGATAAAGTTGACGATGACTGGTTATAGAGGCTGTTGCGCAGGTAATTGGGGTTATCACGTGTTGGTTTTGGAGGCATACACAGAGAGAAGAACAGTATTTTCAGAATTAGTTGTTGTATATTTCGTAGTAAATAGATGTAGCGTATAAAAGGGTGTTCTTTAGGTAACAAAAATGCCTAAACGTATGGTTTTGTAATACAAAACCACTTACTTTATGATGTAGAGCATAATACAATACCATAATCGATGATTTTCGTTGATAAAGCTGGTCATAACAAGAACAAAAAGGTGCCAATAACAACAAATTTAAATATGATAATAGATTTCTATTTAATCTTAATTACAGTAACAATTAATTTTACAATTTCAGTGATTTACCGCCTCCACCACCGCCATTTCACATCCCTCGTGTTGACCGATACACTGCCTAAATTAAAAATAACTAAAAATCAATCATCGTTGTAAAGATGACGTCTTCGTGTAAAAACACTAGCACCAAAAGCAATATTCTTTTCCTAATAACCTCATTTTTATCCATTAATCAATTCATTTTCATAATAAAGTTTAATTTTAACTTGAATAAGAAATTTTAATCAAGTAGTACCGTTTTAGGGTCATATTTATTCAAACAGTACTATTTTCAGTCAATTTAATCGACCAGTACCAGTTAAACCCCATTTTTAAACATAGAGTACTACTTTAAATCTGTTCAATCCAACAGTACCATTTTAGTATAACTTTTTCACAAACTGTACTACTTTAGTACTATTTTTAATATAACAGAAGCAGTTTATTACATAACTTCCCTTTCATTATCAATTTCAAAATTTATTAAAATTTCGAATCAAAAACTCAGTATCGTACTCATTAGTACTATTATATTTAATGGGATATGAGTTGTAATGAATAATATAGCACAAGATACCGAGACCTCTGATTAATTACACACTTTAGGTTCAATAAATAACTCTAAAACAAGGAGCGTACTCTTGGCTGTACGATACAATGAGTACCATACAATACAATCTGTATACCATGGTGGATATAATCTAGTACTATTAAATTACAATATATTGCTTTATCGACCGGTCCTAATGTCACTTTCTTCCTTTCCCAATCGGTCAATAAGTTTCAAGAAAAAAGGTTTAATTAATAATTTAGACCAAGTTATAAACTAATTAACAACAATATAAGAAAACATTACATTAATTGAATAAGTGGGTTACGTGAGGAGATACCTTGCAGTAGATTCCTTTGCCAGCTTTGTAGGTCAAATAGCCGATGCCGGATACAATGGCGACCTTTATCACTACACCACAGACTCTTGATGTTAAGGATGGTGGTGGTATTCTGAAAACAAAAGAATTTTTATATTGTTTCTGTTATTTTTCTTAGTAAAACTTTACTAGCCAAAATCTTCAGATGTAGCTACAAAATGAGCTAAACTAAGCATTTATAGCCGATTTTAGGTACAGCAACCAAACTTTTAAAAAAGCCTATAAAAATTTTAAATACCTTTTCTCCTTAAAAATTGAAAAAACCTACTCCAAAAGTTCGAGGTTGTTGATATGTGAGTTCCATGACTCCTGAATCCCCTTCATATGGCCAATTCCGACTACTGCCACCATTTTCAATGGTTGATAATCCACCTTAGTCTTGCAGTTTCTCCACGCTGTGATCTTGGCACAAGTGCTTGACTGCATTAGAGATTGCAGCACATATGCCATGTATTTGTCTCGTTCTTCCACAAAGATCTTCGAGAGTTGAGGGAATTCACCGGCCATTTCTTTGAGCAAGCTTTCAAGCAAGTCCTTTTCTTTGCAGTTCTCCACGTCTTCTTGACTGAAATTGAATGTAAATTGGTGTTATAAAGGTAAAGAGTACTATAATATCATTTAATATAATCTAATTCGTACTTTCTACAAGTTTTAGCCATCAAAATAAGAGAATTATATTACGAAACCAGCAAAAAAACCATTAAACCCCTTAAAATCAACCAAAATCCAGATATTATCACCAAAGAACCAATGAATTTGACTTTAATTTTACCAAACCTAGCCCGTTCTCAACAAAAACCTCAGTTATTACCTCCTCCAACAAAATCCAATTCACGACGTTACCTAAAATCCAAGAAAAACCTCAAAAACTCACGTGACAGAAGTCCTGTTAGACGAAATGACATGATATATCAGTCGTATCTTCTGAAGGATTCCCAACGATGCCAACGCACGTTGTAACGTGACTTGAATTGGTCTGTCACCCAAGATCAATTTACATCCTGGAATCTTGAAGCTGGCTTTGTGAGCTGCGCGGAATTCACCGCCTGGAGCCATTCCCAATTCTTTGGCAATATGAGCTGAAGTAGATAGGAGGAGAACTTGTAGCAAGCCTTGGACTATTCCATTCTGAAATTGATTTTTATTAAACTGGCTTTTAAAAGTATTATACTACAATTTAAGTTCATTTTAACAATCGTTTCCAAAAAAATAAAACTCCTTACATCTCTGATCAAATTCATGATTTTCTGTCGATTCAAAGTCTTGGCTTCCCTCAACAACGTCTCTTCGTCCAATGACAAGATGCTAACCCTATGAGCACACAATTCCACCATGACGATGTCTGGTTGAACTTCGCTGATAGCTTTAGTAACATCATTTTGACTTTCAGGTGAAAAGTGAGCGGTCCCAATCACGTATAGTCGTGTTTTGTTGTACATGTTCAAGAAATCTTCTCTGGACACACCTGATGGTGGTTGACCAAGAGGCTCGAATGGTGGAACGAGTTCTACTGCTAAAGCAAAGTAATGATAACTTAGCATTTTGTGTTTTTTAGGTTATTCATCATTTTTTAAATAATTTTTAAGCTTTTGATCATTTTCTATTATGCGTTCCTTATCTTGTTACTTTTTAAAGTCATAGTATATATTGTCTTGAACCTCCTAATCCCTATTACAAATCCCTCATACGCTGTGTCAACTTACAAGTAGCTTTATTAAGTTTGGGAGTCTCTTCTCTGCGTCTATTGAATACGTATTGGCCACTGAAGGTTAACTAAAAGAATATTAGTCAGTAGTTGTAAACAAATTAACGTTGCCGTGAAAATTGTAAACAAAAAGATTAGCATATAACCTGAACTTCTACATCTGCATAAATAGCACAATTTCTGTAAATTTTTGCTTTTAGGTAATAAAGTACCTAAAAGCATACCTATCAGTACGCTAAAAGCTTAAAATTGTTTTCAAATAAGAAAAGTCTATTTTAAGCTTCTCTTATTTAAAACTTATTGATAATGAAGTTCGTCACACAAAAATTGATACCTAAAAATAAAAAAAAAAGAAAGCCAAAACCCTTACCATGCTTGGTGGACTACCCGGCTCCTCACTTCTTCCATCTTCTTCATCGTCATTGTCATTTTCCTGCAAATCTGCCACATTACTAGCAGAGTCGACCAAAGAAACCGCCGACTGTCCAGCTTGTTCACTCATCGCATTAGTTCTACTCAACGACAAGCTCTTCATTCTGAATATATCTTCTTCATTCAGCTCCGAAGCCCTATCCCGAGCTGCTGTCGGATCGAAACGTGGATTAGTCTCTCCATCATCTTGAACTGATTCCAACTGCTCGTTGGTCAAATCTCCAGCAGTTTGTGACATCTCAGCGTTTTCTGATGCCGATACTGAATCCGAATTGCGCAGCTCTTTCATTCTGAAGATATCGTCGCCAGTCAGCTCGGTCAAAGTTTCCTGACCAGCAATTTGAGCTGAAGATGGAGAACGACTAACTGATTCCTCGTCAAATACGTTAACATGGTCTGGACGACTTAATGAGGCTTCTGGAGCCGGCGTCGGCTCCGGATTCACGGTGAATTCCATTTTGATGGCGTTTGAATACTAAAAACAACATTATTTTGAAAAAGATAAAGCAAAAAAGAAAAATTTTACTATGAGAAATTGTAAACACGTTGAATATCTGAAATCTAGTTATTTCAAGAATTTACTAACGTTTATTGTCTAAAACGATAAAAATTACTCAATTCTAATGAAACTAATAATAAACCAAACAAAAATCTCAAAAAACAAAGAAAAAGCAACAATTCCCACTCAAAAACAAGAAGCTTTCAAACCCATAACTCAGCTTTCGTAAGAACCCAGATTAACACCTGCATCTATAATAACATCAACAAAACGAAAAAAGTTCCAACGTTCCGTGCATAAAATTTCTACACGAATACCTTTCTTGTAAATTCCAAAGAAAAACAAAAAATCCACCTTTTTCGAAGGCACTTCACTTCGGAAACAGACCCCTCTAAAACCGTGTACGTTTTTGATGTTTAAAACAATATAAAAGCTATTAAAAATGCATAAAAAGCGTAAATTAATATACCCGTCACAGTATTAACAAGTGCGTTGTCAGATCTACGAGTAAGTGGCCAAAAAGAGCCAACGGGAACTAATTGTGCAGCGAAAACGTTAGGAACTCATGAAAATTTGTTATTTTTTTGGTTTTGCGCGTAGCTCTATCTTATACGACCAAACCTGTGCGTGACAAATTTTTGTTTTCAGTGAATTCGAAGGAAGAGTATCAGTAGGTTTACAATCTTGTTACTCAAGACATTATCAACTAAATTATAATCATATAGAAACTTATTTCCAAATTTAGAAAATAAGAACTTGTAAAACATGTTTGCTCGTATAAAATGTCGCCTAATTTTCTGGTAATAAAAATAGAAGTACGTGTCCATTTTTGGTCCAAGGAGAGGTCAAAAAGCGTGTAGTTTCTATTAAGACTAATAAAGCTGTTTTGTAAAAAAATTTACGTTTTTTTAGTTTGAAATTTTATGTGAGAGCGGACCTTTTTAGCTTTTTAAAGAAATTTTATAGAAAAGGCCCTGAAAAGGCTAAAAACAAAATGAATAAGGACTTGAAAGATGCTGTTTGACGCATTTGTTGTATTTTTATGATTTTATTTACATCTTTTGCAATACTGTTTAAGATTTTCGTCCATAGGATCAAATATTACTATTTGAGCTTACTTTAATATAAATCCTTATATCTCGTTGCTAAACAACAATATTGCAGATGCGAAAATGTCAATAGATACTCTAGTCCAGTCGGTTACTACATATCGACGTCGCTCTCCGTTGGGATTCTTGTATGGCGGACCGTTTGCCATTTTCTACGCTATTTGGGCGTACTACTGGGTGAACGTGTTGGGCTTCAACGACTACTACGAATTAGGATGTATTGGCGTAGCTGTGATAGCAATCTTTCAAGTATGTTTATTGCTTTGTTTATTTTAAATTTAGGTTAATATGAAGGTGAATTAGCAGAGTTATGGACGATATTAACCTTGATATGAAGTTTGATGAAACAATTTTGGTTTTTTGGAAACATAGTGCCTAAAACACGACGAGCTTTACTTCTTGGTACTAAAAGAGTTTGTTTCAGGTTTTGACAGTTTTATTTTGTTATTGGTTTGTGGAAGTCAACTGTTTATTTACGTGTAATTTTGTTTCTGATCCAACTAAAGCAATATTAGCCAAAGTAGTGCCACAGCCTAACAATGGATGGACGGAATTGGTGCCAATTCAAAAAACAAAGGTAGTTATAAATACTTTCCAAACTTTTAATCTTTGAATTAATATTTTTTTTTAATAAAGAAAGTTACTAAAAAAAGTCTCATGGTTAATATCTTTTAGTTGACAAATGGGGACGTGCAAACATGGTTTCTTTTCCAAAAGATAACTTATTTTTACAATGAAAATAAAAAGGAGTTTGAATCTATAAAATACGACACTTCACGGACATTGAGCGAGTTTTATGAACATAAAGGCTTCGAATCTGATGAGCAAATTCAGCAAAGTAAACTAAAATACGGGAATAATGAGTAAGTTAATTGTTTTTCAGATGTTTTATGTTTTTAGGTATTTGGTTGTTAAATATGAAGTACATTGTATAATAAATGATCATCTAAACTGATTTTTTTAGCATGGAAATGTCGATTCCTCTGTTCATGGACTTGTTTATCGAAAGAGCTACTGCACCCTTCTTTGTGTTCCAGGTAACATCATTTTTTAAGCAGTACAGTGTAATTTCTGTTACTTATTGTCAAACATTTGTCTTTCTTTAGTATTTTTTACTTCAGAAATTTTACATTGTGTTGTTTTAGGCTCTACAGAGACTATTTTAACATAACAGTTAAATTATTGCTTTTCAGGTTTTCTGTGTTGGATTATGGTGCTTAGAAGACATGTGGTACTATTCACTGTTCACTCTAGTCATGTTAATGACATTTGAAGCGATGATTGTTAAACAGCAGCTCAAAAACATGCAAGACATCAGGAATATGGGTAACAAACCATACATGATTTATGTGAGTTTTTTACCGTCGTACTACTTTTAGGTTTTCTACTGTTATATAATCTGTTTGTGCATAATATAACATTAGTTTTGTTAAAATACGTGATTAAATGTTTTTTTTATTAAACAAAACAAAAAAGAATTTTTTTGAATTTTTAATGTTTAGGCCTACCGCAATCGCCGATGGAACAGAGTAGCTTCAAACGAACTGGTCTTTGGTGATATCGTGTCAATCAACCGGTCGAGTGAGGAAAAGTCGGTTCCATGCGATTTGCTATTGATTCGTGGTCAATGTATCGTTGACGAATCAATGTTGACTGGTGAAAGTGTACCACAAATGAAAGAACCAATTGAGGAAACTGACAGAAGAAAGGTGTTTGATTTTGGAACAGATGGAAAGCTGCATGTGATCTATGGTGGTACTAAGGTTGTGCAACATAATCCACCAGGTAGGCTAATATCGTTTTATTTTTGTTGTTGATTTAGTTTTTGAGCGGATTTTTTGTTAGGGGAATGGTTATAGGGTGTTGTTTAATTGTTTTAATTTTTAAATTGCTTGTATAAGCCGTTTTTGATAAACGAAGGAGAAGTTATATTGTTTTAGGGCATTGTAAGGTGTTTATTGCCTTTGATTATAACTTTTTTCATATAAGGTAAAGTTACTTTGTTTTTTGAAATTTTAAATAATTAAGGCTACACCTTTATTTAATGGCATAAACGTTTTAGTCTATACATAATTTTTCAGTCAAAATTAAAATTTATATTGTTATAGGCAAGACAGACCCAGGCATGAAATCTCCAGACAACGGTTGCATCTGCTACGTTCTTCGTACAGGCTTCAACACTTCACAAGGCCAGCTACTCAGAACCATATTATTCGGGGTAAAACGGGTTACAGCGAACAATCTCGAGACTTTTGCATTTATCTTATTCTTGATGATCTTTGCTATCGCCGCGGCAGCTTATGTGTGGATCAAAGGAACCGCGGATCCAGATAGAAACAAGTACAAGTTGTTCTTGGAATGTTCATTGATTATCACTAGTGTTATTCCACCAGAGCTTCCGATTGAACTGTCATTGGCAGTCAACAATTCGCTCATTGCATTGCAAAAATTGGGTAAATTTTAATATTTTCGAAGTTTTTTTTTGAAATTTTGTGTATTTAAATATAAGGAACGTTTAATACAAGATTATTGAGCTTTTAAGATGACTATTAGTATCATATTAATTCAGAATTTAGAACAGCATTACCTGAAAACTTTAAAATTTTTACTTACAATATATTGTTATAGGCGTCTTCTGCACAGAACCCTTTAGAATTCCGTTTGCTGGCAAGATTAACATTTGTTGTTTTGACAAAACTGGAACATTAACTACAGACAATCTTGTGGTAGAAGGAATTGCTAAAGGTACAGATAAAAATGGCAAGATTGATATTGTAAAGAACCCGGCCGATGTTGATCAGAACTCGATAAGAGTACTGGCTTCATGTCAAAGTTTGGTCAGATTTGACGATGAATTGGTTGGGGATCCGATGGAGAAGGCGTGTTTGAATTGGATCGACTGGAATGTTAGTAGAAGTGAGTTTTTTTTGGCAATTTCTAATTTTTTAATTAAAAAGAATATTTTAAATCATTTTTCAAAATGTAGCTTTTATTTTATTAAAAATTGAAATTATAGGTGATTCTGTAATCCCAAAGAAGTCAAAAATGCTACCACTGAAGATTGTGCAGCGTTATCACTTTTCTAGTCAAATGAAGAGGATGACAGTCGTGGCTAGCTACATTCCTCAAGGCATGACTGAACCACAACATTTGGCTGTACTCAAAGGTGCTCCAGAAGTATTAAGAGCTATGGTAGGGTTTTATAAAACGAAATTTTAGTATTAGTATATTAAGTACAATACGATGGACGGTGCATCACAGTGCGGTGTCATATTTTATTATAGTTGATACTCATGGTTATGGTTACGTTTTTTTTTAAAATTAAGTTTAACGGTATTAAAAGTTGTCGTTTTAGTACAAGAACTTACCAGCTGATTACGATGAAACGTATCAAGAGCTTGCTCAAGCCGGCAGTCGTGTACTATCACTTGGTATTCGAGAAATGGGCGGTTTATCACATGCAGAGGTAATATTGAGGATCTTTGGTTTTTTGTAGTAGGATGTTCAAATAATTCTGTGCATATTTTAAAGAATATGTTGGGGAGGGGGGCACATAATTATTTGAACAACTTAATATTTAATGTTTTCTTTTGATTACATTGATTATTGTAGATAAGAAACAACAAACGTGAGGACTACGAAAAGGACCTTGAATTCGCCGGATTTGTAGTCATCTCGTGCCCATTGAAGCCGGATACAAAGGAAATGATCAAAGAAATTGTGGATTCTTCACATTCAGTACGTTTTTTGCAATTTTAAGCTTTTAAGGTAGTTCGAGTAATTACGTGCTTCCTAAATCCGAAAATGTAATTTCAGAGGGGGCGCAGAACTTTTTGAACAATTTAATATAACTTTATTTTTTGAGTTTTTTGGATTTTTTATTATTTTAAATTGAAATAATAAGTTGCATTTTAAAATAAAGTTTAAAATATTTTTCAGGTAATAACTTAAAGTTTTTGATTGTTTTTCAATTTTTAGGTGACAATGATAACCGGGGACAACCCTCTAACAGCCTGCCATGTTGCTGCTGTACTTCATTTTACCAAAAAGTCGAAAAAAGTTTTAATTTTGGACGAATCGGAAAACGATGATCATTGGTCATGGAAATCAGTTGATGGCAAGACAAAACTGAATGATCTAGCACCAGAAACAAAGGCTGAAATCAAACAATTTGTAAAGGAATACGAGTTTTGCCTAACCGGGCATGGTTACGATCATTTGGTACGAGAATATCCTAAATTTGTTGATGTCATACTACCACATGTGAGGGTTTTTGCTAGAATGTCACCAAAAAAAAAGGTAAGATAAGAAGTTAGGTTTTATATTATGATATTAGGTTGTTCAAATAGTTCTTTGATCTCTAACCTCGAAAATTTGCTTTGAGGTGGGCAAAGAATTATTTGAACCACCTAATAGTGTACCATTTTTCTTTTGATTAAAATGATGGTTTTAGCAAATTAATGCCATTTTTTAAGATAATATGTTTCAGGAACACGTAGTAAATCGGCTGAAGCACTTAGGCTACACCACTTTGATGTGTGGTGATGGAACCAATGACGTCGGAGCCTTAAAGCATTCTCATGTTGGTGTAGCACTTCTCTCTCATCCATATGATCCACAAAAGGAAGCTGAACTACAAGAGCAAAAGAAACAGAAAGTAAACCAAATCAGAGAAGTGGCGGAGAACGTACGAAAAGTGAATCCAAATGATTTGCCAAGCCGATTAGGTGGACCAAAGAAGCCAGACGCTCAAGTAGACCAGAAGAAGATGCCTAATAATCCACATTTGGTGGTAAGTTTGGGAGTATTGTGGTTATGGTTAATGCTTTGGCTATTTTTGTTTACAACAGGGGATGTCATGTTTTTTTTTATTAAAATATTTTTTTATTTTTTTGAAAAATTTGAAATTTTTCTTTTTTTGAAATTTATGTATGTATGTCAAGTGAGGAAAAATGTAGTGATTTAAAAAAAACGGTTTGGGAATGACATTTTATACCTATTTTTAGAAGCTAGAACAGCTAATGAAGGAATTAGAAGAAGAAGAACGTCTACAGGTCATTAAGCTTGGAGATGCCTCAATTGCCGCTCCATTTACATCGAAATTTACTTCGATTCAATCAAGTAAGCGTTTAATTATAATATAATCAAATTTATAGTGGAAAAAATAAAAATTCAAAAGCCAATCAAATATAAAAAATTTTTTGAATTTGGTAAAGAAGTAGTATTATTATTGTTTTTATTACTAGACAATGCATTTTCAGTTTGCCATGTAATCAAGCAAGGTCGTTGCACATTGGTCACAACTCTCCAAATGTTCAAAATCCTGGCCTTGAACGCTTTGATCTCAGCTTACAGTCAAAGTGTCTTGTACTTGAATGGAGTCAAGTTTTCGGATTCACAAATTACGGTACAAGGTCTGCTTTTGGCTTCCTGCTTCTTCTTTGTTTGTCGGTCTAACGTAAGTTTGCCGGGAGGTAACGTTTATAAAGTTTTATCTCTTTCTGGATCAGGAAAATGATAAATCAAGTTTTTTTATGCGAATTTTGAAAAAATTTAAAAATACACGGCCTAGTAGAGTTTGATGGTTTATTTTATAGTAAATTTTAATAAACATAACTTTTTTCAGCCCTTGAAAACTTTGTCAAAACAACGACCAATCCCAAATATCTTCAATGCCTACACTCTTCTAACAGTAACCCTACAATTCGCTGTTCATTTTGGATTTTTGGTTGTGATTTTTGAAAGAGTATTGGAAATTGAACCAAGGTAAGCTTGAATATGAGTACAGGGTTATATTTATACGTTGTGGAAATCTAGATTTGTTTTTTGGATAAAGTTGAAATAAATGACATTTTTAAAGGTAGATGAATTTCGGGTTAAATTTTGAGAGACATACTGATAAAAAGCTACTTTTTCAGAGGAGAAAAGATCAATTTGGAAGAGGAATTTAAGCCAAATTTGCTGAATTCAGCCGTGTACATCATCTCAATGTCACTACAGATGTGCACGTTCGCTATCAATTACAGAGTAAGTTATTTAGTTTTTAGATTGCTTGGTTTAACCGTAATGGTTAACTAAACTTTTAAAAGTGCTTTTATATGGTGTTGTTCAAATAATTCTGAGCTCCGTCTTAAACAAAATTTTCTTATTTAAGGGGCACATAATTATTTGAACAAACTAATGTTCTTTAAACTTTAAATTTAGTTAAGAAACTAAAATCAATTTTTAGGGTCGACCATTCATGGAAAGCTTGACCGAAAACCGACCGCTTTTGTACTCGGTAATTGGCTCTTTGACCGCCGTCTTTGCCCTAGCTTCGAACGCCGTACCAGAATTTTCTCAAAAGTTTGAAATTGTCGAAATGCCAGAGGAAGTAAGTTGTATTCATAGGGTCTTTGAAACACATTTACTGATGGTTTAAATACTAACAATAGTAGTAAGGAAAAATAAGGCAATGTAGTATAATATTTAATTTACTAAAGGTAGTAATTCATTTACTCAATATAAAATATTATTCTTTTGAAAACAAGGAAATACAAAAGATCACGAAATCAAGAGAATAGAAGAAGTAAAACATGAAGTACAATAAATCAATCAACTAAACTATCAAAAACAACAATAACTGAATCACCAAACGAAATTCAAAGACGACTAGACAATAATAACATGACAAAACACAACTGAATTTTAGTTTTTTAAAAATTCTTGTTACACCAGTACCCTAATGCTTATAATAGCTAAAACAGTAACAAGTTTACATTATTACAACATTTCGTATGTTTTAACGATGTTTTTAAAGTTAACTTTACAGTTTTTACTCTTGGTTTATTGTTAAAACGTCTGAGTGGGTCTTAAAAACCGAATTTCGAATTAAAGAACATGATAAAGTCAGTTTCAATGTTTACATTCGAAAAATACCTGACAGTCTACGTTGTAAAAAACAAAAAAAAGGAGCTTGAGGTGTAACAAATAAATTATAAGGAAAAGGATTGTTATAATAATAAACAGCAAGTTCCAAAGATCACTAAACATGAATACTATGATATTGTGAACTAAATTTTGAAATCTTTTGAATAGGGCACAAAAGATATTTATAATATACAGTAAAACTTCTTTAGTACGACTCTCTAGGAAGGGACACCCTGTTTATAATGACAGTTTTTGCCCGTGTTTTGTTATAGAACCTCGTATCAAATAGTACCCGGGTAGTGTGACACACAGGTGAGAATGGCAGCTTTGTACCAGGATCTTGAGTGTATACTAAAGAGGTTCAACGGTATGAGAAAAAAAGTATTTTAAAACCATTGAGGAAGCTATGGGTCCGTTTTTGAAACTGTAACACTGAAATAAAGCTTCATTGAAGAACGAAAAAACGAATATCTAACTAGGTTATTTGGCAAAAGATTACACAACTATATTTTTGGTTACAATGTACTATAAGAATGTGAAAAATTGGAAGTACAAGGATGAGTAACATGTTTTCCTCTGTTAAACATTTGTCAACACTCCCCAAGATTCTTAGAACATGCACTTTACATGTGGTTTTAACAACAATCAATTTGTTGTAACTTTGTCATACAATGCTTGGTTTGTCATCCAGATTTCTTTACACAAACCATGATTTTAGTTAACAAACAAAGAACTTTGGCATGTCTTTTGAAAGCTTCAATTTTAATTTTATTTATCTTATTCTTTTAAACTTTGATTACAAGGATAAGATAAAGCTAATTTGAAGTTAAATTTGAATTTTTTAAAGGCATACTTAAATTCTTTGTTTGATAACTAAAGTCATGTTTTTTATAAATAAATTTGGATGACAAACCAAGTATTATATGACAAAGTTACAACCAATTGAAATGTTTTTGAACCCGCTATGTAAAGTACATGTTCTAAGAATTTGATGGAGTGCTATCGATGTTTAATCGAAGTAAACATGTTACTTGTCTTCCTACTTCCCGTTTCTTATGTTCTTGTGGTATTTTGTAAACAGAGGTATGCTCATGTTGTGTTTTGTTAAACGAACTTGTTAGATATTTGCTATAAATGGCAGGGAATAGTTTTTACGTCTGAATTATTAGGTGGTTCAAATGATTTTGAACCTCCCTCAAAGAAAAATTGTTGGGGGTAAGAGGCACAAAATTATTTAATCAAACAAATACGTACTTTTTTTATAATAAAAAAGTTGTAATGCCATTAAAGGTCATCAAGATGTTTATCTTTTTTTAATATAATAATTACAGTGGCGGCAAGAAAAAATGGGACACGATGGTTTTAAGTATAACTTTCTTGAAACTAAAAGAGTAAGGCTTAAAATTTTTGTGATTTTACAATATTCTTTTTGGCAACGAAATTGCAAAAAAAAATTTTTTTCTTATTGGTACAAAAAAGTTACAGTAATTCTACCGTACCTTGTACTTCCAAAGTAGTTGAAAAAAATTTTTTTTAAAAATCGGAGATGTACGTTTTATAGAGCACAAAATGTTGTACAAGACCAGGAAGTTTTAATATTGTATCTCCAATGGTAAAAGAGTTACAGATTTTTAAAATTTAAAAAAACTTCCGGTTTTTCAAGCGGAATCGAACTTTTTTGGTTTTTGAACATTTTTAAATGCCCTTACCTCATTAACAAAAAACAATTGAAAGATAAAACTTTCTGAACTTGTACAACTTTTTATGCTCTATAAAACGTACATCTTCAATTTTTTTAAAAAATTTTATGCAAATACTTTGGAAGTACAGGGTACGGTAGATTTACTGTAACTCTTTTGAATCAACAAGAAAAAACATTTTTTTGCAATTTCGTTGCCAAAAAGAATATTGTAAAATCACAAAAATTTTAAGCCTTACTCTTTTAGTTTCGAGAAAGTTATACTTAAAACCGTCGTGTCCCATTTTTTCTTGCCGCCACTGTAACATTTAAATTAAAATTTAATTTTCTAAAAATTTTTTTTTTTAATTTTTAAATTTGAAATTAAGTGCGTTTTTAGTTCCGGAACTTTATGGTAATGTGTGTTGCCGGAGACTTGATACTGTCGTTCTCAATCGACCGGATCCTCAACTTTTTGATTGGTGACCAACGAGCCTAGAAGTTAACTTAATAATACCTATGATAATATGGTTGTAGCTTTTAATTAATCTTAATAAATTATTTTTGTTTTAGTTTTGGGTTGATTTTTTAAAAATGGTATGCTTTGTGGTTTATGTCAACACAAAGGAATTTTCCAAAACGTATTTTACTCATACCCAAATTCCCAGACACATTAATTGTCGGTCATTTCAGGCCGGTTTTCTCTTACTTTCTCCTTTCCATCGTTGACTTTTCCCTTTCATCGAATGACCTTTTAATAGCCTGATGAGTTTAATCATAACACGGTCGTCGGGAAAAACATTTCCGCGTCTCAAAACACATTCATCGTCGACGACGCCCCTGATGCCTTCGGGGGTCGTGAAAATTAAATTTCGAACGAATAAAAATGATTGTATTGTTCCGGTAACGATCACAACCGCCCCATAGACATTCGACCCGAACGTTTGGGCCGGGTCTTTGAGTTGTGGGTGTTTGGATTTGGTTTACTTGTTATTGTTAAACATATTGTTCTATTTGAACTTGACTACTATTGCAATTCTTAAAAATTTAATTTTTAAAGTATTTTCTAACTTTTCAAATTTATTTTGTTTGGTTATCAGCTGGTTTAAGCCGGAAAATCAACCTTATTTGGCTAAAATTGTTCAAAATTTAAAATTTTTACTAGTATAAGGTTTACTTGGCTAGTATAACGTTTTAACTTTAAACTTGTAAAAAGCCTAACAACTAATATGGTTTTAATTGTCAAATACGCTTTACTAGCTATTGTATTGGTATCAACAACCCATGGTATCCTATACAACCGCTATGTTCCTGATGCTACTGGTGATGCTATTCAGTAAGTTTTAGGAAATTTGATCTTTACTATACTTTCTTTACTTTTACTCTGGTTTATCTATATTATGCCTATTAGTACATAACTTTTCTTCTAGTATCAATCTACCGTAAAAGCTTCAATTTTGGTACTATTAGGTTGTACAGAAAATTCAGTGCTCTCTTATTACAAAAATTTGTTTTGAGAGAAAGCACAAAATTATTTGAACAACCTAATATTTTTTTTAAAAATATTTTGATTTTTTTAAAATTAAAAAAATTAATTTTTGAAATGGCACTCATAAAATATGTAATTTTTAGCTACGTCCGAGGAGGAACTCAAAAAATTTCGATAGAAGTTTTGTCACGATTTCATATGGCACCTCAAATGGTGACCACCGCCACACAGCTGATCAAGGACAATTTCAGCGACCATAGCTGGATGGACGCTGGGGATGAGAGCAATGTCATTGGCGATGTAAGTTTGTTTATTTTTAAAAAATTTTTTAAATTTTTTAAGGTATGACTAATTGAAAAATTTAAAAAATTTCTTTTTTTTTGCCATAACTTCTAATTAAAGTCACGAGCTCTTTTTTTCATGCCTATCAATACCTTTAACACATCACAACGTTCTAAAATTACAACCGGAAAGCTGTGATGACTTCAAGGTCCGATTGGGTACCAAGGTCATTTTTTGTTGTTATCACATCAATTTAAAACCAAATTTCGAACAGTTCGATCACCTGTAGACAAACACTTCAAGAAACTTTAATTAGTGGGAAATTGAATTAGATTTTGTACTTTTATTGGTGTTTTAATGATTTTGAAAGGTTGTTTATACATGTTTAGGTAAAAAATGTTTTGGGGATCAACCATAAGAGACTGGGAAAGGTTTTTGAAAGTTTAAAAGGGTCGTGTTAAATTAAGAAGTGATAAATAATGGCAGTTTTTAAAATAACTTTTAAGAAAAAAATTTTTTTGTTAACTATTTAAAAATTGAGAAAAATTCTAAAGATATATGACAAGTATTATATATTACTATAACAAAATGATGACAAATGTAAAAATTACTTTAAGAAATTATGGCACATTTTATAAAATTTAATTTCAGGCGATGGAAAAGTCCTATGGCGGTCACTGGATGGTCGGCCAATTTAGTGCGGCCTTTGATGTGGCCTACTCGATCGTACGACGATCTCCAGCATACATACTGTTTTTGGTTAACGAAAGACATGTTCTGATCGCTCAAGAGAGTCCGAATCCGAAATTTAGCAACTACCACACTATTTTGAGGAAATAATTTAAAACCTCTTTTTTGACGTGACTTCGCTCCGTACTCACAATCAGAGCAACAAGTTTATCTCTACACAGAGATAAGTCTATATAGATATAACACAAAGATTAATGATCTCAACATTTTGTACATAAGATACACGATATATAGCTTTATCGTTAATAAACATAATTGATGATTGTTTATTGGACAAAACATCTACCCTTTATTAGTTTTATTCTCATAATAGCCTAAATATCATATATCCTAAATAAACTAGCCCTAGTTTAATCCTAACTCTTCTCAGTTCTACTGTAGCTTTTAACTATCTTTGCTTAATCTCTCCTTTACCCTACGTTAATCTACCTTTTTTTAAATTGCTTTTTCTGTGCTTTACAGCATAATGCTATGGCTCAAGCAAATTTTAACCTGTATTCTAAAGGCCTATCTTTATATAATATTATAATCCTATCTTTTATAATGTTATAATCATAGCTTTTACCGAATGCTATACTAGATTGTCTAGTATGACACTAACTGTAATTAGGTTATTTATCGTAGTAGGGCGCTGCACCTAAAATTTGACACAAATCAGAGCACATAACTGAAATTTACTGTGCTGAGCATAGCAAGGCACAATGCAAGGCCCGGAAGTTGTGCCTTCTTTGTCCAAGCCTGACGGTGACTTATCTTTCTTCAACATACAGTGGTCCCTCTATATAGTTAATCGTTTGTATAAGCAACTCTTATAGTCAACAAAGAATTTGGTCTTGCAAAGTCAACTTTTACTAAAAAATTACTCTGTAAAGGCAACAACCCCTTTAGTGAACACAAAATGCCGGCGCCTTCGGGTTGATACTGTAATCTGAAACGTTCTGTAATTTAAGCTTAATAATTGTAAGATATCTCAAAAAATCTTAAGCTAAAAATAGTGTGACATAACACCATTACAAATGGCAATAATTAACTTCTGTAGAACAAAATTTAAATATCAAAACTCGTTTATAACAAACTAATTTTAAATCTTGAAACAATTTGTAATGTGGCAGTTTTACCGGCATTTCAACCGTTATCACTTCAAAGCGGAACCTTTTTTTGTTTGTTTTTGCAGCTTTCACCCGATGCCGCTCGCTAATGAAATCATTTGACTTGTTTCAAACATCAGAAGGCGGATTTGGTGACGCAACATTTGGTTTCGGATCAGGAAATTGTTTAAAAAAATGTTTGATCCAGTTAAGCGAGAGAATTGATAGATTGGTGTGACAACATAAGAAAACTGAAAGTTTGGATTGACGCTTGATCCGGGCGCTACGGCTGTCACGATACGCTACTGAATATTTGATAGATTTTAAAATTTTTTGTTAAATTTTGAAATTTCGAAGTTTTAGTACGAAAGGCTTATGTTTGTTTAATTGCCTTGAGGTAATAGTATACTGTAACGCTAAATTTTTTAAAAATTATATTGTACTTTGCACTAAAATTAGCTTTATTACTAGACGAACTTTTTTATACTTTACAACCATAAGAAGTACCTACGTATACTATTTTAAAGTACTAAACAGTACGTAACTCTCTACTTACACGTGAATGCTCTCTAAGCTCTAGTCATCATTACACTGCTTTCTAAAACATACTTATTATAATGAAAAACCTATCGATACACTCAACCCTCTACCTCCTACTACTATCTGCCTTAACAACAGAAGCCTGCTTACGTACAACACCTCCAGAAACCACTACACTACCTCCAGCTGTTACTACAACGACTACAGCTGCACCAACGACAACTACAACGACAGTAGCTGGTCAAACAACTACCACTACTACAACTACAACTACGACGACAACTACAACTACTACTACCACAACTACTACAACGACGACTACGGCTATTCGTAGGTTCTTACAAAAGAAAAAAGTTTATAATTTAGATAGTATTTTAGATAGTATTACCTAATCTAACACAACAATTTCAGCTTGTGACGCACCAAACGACAACTCAGCCGGTGTCATATATGATAGCAGTGTAACACCAGACGACGTTTTTTCATCGCAACCAATTGCCGAATGTACTACTTGTACCACAGGTACGAAGTATTGGTTCACTGCCACCACGGATGATGATGGAGCCGACGCGTTGGGAGATGGTGCTTTGTCGTTCACTTGTTCTAACTGGGCCGACTTTTGTATGTGTAACGCAGACGGTTGTTGTACATTCGATGGTACTGATGTTGATACGATCATTGCTTCGCCGTATTGTGATGCTGGTAGTAAGTTTTATAGAACACAGTTTTTTAAACTTAAAGCTTAGTACATTATAAGTAATATCATGTATAATTATGTATAATTTATACATATAGTAACGCGTTATAACACAAAACTCTTTTAGCATGCATGATGTACGTAACATCAAACGGTGGTAGTTCTTTGACCTGCCCTAGTGGAACTATATCACCAGACAATAACGGAGCACCATTCGATACGACCAATTACTTTGTGCCAGACACCATGAGTTGTAATGGCTGTACTGACATTATGGATGACACTTGTAGCGGTCCAACTGTACCTACCTAAGCCTGACTTTTGGTTTAGATATAGTCATTCTGTTGTAAATATCCTTAGTTAAAACATTCCATACTACTAACATAATAATAATAAGCATAGACATAAAACTAATAATAATAATAATAGTAATGATAATAATAACAATAACATTAACCATAATATTTAATAATTAATGGTAACAGTATTGATAATAATATATCTCTTTGCTAATAAATGTATCTATTTAACGCAATTTTATTGATTTTAAATATAGTCTTCTTAGAAATCAAAAAAATTTAACAAAATTTTAGAAAATTTGCATAGTTTGCAAGGTGATATACAGTGAAACCTCTTTAATTTTACTTTCAACAGTGTGACATCCTCATTCTAATGCCAGTTTCTTGACTGCTTTTTGTAATAGAACTCTTATCAAATAGTACCCGAGTAGTGTGAGCCTATCATTAGAAGAATAAACTTAAACTAGTTTTTTCAGATTAGTACTAAAGAGATGTGATTGTACTAAAAATTAAATCACCAAAAAATAGTAAGATACTAACAAAGCGTTGGCGCATCATACACGCTAGTGTTTCATACATAGAAATATGGCAAAACCTTTTTTAGCAGTTGGCGAAAACGCTTAGAAGCATACCTATATCAAGTTACAATTTTGTCAAAGAGTTGTATGATTTTTATTATAATATACAATTATATTTTAATATGGTAAAAATACCTTAAAATCTAAAAGTCTGCCTCGGATTGGTGCCGTTTTCCATTCAGATTTTGTCATTGCTTTAAAATAAATTTTAAGTTTTTAAAAAATTAAAACTGCCAAATTAATAAAAATATTTATAATTTAAAATATACAAGCTAAATATAAATGTAAGTTAATATAGAAATCTGTAAAACTTTTGAAAGTGTATCTCCTCAAGTTTCAACATACATCTAATGTACTAAACTGTATATCATGTAAGACTAGTATCAATATGACCTCTAGTCTTTTTTGCAAAACTTCATACATTCGTTGTAGGTCTCAAAGTTGTTGCCGTTTCCAAGAACACCGTAGTAAGTAAACAATAAACAGTTGTTTACCTCTTTGTCATAAAAATACCTTGGAGTGTGGGAGCCGGCGAAAGCGTACTTTCCTGTATCATAGTTAATTTCGCACACCGCATCTGGAAATAAAGATTTTGGAGGTTGCAGCAGGTGTTGAAGGGGTTTAATATATAAGCTAAATAAGGAAGGGTAAGGTGAGATAAAGTGGAGTAGGGTATGGAAGGGTAGAGTAGGTTAGGGTAAAGTAAAACACAATAAAATTTAAAAAAAGTATTAAACTGACCTCTGCTAGGACAACACAACTTGTCTACACACTTGTAGCCTTCTGGGCATTTGTCGCAGCTTACTGGCTTGCTTGAGTTGTCAAAAGCGGCACGTACTCCTCCTTCGCATTTCTCTAAAAATTGTTTTTTAATTTCAAAAAGAGCTTTTACACTAGCCATAGTTTTTATATACTATTTCTAAACGTCATTTTAAGACTTGACCGTATTTTACAAAAATCAATAATAAACTCACCAACATCAACCACCATTTTGCGGATGTTAGCAGCGTCGGCAACGTCAGCGCTGACTCCGCTACATTTGGCTTTACATTCCGCTGAAGTCTTGAACTGATTGTCATTGCCATTACAACCCGCGTATTGGAAAGGCTGACAATGTTTTGTTCTTAAGTCAAAGTAGAAACGTAGACCACCGGGCTCACCACAAAAAGCATCACCTTTTTCTCGAGCTAAAACTTGTAGGTAAAGAAAGGCTTTTTTTGTTTCTTTGATATTTTTAAGTTCAACTGGGTAGAATAAGAAAGTTTTTGCCGTTCTTGTTTTATTTTTTTCATTTTGTTTTAATGACATTTCAAAACTTACGCAGCAAACATTCCTCTTGTTGAAAGCTTAATCCAATGGCAAGGACAAAAGTGGCAAGAGATAGGCTTTTTGAAAGCATCTTAAAGTTCAATTAGCAATACAATAGGTTTTATTATAACAAAATGCTCGTTGAGTCCAAATTTTCTTTTTATCATGATATAAAGGATTTCTTAAGGCACTGCGTAGTGCTAGATCACGACTTTAAAATTTAGAAGTTTTGTTATAAAAGAGTTTGTTATGCAGCAGTTTCGTTATAAAAAAGTTTGCTATACAAGAGTTTTGTTACAATGTTCATAAAACAAGAGATTTGATAAAAAAGAGGTTTTTATACAAAAGTTGAACAGATTATTAGACTGTTAAAAAATTAGCTAAGCGTTACATTAATGACAACACCCTAATGGTACAAACTAGGGAAAAAAGGAAAAAAAATTAAAACAGAAATCTTTATCGGCTACTTAATTTATAATATAAAAACAGTAAAGTAAATAGATATACAAAACAAACCCTAGTGAAAATTAAAAAAAAGTTCTAAAAAGGAAATTAAACTTTATAATTAATAAAACAAATTTGAAAAAAAATTGCCGAAATGTTTTTTTTGACAAATCAAAAAGCTTTTTTAAATTCGACTTACATTTGGCAAAACTTTTTTTTCTATTTTTAACCACTTAATCAATGTTAAAAATTGTGAACTTCTAACCCGCTCAAACATTAAAAAACTAGAATTTGATTAAAAATGCGCGTCTTTAAAAAACTGTCTATTGCACAAACACAGTTTTATATTCCGAGCTCAAGAAGCAGCGTTTATTAATAACAGTTTGTGTACAAAGGTTTGGCGTCAAGATCGAGAGGTTTGTAAACATTCTTTTTGTGATCCGTTTTGTCATCCGAATTCAAACGACTGGTAAACAAAATTTTACTGTTAACAGTGGGTTGTTTCGGCTTGTATGGTAGTAACAGCAAATAAACATTATTTTATGATACGTGATTTAAGACAGGTTGTTGGGGTGGAAATAGGAAGAAGGAACGATAGGGGCTTGCTCTCTATTCTTCCCTCAAAAAATGAAAAAAACTAAAATTAGTTTTTGACTGCTTAACAATAGAGTAAAAAACTGCTTTTTACCCTACCCTCAACTATTTTTCTAATTCAAGTCTTCTAGATAGATCTGTAAAGGGATCGAGCTGAATTTTTTAAAAGTTTCGTTGCGGGACCTATGATTTGCCCTTGAAAGCTTTGGTTTGGGTCTCGGCTTTCCGGCTCAAATGTGCCGCCCCGGCCTAGTGAACCCTTTTTAAAGTCTACTTCTAGATCAAAAACAAATTTCCTCCCCCCCCTCCATCCCTCCATCTCCCTGAAACTACAACAACCTTGCCTACTAAACAAAATTTTGATTTTTCTCATAAAAACAAAGTAAAAATTTGAAAAAAAAAACTGGACTAAAAATCAAAAAGGTTAAAAATTATTTACTCGGCTCTTTACTGACACTACTTTCGTCAAGCAAGATAATAAAAGGTGTGTTTGCGGAAAGGCAGCTCTTTATTAGTCTTCTCCATCGATGATTGATGACGAGTTCTTTATACAATGGGAGAAAACTCGGCTGTCAGCTCGATTTTGCTTGACAAACATAAACATATATTTTTAGACCTTTGTATGGTTCAAACTTTAAGAAGTAGCATATGTGAAATGAGTAAAAATGAATACAGTAAAACATCTGTATAACAAAAAACGTTATACTGAAACTAGTTATAAAGCTGAAAAGAGGTTTACTAGGCCCTTCTTGACTCTGAGTTAGCCTAGACTGACTGTGCAAGCTCAAAAACCGAGTTTAGTTGAATGTCTTATATAGAACTCAGCTTAACAAAAAGGGCCCCACCGTGAAATAGATTGGTGAAAAAGGTAGGTCCCGCAACGAAAGAGTTTGCTTGCAAAAACGGAAGAACAATTGTGGTATTAAAGCTATTTACTTAATTAAATTTTAAAATAGTGTTTCATAATTAAAATTATTACATTATGAGTTGTTTAAAGCACATAACACTTGTTATTGTTATTAATTCTAATAACTTTAGGCCAATATAATATTTTTAATAAGTTTATAAAAGAGGCTGGGGCAAAGTAAATTTGAAGAACACCGAAAATTGCTTTGACATGTAAGTTTCAGCGTCGGTACTTTAATCAAGGTATTGTTTATAAACCCAGCTGAAAAACGGAGCTCAGCCAGGTCTTACAGTTCTTGAGAGCAGAGATCAAAACTCTTTTCCATCTTTGCTTTGAGATAGTACATAATTTAGCAGTGACAGTACAATCTTGCATCTTCCTAAAACTACAGTGCTATTTTTAAACTTTTATTTCTAAAATTGTTATTTTTGGAAGTTACAATTGTAAATTCTGCAAAACTTTGTTACCTCTTCTTCTTCTTTATTGCTTCGAAAAGTGTTGTTTCATCTTTTCGAACTACAATTCTTAACGTTTAAGATTGAAAATGCAAAATGTAACTAAAAAATATTGTACTGTTTGTTGGTATGTAAAGCCTACATATTATAGCTACTGTTTTTGTTTCTCGTCACAAGTTATAAGAGAAGGAGTTGGTTTGGGTGTTCTGTGTGTTATTGTAATATACGCTTAAACGCGTTTAGAGTCTATGGTTAACAAGATTGTGCACTTAAGGCTAAAAATTTAATTGTAACTTATTTTAAGTGTATAATTTAAAGTTATTACAAAAGTTTAAAGTGAGTTTTTTTTTGAAACTCTAGGTTCTAGAAGTTTTTTTAAATGACTTGTAAGTCAGTTGTACTTTTAAGCGTCATCATTTTTATGCATTTTCTATTTTTTAAATTTAGTTATCGTTTCCGTATTCCAAATCGCAACTAACAATCTTTTTAATTATCATTAATTAAAACATCTTTTAAGTAACTATGCGTACGCTATTTTTTGCATTTTAAACTTTTTTAAATTTTTTTTTAATTCTAGATGATATTTATGACAGACTTGACAGACTCCTTAGTCCTTGTTGTAGCCTTGTTGACAATACCTTTGTACTGCTACTTACTGTTTGTTTTAAGTCACATTAGGCGTCAGAACAGCAAAACAAGCAACTTTTACTTGATTTTGCAAATTAATGGGGTTGCTGATATTGGTAAGTTGCTTTGCTTCTCTAGTCTTTATGCTACGCTAGCCCGAAAATATGTAGTCTGTCCTAATGTTAAAATTTTTAGCCGTGATTCTGATCAACTACTTCTTCTTCATATTCCCACGATTGGGCTGGTTTCTGCCGTTTTATTTGACATCAGGAGAAGGTTTGATGCATATCGGCTTCTTTATTACATGGACGTGCTGTGCAATGCAAGGGCAATGCACATTTTTGTTGGGCGTTAATCGCTTTATCGTTATTAGATGTAGTAACACAAATAAAGTAAGTTGATCATGTTTTACGTACTTTCAATCGTAAAAGTATAAAAGTACAAAACGTTTAATTTTTGTTTGCCAGGAGTTTGTATTCAGCAGGCTTTACTAGGTTAACTTTATGAAGTACGTTAAAGAGCATATAAAGTGGCAAAAAACTTGTAAACTAAAAGTAAATCGTATTCTTCCAGATTTGGATAAAGCCAAAATTTACAATTTTATTTATCTTGTTGCCAAGCCTTACTCTTGGTTGTATATTATGTTTGAGCGGCGTTGAATATATGCCTACACCTTCAGGAGGTATCGTACCTAAACTTGCAAAGTAAGAACTATCGTAATGTTAAACTATTTTAAAACTATGCTATCTTACTTTTTATTGATACTTTACCTGATTTATGTTAAGCTTTTTAAGGTAAAAAACCTGCTATTTTTGTTTTTTAAAATTTTTTTATTCAGTCCCACAATCAAACACATATTATACGGTTTTGTCGGTGGCACAATGTTGATCTACTCTATCGTACTCTCTATTATGTATGTATACATTTGGCACGTTGTTCGCTTACAACGTCCTGTCATCAAACTTACAGAAAACTTTCTAAAACGCGAAATCATTCAGCGACGTAGAGAAGTCAACTTACTTATAATGGCTTGTTTAGTATGCGTAGCGCAGCTGATTATGACGTGCTACTTGATATACAAAACTTTGAATGGTGTTGATCTTGAACTCAGGGTTTATACGTCATTAAGGTGAGATTAGGTTTTACACTTATAATTTACATTGCAGTAAACAACGAACACATTTGTTATTATATTTAAAAAATTTCTTTCAGTGTACTATACAGCTCATTAAACCCATACCTTTTGATTTTCTTCAGTGAAATCATAAGAAGAGAAGCCTTCTGCAAAATAAAGTGCCATTTATCAAGATATCAACTGAGCCCTAAAGTTGCCAACTTCAGAACAACTACACTTGTCACTATCAATTAGCATTGTACCTGTTAGATCTTATAAAGCCATACGGTTACAGTAAAAAAAATAAATTTGAAAAAGTTTTGTCTATTTTTGAAAAAAAGGTTTGCAATAATTTATAAAATAAATATTAGGCTGTGTAAAAAGTTCTTGGCTCCTTTGAATGCGAATTTTTGAAAAATCAGGGAAAAATACAAAATGTGTAAATATATTTCGCAAGTGCAGAATTTTAATGTTTTTCTACAGGACAAGACCTATATTTTCTCAATATGTAAGTTTCAATTTTCTTTCAATATTTTGTTTCGTTGTTTTAGTGATCTGAAAATTATGACCAAATCGCGACTTTAGGTAGTGATGTGGAACGAGTACAAAAAAAGCCGCAAAGTTAAATCTACAACCTGTTTCATAAATAAGACACATAAACAAGGTATTGAGAGCTAGACAACAGTAAACATTTAATTCCAAAAACTCTATTCTGAAGATAAGACACTTGAAGAAAAATAGAGGTCCTGTTGACCTAAAACAATATGGAACGATTTTCTGGAACACCAGATTAAAACTGATCCACAGATTACAGTTAAAGAGTTTGCCAAGAACCTAAAATGTTCAATTTTATTAGTTTTCATACATTTGAAGGCAATGGGATACGTCAAGAACCTGGTGAAGTGGATGCCCCATGCGAGTTAAAAGTTATGGACTGACAGTGGTCAAGCAGCTAACCAGTTCCCAAATATTCGGGTCAATTAAAGGGGTGATCCTACATAAAACACCTATAACAACAAGCCCACAATGTAAGGTTATAATATTTATTTTCCTCAAAACATTCAACAATACTATAAACATAAACCGATAACAATAAAGATCTATGTGACGTCCTTCGAACGCTCCAACTGTCCCGTGCCTGCTGACCCCAATACTGTTCAACTAGTGTTGTGTACTTTAATAAGGCAAGTATGTTCATTTGTTTGATGTACATACTTGACGCTTTAAAAGTGCAATTTAAATTTATATAATTTACAAATCGTTTTATAGTTTTATTAAATATTCTTGCTACGTTCGTTATTCCGCGTTTGCTCAACTGTACATTATTATATATACAATGTCTTTAAGCCTTTGACCAAATCTGACGCAAAACTGCTCCCCTAAAATAATCAATTTTTAAAAATTTTTTTGAGTTTGATAATGAAAAAATATAAAAACTATTAACATATGCATTCCTTGTTAACACGTTACTAACTTACTATTTCAGTACTTCCCGACGTTGCTAATGTTTCAGTGTAACTACGAAAGTTTGAAGCAAATACACGAGCATCCTGAAAGCAATTATTTGAACCTATAAGTAGGCTTGCCTATCGTCAGAGCCTATGTTAGAAGGTTCATCGTCAAAAAATATGTTGGAAAATTAGTGTTCTGCGGGTGCGGGTATTTGCCATACCCGCACCCGTCGCCCCCGCGAAAAATCCAAATTTTAATACCCGCGGGTATGAGGCGGGGGTGAGACTCACACCCGTACCCGCGGGGGGGGGGTACGGGTGTGAATATAATTTTGCCTAAATATACATAAATGCCACAATTTTTACTATTTTTTTTTCAAAAAAAGGTATTTTTCGTCAAAACGTTTAGCGCACTAAAAAATTTTCATAAACAAATAACCACTTTATAAATCAAAACATTTAAAACACAAAAAAGTAAGTTTACTTAATCTTCGTCTGCGGATTCGTCTGTTTCCTCGTCATCTTTGAAATAATTTTTAAAAAAAGACGTCCTAGAGTAAAATTTTATTTTTTTTTCTGAATTTTTTAAATTTTATCAATCTTTTTAAATAATATAAAAATTTTAATATGACCGAATCACATTACACTCACTGACTGAATCACATGTGCCTTTATTAAGTATTGTTAACGTTGACATCGATCGTACCATGAACATTTCTATGACACTTTTTTGTATACTTTTTTAAACTGTAGGATGTAAATGTAAGGTCGCATGCTTGTTAGAGTACTGTGGAAGTTATCGTACCGTGCCGTGAACGTTCAAATGTTACTGTTTTTGAAGTACGATTATAATTTACTATCAGATGTTTTTGCGAACCAGAAAAAGCAGTAACATTAGAACGTTCACGGCACGGTACGATAACTTTCACAGTACTCTAACAGGCATGCGACCTAACATTAAAAGCATACAAAAAAGTGTCATAGGAACGTTCATGGTACGATCGATGTCAACGTTAACGATACTTAATAAAGGCACATGTGATTTAGTCAGGGTTTATTCCCCGAAAAGTTTATTCCCCGAAGGGTACATTCCCCGAAAATGCATTCCCCGAAGAGTCCATCCCCCGAAAGGTCCATTCCCCGAAAAGCCATTCCCCAAAAGTCTTCCCCGAAAATGCATTCACCGAAACTGCATTCCCGGAAAAGTCACTAACCCCTTTTTTAACCTTTTGGAATACCCGTACCCGAGCGCGGGTATTTTGCTCGCCCCCCGCGGGGGCGGGGGGGGGGTCACGGGTCCGTTCTTTTAGCCACGGGGGGGGGGTATAAAAACCTTCGTTATAGCGCCTTTGCAAATTTTCCGACCATTCTCTAAGCACTCGGTCTTTGTAACCTTCAAGCTTGTCGCTTATTCCACTGACATCTTCATCTATAACTTTATACTATAGGCCATTGTAATAGTAATGTTTCAAGCATAAAACAATAAAGCTAAACTTGTAAAAGAGGATACTTCAAGAACTTAAAAGTTTCGTTATACAAAATTTTCGTTACACTATAGACCGTTATACGAAGTAAAATTGAAAACTTGCAATGTCGACAAAGAGTGATCAACAAAATAATGCTGTAGTCTTGAATTGTCATCTTAGCAACTCGAAAATGCTGTATTAATTGAACGAAGGTAAAGTTAAACAAGTGACGTAGGCTGCAAAATTGCTTGTTATATATTTTGATATAGACAAACTTGTTATAAAAATATTGGATTGTTCAATTGTTCATAAAATTCTGTGCTTTGTATCAAAGCAAATTTTTGGAGTTGAGGCACAGAATGATTTACAATTCTACATAGTAGCAAATATGTACTACGCTACAACAAAAAGTAACTTACTCTAAAAAAACAGCCGAAAAATGTGTTAAATACAATTGAATTTAAAATTTTAAAATCACTAAATTAAAATATTAAAGTTAACTTCATTTTTTCTACATTTTCTTCTAGCTCTAACAAATTTGACATTGTGAACATGTCCATGTAAAAAAGCAGGCATTTATTAGATAAAATGGACAAATGCAGTTTTTGGACTTACTACAACCAAATTAATTAAAAAATAAAAAAAACCACTTTAAAAAATCCGCAAATGTTCAAAAACCACATTTGTACTAGCGCCATAAATTGTTACAAGTTTCTTTTTTTTCAATTTCAAAATTAAAAAATTATTTCAACATAATTTGTTCTCTACTTAAAAAAAATTCAATTGTATTTAACACGCCTGCGGTAATTGTTTCTTGGTCCAACCACCAGTCGTCTTCCAAAAGGTTTATGGCGAATCCAGGGAAACATACGGAGTGAGGATCGTACTCGTTAGGGTAGCACTTCGGAGACAAGTACCCTAGTTTCAGCAAAGCCAATTCTTGTTGTATCCGAGCTTTAAAGTCGTTCTAAAATAAAAAAAGATATAAATTTATAATAACTTTTTTATTTGTGAGAAATACATTTATCAAATACAGTGAAAAACGTGTGCAGCTGTAGATATATCTCAGCAACTGAAAGGAACCGACATTTTGTATTTACCATAAAAATTTTTATCTTCAAAGAGTGATTTCTGCTTTGGTTCAGCTTCGTCTCTGCTGTTTTACCAATTTCCGATCCGTCTTCAACCCTAGAGATGGAGCTGTCCCAAAGCCAGTTCAAAAGCCCTTGGAAACTGTTTTTAACGAACAAATTTTAAATCCACAAGCTATTCGTTTCAGGAGTTCTATTGTATATCAACTTAACAAACAATCAGCTATTTAAAATATATTTTCAATTAAATAGTCTAAAAACTTACAAATTGTTCTGGCGTTTGAAATGTCATATGGCTTATACAATCGATAAAAGTGCCAATGGTTTTTTGGTTTCCCAACCCAACAAACTCTAACGTTTGCTCCTTTGTAGGTTTAAGCAGCTTAAATATTGTAATATAGACAGCCTCAAAACGTGAAGTTGAAAAAGGTAAGAGAATGCTATTACTTACGCGATTAAAAACCGTTGCTGGGTTGTTCTTTTTGGCGTTTTCGTACTCAAACTCGTACACATTGTTAAATGCTTTAACAAGCTGACAAGCCAGCGACGTAGTGCCATTCCTATAAACATTCAAAAAAATATCGTTGTTCAAGTTCTTTGGTGCCCCAATTATTGTGTTCAGCTCTTGTTGACATTGCTCAAATCTGCAGGATTTGCATTTGAAGGTGTCTTCTAAAATAAACTACAATCAAGACTTGATTTTGTTACAGGCAAATCTTGAGTTTTTTTTTAATTTTAAGTAGGCAATAGGTCATACAAAAGTTGTACTGGCTATAAAAGTATGTGTAATGTTGAAAATCGTAGTCACTTACTGTAGTAAATTTTACAGACGTTCTTCCCTGCTGCACAGTAATATCGTCGATTTGTGGCTGCGTAACGTCGAAAAAACGCAGCACAACTTCGGCAAAGCTGTAAAAGATATAAACTATCATTCAGTAAGTACAAATAATAAAAGTAAAGCATAAATATATATAAGTAATTTTTGTTACTGAACTGTTTTGAAGAAGAAATCAGCCGCAGAAGACCTATAAGCCGCTTATGTTTTACACGTATATGGTAATAGAACTCTTGTAAAACGAAAAACTTCAAAAATAAAAATTGATTGATTATTAAAAAGTTCGTTGTACAGGAGCTTCACGTGACATAAGAAACAGATTAACTTACTCTGCCACCGCCATTTTGAAATTTCTTTGGTGCTGAGCAGACTTGGCATTCATTGAATGATAACGAAGCTTTTGAGTTTGATGGGCTTTGTTTTTCCATTCAATCTTTTCTGTAAAAACTTCTGGATATTGTAATCCAACTTCTGTAGAACAAACTTATCAGGATAAAAAACGAAAACTAATCTGCAAAAATTTTTAAAAAATTTAAAAATCTTTTTTCAAAATGAAACTTCTCAAAAAAAGTGATTTTTTATCTCCGATACAATGCTCTCTTCTTTCCTCTCTCTTCCTCCCTCTACTCCTTTTTGACAGCACTGTTAAACCGCTTAAGCATGCCATCAACCGCGATTTGAACTTTGCGACCCGACCATGCGTATCATCTCTCCAGCCTATATTAAAAGTGAATCAAAACGACTTTTATCTAAGGTAAATTATCCATTTAAACAAATTTGCACACGTTTAAAGACCCATGTTGACACAGAGGTAGACACACAACGAAGCACATGCAAATTGCTCTTTATCTAACGGAGTCTTTATGACTTTGGAAAAGAACAAAAAGTTGATTTTTTTGTTAAAATGTAGTATGTTTAACATTTCAATGCTAAAAAATTCTTTCGGTAAAGAAAATAGAAGAAAAATGAGTACGTAGGCATTTCAAAACTTACAGCTATATTATAGTAGGTAGGGTTTATTGATAAACAAAAACGCGCAGGTGAATATGCACAAGATAGTAAACCAGAAATTTGGACCTGCCTAGTCAATTTGCACTAAAAGGTCTCTCTGTAAAGACAACACCTTTTATAGTAAACACAAAATGTTATTGTGTTTACTATAAAACTATTAAAAGTCTCTTCGGGTTGCTTATATAGAGAGAGTACTGTATACAAAAGGTTTAAACGCCCTTTAAATGTACTGTTGGCCGAAGATTTAAAAGATGTTCGTTAAACAAAAGGTTCTTCATAGAGGCAGTCGTTGTACCGGAGATCCACTAGCGTAGGAAAGAGCTTCCCGTTTCGCACCATTCTTGCAGTTCCTGCGTTTGCCGGCATTTTTATTTTTAGAAATTTGACACTGAATTACGGCAATTTCCACCTTCCCCCCCCTCCCCCCTTCCCCTCTCATTTCCCCTCCCCATTTGCTTTCACTATTTCCACGCTTAAAATAAATTCAGTTTACTGTAATTTATGTATTGGGTTTACCGATTTTAAACGGATATGGTATCTTTCTATAAAAATTAGCTATAAGTTAGTTCCAAGTATTTTGATAAAAACCAATTACTTTATTCAACTTAATTTAATTTTTATAAAGTACAGTAATAGAAGAGTATATTTGTTTGCTTCTGGCACATTCCCGGCGCTTCGAAAATTCATTATCAGTTTAAAACTTTTACGAAGCGTTTTAGAGAAGTAGGTATATAATACAGGTAGCACTTCTTTAAAGACTTTCAGTGTTTGCACAATCTAAAAATTGCACCGTTAAAAATCATAGATAAACTTTTAAGAAGCATTTGTGCCAGAGTTAATTTTAAAAACTATTATTAAGTTAAATTCTAAGCACAACCTCAAAACGCCAACGATTTTTAAAAACGTTTTGTAGTCCTTTAACAATTGTAAGAGGGGAAGAAGGTGAAAGCTTGTTAGCTTGCTATAGCTCTTTCCTTTCCTTCCCAGTTGCACTTTTAAAACACAATTTTTAAAAAGATGAACTACTTTATTGCACTTCAATTTTATAACTTACATCTTAGCTGTGGTTTAGTGCTTGCATTGTCTCGATGTAGGTTTGAATGTTTGCAGTATATATTATTATGTCCTAAAGAGAAAAAGGCAAAAGTTGGCCACTAGACCTAGAAACGATATCTTGACAATAACTGTTGAAATTCAAAAAGGTTTAACACATTGAGCTTTGGATTAGACCTTGATTCTTGAGGCTTGGCCCTATGCTCACATGAGTCGGCATACCAACGTCTTTTCAGGTTTATTAAGCGTCGTCTTTCTAACATTGAGTTTCTGTATCTAGTAATGATTGTTGCACAGGTAGTAAAAACTCATGATGATAACAATATTTTTTGTTTTTTAAATATTACACAGTATAGGCCACTACTCTAACCCCGATGGTCAACTTTTGCCTTTTTCTTCTAAAAATGTCAAAAAAAAACATTTAAAAAAAAATAAAAATGTCGTACAGAAACCTTTGTAGCCAACATAGTGAACTGAAGCATTTTGTAATACGAATCCGCTTTGTACCGTGCCCGGAGGCTTTCTCCCCATTCTTGAAACACTCGATTTCTATAGTCGTTAAGCTCTTGGTTAGCGCCGTTGTCTTCTTCATCTAGAAGTTTAAATATTAAGCCGTCTACTTCTCCTGATAGTAAAAGTATAATTACTTGCTTTTAAAAAACTTAACTGCTGAGAAAAAAACTAAGTTCTAACCTACATTGCCTAAAAAGAGTTATGAGGAAGACGGTGACAATGTCTTGTAACGTTGGCTTTGCTGTTCGAAAATGTTGTATCAACTCCACATACTGCGAATTGAACGTTCTTACTAATCTAAACATTAATTTTATGTGGGTTACATAATAGTAATAATAATAATAACTTTAAAATTTTATGTTTGTTTTAAAATTAATATGTAAAAATACATTTAATTGCAACTCCTTTATAACGAATCGCCTAAAAATTCAACAGTTATTTTGTTATATAAGAGTTACACAGTAATAAAAACCAAAAAAACTTACTCTGAAGACAGTAAATTTAGTATAATGTCATATACAATTAAACGATTTTTTATTTTTTTTTAGTTTGAAAAGCCAGAAACTAGAAGCTTTTTTAAAATAACAAAACTTTTAAAGTTAAGATCAACCAAATCCTCAAGTAGTTTAAATTTCTACACTTTTTGAATTCTTTTTAACGTTAAAAATACAGGGTGCGACAAAAGTCCTTGGACTCATTATTTTAGTCATATATTTATCTGACCACTTGTCTGACCACGTGGGGTACTGTAGATTTTGCGATATTTAACGATTTCGCAATATCACATTGCCTTCTTCCTTCTTTATGCAGCTTAATGATGGCTCCTCTCGTGTTTGGCATCTAAATAGAGACGGACGTTAGACATGAAAAACTCAGTTTTTACTTATTTATAACAAAAAACTATGAGGAATAAGACAATCTTTAAAAAAATTATATAAATCGCGTACAACATAAAGAAATCGACCGGTAAAATTAGTCCAAGGACTTTTGTCGCACCCTGTATATATCAAATTAGAGTTCACGTTTAATTTTACATGACACATGCCTGGATCTACTGTTTCACGATCTAACCACCAGTCGTCTTCAAACACATCTACATGAACTCCTGGAACAAAAACGCAGCGAGAATCGTAGTCGTTTTTGTAAGATTGTGCTGATAGATAGCCTTGTTTTAGCGTGATCAGATAGTTGCGAGTTTGCAACAAAAACTTGTCCTTTAATTTAGACCCTTGTCATAAGTTTGAAAAGTTGTTAAAATTTTTAAAAATATTATTTATACTTAAAGATAAATAATTTATGTTAGCAAAAAACTTACGTATTTTTCCGGCGTTTCGAACACCATACGATTGACGCAGTCGGTGAACGCAATAAACGTTTTTGTAGCGCTATTGTATACAAACTCACAAGCTTCTGTTTTTGATGTAAATGGCTAAAAGATTTAAATTTTCCAAAAGAAGCATGATTAAACTTAGAATTTTTAAAAGTTAATAAATATATATATATTAAAGAAAATTTTGTGGCCCAGGCTTTTTACTCTACAGTTATACCCCACATACATTAATCATTCCGTTATTCGTGTTGACTGTTGCGGTGTCATCAAAGCTCCAGCCGTGTTCATGGTTAAATGCTTCGACAAGCTGACAACTTACAGCAGTAATGCCATTGTTGTAGACGTTCAAAGAGGTATCAGTTGTTATATTACGTGTTGTTTCGACTAAAACATTCAATTCTTGTTGACATTGTTTGAACCGGCACGCTTTGCACTTTAACTTATCTTCTAAAATACGTTCAAGGTTAATCATTTAACAAAAAATTCTACTTTTTATCTTTTTTAATGTAAAGTATAAAATAAAAAAACCTACTGTAGTAAACTTTGCAGTTGTTATCGCCAAGCCGACAAAAGTATTTCAGATTTTTTTCAAAATAGCATTTAAAAAACACAGAACAGTTTCTGCAGATCTAAAAGTTAGAAAAAAAACATAAAATAGCAATGTATTCACGTCGAAACCAAATAAAATTCGAAAAATTGCACAAATTATTGCTTACATTGCCACCCAGATGAAACCACTTTGTGGGTCCTGAGCACACCTTACACGTGTTGTGATGTGTTTCTTTTTGCATTGTTTTAACAAGAAGCATTGCACCTAGAAACGAAACCTATATTATATAAAATATCGGACCTAGAAACAAAACCTATACAATATAAAGCAGCGTGAAAAGACAAGTTTTACAAAACTATGCTGGCGGCCCACAAGGCTATTGAGTTAAAGTTTGCAGCTTCGGTGTCTAAAAGGACAATCATACCACTGGGCCATACAGTGTTTTTTGTCTGTTTTATGAAAAAAAATTAAGGGGTTCTTCTTTACTGTACTGTAGTTTAACCGCGACCCGGCCTTCTTAATTACTACATCTTTTGAAAGCGAGAAAAGTTTAAGCTTCATAACTATAATAGTTTTAATTTTTGGATCTTGTGTTTCTTAAAAAAAGCATACTGTAAAATAAAAAATGGTAAGACGTTTTAATAAACCATATTGAGAAACAGATAATTTGACAAACTCGTCTGTACTTTAAGGTTTATTTCTTATCAAAACGAAATGCGATGTAAAGTTTGGATCTGATCTGTCGTACAAACATTTTAAGGTTATAAGTTTGATGAATGTCACAAACCTCGGACTACAGATCACTACGCTCAGGTTTTTTAAGGTACGCAATGTTGTGAATGTACAAACTATAATTTCGGACATAAAGATTAACAAAATGATACGGTAGAGCAGGGTAGAGTAGAGTAGGGTAGAGTAAAGTAGGGTAGGGTAGAGTAGGTTAGGGCAGCGTGTAGGGTCGGGTGGAGTGTATGGTGGAGTAGAGTGTAGGGTAATATAATGTGAGATGGGAAGGAGCAATTTTTTCGGTTATGCCTTTAAGTTGTGATCCTGGCCTATTTCTGTTTCTAACTTGCTTCTTTTCACAAACGAATTCTTTTGTTGCGTGACCTATGCTGGCTTTTAAGAGCTCCATTTAAACTCGGCTTTCGAGCTGAAAAAATGTTTTTCGGACGGGGCCGGGCTTATGAAGCCCTCTTTCAAGCATAAATAAAACAAAAACAAAATTTACAAATTTATTTCCAAACCTAACAAGAAGGTACACTTTTGAGCAAGTGAAACACATTGATAATAGGAAAGACAAAGCTTGTGACAATAAGCGTCCCAGCTTGAGCAGCTAAACCTGCGTACATTAGCCGTTGGTGTTTTGATTTTTCGTTTGGGGAGGTTTCTCGTACGTGTTCAAATACCACGGTTCTGGTGTAACAGCCGAAACCGTAGACTGAAGTTGTTGCAACAATCTGTAAATTACGTTGTCATGTAATTGTATAGTGTGTATAAAGTAATTTGTGTTATAATATTAGTACAGTAGCTAAAGCCAGAAGGAAAAGTCATAGAAAGAACCGGTTAGGCGGTGCTTCTTGCTTTCTTTTTCATTTGAGGGTTCAAAAACTAAACTCCTCTTGCCTTGTAGCTATTGGAAAGCTAACCTATTTGTTTTTATAGCAAATTCTTTGGCTCATTTATAATTATCATAACATACCGCAAAAGCACTGCCAATAGAAGAATTGACAAGCCACGGATTTGGGCTTTGAAATGCAAGTATAATACACAAAGCAACTGCCACCACTGTTACTGTACAAGTTGCTATCATAACTTTAACATTTCTAGCTTTTAAAAAAAATGACACAAACGATCCGACCGGTTGAAAAATTGCACATATTGTTAATGACCATGAATAGGTGTTCTAAAACAACATATTGTTGTAGGTATTGCAATTTTTCTCATATTTAAAAGATATTAGTGTTGAAATTTAGCAGTAATTAATAGTATTATAAAACAGCTAAAAACCAATTTTTTTTTTAAATCTGACACTACAGAAAGCAAAACTCAGCATTACCGGAGAATACGGCAAAGTGACAAACGATGCAATACTAGGCATTAAACCATTGAGACTGCCATTTACAATAGCTATCATACACAATAATACCACGTCTGTGATTCCATTCCATGTTTTTTCAGTTTTCTCATCAAGTACAGCAGGAGCTACTGCAACATCCTTAACACTCCATGTAAAGCTTTTCGGCCAAGCATTATAAATGAAGTTTTGGAACCAATGTATGGTTAGAAAAGCAAAAAGTCCAATCAAGTACCATATAAATACCAATGTGTAGTAGGTTGTAACACCAAATTTGAGATTGACATACTCGGCTTCAAATTGCGGAGGAAAAGTGTTAGGAATATGTACACATTCATAAGAGTGGGCGTCTAAAATTTAGAATTTTTATTGTATGAACGATCCTACCTTGCTTTACCTTTCTTTACCTACCGCACCAAACACTTATCTTACTAAATCGTGATGTGTCTTAACCCTACTCTTACGATATCCTAGCTTACTCTATCATACTCAACCTAACTCTGTCTGATATTACTTTTACCCCGTCCCATCATACTGAACCCAACTCTTCCCTGAACACCACTTCTACCCTGCCTTAGCCAATTATACCATATTTCAACGTTATCCAATCTTACCTTGAATAATGCTGAAAATACTCGGCACCAGTGCACTCATACCCATACCAACAAAAAACGAATTAAAGTACATTTTAGGCAAATTTCTCATATAAGGCATAAATAACACATCAGATAAGACAGACACAACTCCAACGAAGAATATCCCAATGTAGATTACAATCGATCGTTGTGCTCCAGCAATGTATACTGTAACATCATTAAAAATCCCAATAAAAAGGGTTACTGTAGACACTATTAATAGTGCAGTTATGATAATTGGTGCAGCTGAGATCGTGATTCTGCCTTTGTATTGTAAAAATATGTAAAACAGCGAGGGAATTGCTGAGATCTATAAAAAACTGCAAGTATGGCAGCTTTAGCTTACACCAGTTATTATAGTAGTATATCATACATGTCTTTTAATTTATAGAGTTAAGAAATGGTAGATCTTCCTTTATATATTAAAGTGTATAAAAAGTCTTGAGCTATATTTCATGACCTTTTATAAAACATAATACTATATACTACAATATGTTATCTTACATATACTAGTTTACTTTAATACGAAAAATGATTTGAGCGTAATTTACCTGAATAATAATTGTTATAATAGAGCCGAGATTCCATCCTTCAGGCAGCGTTTGAGTATGAATACTGACCTCCACCCAAAACGCATTGACGCCTAGCCACGTTGTAGAACCAAACAAAACAACTAATAGAGCTATGAGTGGGTTAAAACATTCTTCTTCCATATATTACCCTTTGTTTGTATAAACACTCAAATGAATGTTTTTGCTATTTGTATGATAAGCTAAAAATAGAATTTAAAGTAGAAGTAAATTTGTTTATAGAACGGTAAAATACAGTGAAACTGCTGTATAGAGAACAAATTTCAAACCCCTAAGCAATCCGTTATCTTGCCGGCCAGCTCCGGCGCTGGAGCCGCAGCAAACCGGTAATTTTAAATTTGAAAACCATACAAGGAAAGTACCGAATCTGCTTCAAAAATTGCTCAAAATTTTTATTATACTTTGTAGTACTAGTAGCACATATAAAAAATCTTCGCTTGCTGTTTTAAGTTTAAAAATTATTTAAATTTTCCGCCAATTTGACAAATTTGGCATTGTGTTGCAAGCACTTTTTTTTGATGTTCCAGATAAGAAAGGCTTACAAATTTAAAATTGCAGATCCATTTGAAGCTTCTAACATTATATTTAAAAAATTTAAAAAAAGTTAAAGCCTTGAAACACTATGCCAATTTAGCGGGAAATTCGGAACGCATTTTTTGGTCTCGGTTTTCTCAAGGCTGGCCGCAAACCACAACTTAAATTTTTACATAAAGCCTTACATTTACATGATCTTTCAATAGAAAAAATTTGAATGAAATTTGAGCGTTGCAGGTCGGGTACCTTCCTTGTTAGTTAGAACCATTTTTAAAATAGTCCAAATCAAAAATTTTAGTACCGCAGTTTCGGTCTTTTATGACCGTACTAAACCAATGCCATTTCTCTTCAAAACGGCTAAAACCTACGCATATAATTGTCGTTTTATAAACTTTCGATTAAAAAACAAGCTTCGTAGTGTATAACTTAAACTCGAACAAACAATGGATTATCAAAAAAGTCGAATTCAAAACGTTTTTCATCTTATTTCACGTAATTTTGCTAATAGTTTATTCAGTGACTAACATGTATACAAACAGTTTGTCAATACAAATAGCTCAAACGCTGCAAAAAACGTATTTTGTAAAACTTTAATTTTTAAACGAAAAAAAAATTTTATTTGTGTCATGGCACAAACATTATATTAGGTGCCAACATAAACCCCTCGCCATACTTTTCCTGTAATTTTTTGAAACAAATGGCGGGTTCTTTATGTTGGCACTTAATAAATACAAAAATATTTCTTTGTCCTTACTCTACTTTGCCCCAATTTAGAAAAATGCTATGAAAGTCTAGGTTATTTCCTTTTATAGTTTTTTTCTCAAGGAATTCAATAATTTAATAATCAAAACCCTAATTTCTGGAATTCGAATTGAAACAAATACGTTCACAACGTGACAAACCAAGTTAAATTAACTAAATTTATAAAGAATTTAGTAAAAAAGATAAGACAAAGAAAGCTAAATGTACAAAGCAAATGAACAGACAAGCAGGCTGCAATTTACAAACTAGAACTAGTGTAAATACCACTTTTCTTTTTTCATTTTAGACGCTTTATCGTAAAAAAAATGATACACGAACAGCGAACTCACCTAACAATAGAAGCTATAGACTGTGCTCGATATATAAAGCACAAAGTAAAGCTGTAATAAGAAACGTTCGCTCTTATTAACCTCATATTCTCAAGGTTTTTTCCTTGTCTGAAAAGGACAAGCACAATTCCTGGTATGTTGACATTGTATTTAAAATTGTCTGTAAAAATAGTTCCAGAAACCGACCTTTGCTTTCCCTGCCCTATAGTAAGGTGGGAAAATCGACACAAGTTCAAGGCTACTCGGACTGCGCTGGACTGCCAACATTTATACATATAATATCAAATAAAATTAAAAAAAACTTTATTGCAAAACTTAACAAGAAGATGCACTTTTAAGCAGATTAAATACGTTAACAACTGGAAATACAATAGATGTTGCAATAAGAGTACCAACTTGTCCTACAAGCCCGGCGTACATTAATCGTCGATGTTTTGACGTTTCGGTTGGAGCTATATCTCTTATATGTTCAAATACCACACTTCTCGTGTAACATCCGACTCCGTATACTGTCATTGTTAGAATTATCTTCAAAATAATTTTTTGTATAATAAATTTATAAGGTATTAGGTAGAGTAGGGTAGAATAGGGTAGAATAGGTAGGGTAAGGTAGAATAGGGTAAGGTAAGGTAATATAGGGTAAAGTAAAGTAAGGAATTAAAAAAAGCGGTTTTTCAACGTACCACCAAAACGCTACCAATAGTAGTATCAGTTAGCCATGGATCTGGGCTTTGAAAAGCAAGTATTGTGCATAAAATAGAAGCCACTACCATAATAAAGCATGTTGTTACTATATATTTGATATTTTTTGTTTTCATGAAAAATGACACAAAAGAGCCGGCTGGTTGAACGATTGCACATAAGGTCAATGACCAAGAATAGGCATTCTACAAATGTAATTGTTAAGCATTCAAGTCAGATTTGGCGTCAAACTAACGCCAAAACTATATCATACCTCCCCCCCTCTTCCCCAATAGTTCTCAAATCTTTCGTCATAAACATCGCCTTACTGGTGAATAAGGTAACACCACAAAAGACTGTATGCTAGGCATCAACACACTAATACAACCATAAACTGTAGCAATCATACACAATAATAGAACATCGATCCTGCCGTTCCATGTTTTGTCACTTTCGCCGACAACAATTGGTACTACAATATCATTTTTGACATTCCAAGTGTATCTCTTCGGCCATAAACGATGAATTGAGTCTCGAAAGTAATGTATGATAATAAATGCTATTAGTCCAATTAAATACCATAGAAATGTCAAAATGTAAAAAGTTGTCACTCCAAATCTGGGACTGATAAAACGTGGTTCCAAGTGTGGTGGATCGGTCGAGTTGATTAAAATACATTCGTATGAACGGGCGCCTTAACTTTATATTTCAAAATTTTTATATTACGCCTTACAATACCCTACCCTATTTATAACCGAACCCTAACGAGCCTTACCATAAAACAAGCCGGCCTTGACCCAAATTTAAGATAAATCAAGCCGGGCCTGAAAATCAATGTCTAGACCATAACATTTGCACAAAAAAAATTCGGTACGGACCAAACCTGAACAAAATTTAGATCAGGTAGCCTAACACCCAGGTCCGGCTCGTTACTTACGTCTATTTAGCCTTACCTTACCTCGCACCCTAAGTACACCCTTGTCCTATAGCCCGTACCCTATTCTACCCTATCTTGCTCTCCCTTTTTAAATTCTGCTCTGACCTAGCCCTACTTATACCGCACCCTACTCAAACCCAGAATATCTCATTTTTGTCCACTCCTACCTTGAATAATGCTAAAAATGCTTGGCACCAGCGCACTCATTCCCAATCCAACAAAAAACGCATTAAAGTACAGTCCAGCCATATTCTTAATATATGGAATAAACAGCACATCAGACAAGATTGACACAACCCCAACGAAAAACATTCCTATGTAAACTACAATCGATCGTTGTGATCCAGCTATGTGTACTGTAACATCGTTAAAAATGCCAACAAAAATAATTACTATTGAAACTAATAGTAAAGATGATACGATAATTGGAGCTGTGGACATTGTAACCTTGCCTTTTTGATCTAATAATGTGTACAGAATGGCTGGAATTGAGGAGATCTAAAAAGTAATGGCATTTTTATTTTATAGTAGGTACAAAGCAAATCAAATATATGATTTAATTCTTAGAGATAAGTAACGATAGACCTTTCTTCACATACATATTAAGTTGTATACAGTCATGAGCTGAGCTATATGTCATAACTTTTAAAACCTAATTCTACTACAAGACCTTAACTAACAAAAACAAGTCTACTTAAATATTAAACGTATTTTACCTGAATAATAATGGTCAAAATAGAGCCGAGATTCCAGCCCTCAGGCAGTGTTTGAGTATGAACACTCATCTCGACCCAAAATGCATTAACTCCCAGCCATGATGTTGAACCAAACAATGCAACCAACACAGCTAACAGTGGGTTAAAACATTCATCACCCATAAAGAGATGCTTATGGGTACCCCTATTGTAATGTTTCTTTTCTAAAAATGAATGTTTTCTCAGTTCCAAAATAAGTTGTAATACAAAAAGTAGTTGGTGATCATCAATGTAAGTAAGAGCTCTAAAATGCCATTTACAAAGCAATCCACACCCCTTTTTACAAATGAAACTCAAAAAACCTTCAAAAACGTAATTTTTTACAAAAAAATCGGTTCAAAACACGATAATTCAATCATGTTTACTGCATAAAACCCTTGGAATTTAGAATTTTTACTATGCGGCGACTCCAAACACCAAAAGAAAATTATTCTTTTATAATTTTTTAATCGTTTTTTAGTAAAAATTGATTTCATGAACAAATCGACTTGGAACAAAGAACGGATTATCAATAAAAATGCACTTTAAACCAAAGTTTGTTGTTTTTTCACGAGGGTTTTACGAGTTTACGCTGTTTTTAAATTTATAAAAGTATTTCGTACATATGTATATTTATTGTTGTTTTTAGGTAGAAAATAACAGTATAATACGGAAAAAATATGTTACCATACTGTACTATACGTTTACTAATTCAACCATATCCTACGTGACCTTACCCTACTCAACCCTGTTTTGCTCTATCGCTACCTTTGCCCTACCATATCCTACCTACCTTACCTTCCTCTTCCGTTCCTTACTCGAACTTATTCTATACTACTGACAATCCATCCCTATCCCTCCCCCGAACTTTAAGTCTTGCCTTGGTTTATTTTAGATTGATTAACCGAAGAGATACCTATCCCTACTTTAACATAAGCCTACCCGCGCCTACCCCTACTCGATTAATACCTTTTGGCCAAGGAGAATACCGCTGATTATAATTAAAAAATGATTCTTAAAACAAAAAACCCCATTTTACGCCTAAATTTATGAAACGAAAATCTAATTTCAAGAAAACGTTTGAAACTTTTAAAAATTCGATAACGTTCTTTGATAATAGGAATTGCATACTACTTTTTGAGATTCGATTTTATACTAGAAACTTATCAAATGTGACCAATATAAACTATAATTTGGAACTGCAGAACATTCAAAGTATAGCTAAAGGAGTTGCAACTTATGCACTTGTATCACAGAACATTCAATTTAGTTGTCTGAACATATTTTTCATTAAAATTTTAAAATTTCTAGACCTTTTTTAAATTTTTCTTCTAGTTATTGTGTAGTTTTTACCAATATTAGTCCATTTTTAATCGTTTTTTATCAATATTAACCTATTTTTTACCAAATTTAAACCAATGCCAATATTAACCTACCTTTTTATAAATAGAAATTTATTTTTAATTATTATAAAATACATTTTATATTAAGTTGAAGTAGATATTAACTTAGAGAACATATTTTTCAACATTTTTCTTGAGATTCTCGACTTCTTCCGTGCTGTCAGGGAGATGTTGGCCACCTGTTTCTGGCAAAAACAGGGTTACTCCGCCAGCACCGGCCGCCAACACAACGAATATTATGGTCAGGGATACTGGAGATACTACGGTCTAAAAAGGGAAATGGTATTTTTGAAATTTTACAGTTTTTGTTTTTTTTTTAAATTTTTTGATAATTTAGGTAACAATTCCTGTTTTTTCGTTATTTTGGGTAACACTCCCTCTTTTTGTATTATCGTTCAATGCTAATGCTCTGTTACATCATTTTTCTTATTTTTAACTTTCCTCTCCTTCCTCCTCTCAAAAGAAAGTACTGCCTAAATTATGCACGACTTACCAGAGTATGCAGCGACGGGGCCAAAGTTCCTCCAACTCGTGCACCGACTTCACATGCGCCGATTCCACCGCTTCTCAAGTGAGTTGGAAAGATTTCGGCCGCATAAACGTACAATGATGTGAATGCACATGCTACGCCGAACTTGCCGATCAACCAGAAAATGAACGATAATACATGGTAATCTAGAAAGAGAGGCTTGAAGTTGGTTTAACTTCGGAAAAATCGGTTTAAATTTGCTTTAACGCGAAAAAATAGGCTTGAATATTAAAATTTATTTAAAACCTTGTTTTTCTTCTTATAATATACGTTCTTAAAAGCTTAAAAGCCGTTTTGAACTACCTATATTAAACATAAATGGCACTAAACGACCTCTTCCCAAGTTTTAACTCCCGAAAAAAGTCTTGTCGTTTTTCACCCTGAAAATCATAACAAAATAACGACACGATATATACCTCAAATATGGCATTCAAAATAGATTTTCAAGCACCTACCAACAAAAAGAGCTCCAACAAACCCAACAGCAGATAGGAAGTGTAGTCCAGAGATAGTGTAGCGTCTTCCCAAAAAGTCTAATAAATAGGGCGATACGATATAAGATGGCACTTCAATCAAACCCAGTAGAACATAATTCAAGTATTTATTGCCAGCCAATTCCGAGCTGAATAAGGATAAACCGTAGTAGCAAATGGCGTCACAAACCCTAAAATTTTAAATTTGAAAAAATGTTTTAAAAGTTTTTAAAATTTTGGTAGTTTAAAAAAATTCAAAAATCAAGCTTTAAAACCAAAAAACCCACCACAAATAAGTCATGATCAACGTAAAGCAAAACAATTTCTTATGAGAGTAAATCTGAACAAAGAAGTTGGCCTTCTTCTGAGCCTGAGCCGTCTCTGACAGCTCATGTCTCCTCGCATGTTCATCAATAATCTCTCGAGCACTAGCTGCCGTCTCATACTTAAATCGGTTCAAATTCACCAGCCATCTACTCAGCTCTTTCTCCTTCTTATTCGATATCAAAAAGTAGAAACTCTCAGGCAAAAAGAAGTAGAACACAACACCAGCAACGATACAAGGTACACAGGTTGCTACAGTCAAATGTCGCCAGTTGTGAAACCACATGGCCATTGGGCCTAGTGCTATGTAGCCAAGTACCCATGCACAGCCGAATACCAGCGTGGCATATGATCTTGATTTAGATCCAATTGATTCGTAGCCCAAACACCAACATGTTATACCGGCGCCAGGGAATAATATGCCTTGGATTAGACGGATGACCATGTACTCGTAGACGTTGTCAATGATTAGGACAAACAAGCCAGTCAGGCCTGAAGCTAGTACGCAGTAGACGACTAGAGGACGTCGGCCAAAACTAAAAAATACAACTTTTAAAAGCTTCAACTCATATATTTACATTATAAAATATAGAAAATTTAATCAAGCAATGCGTATTTTACCTAATATATATAAAAGATGCTATCTTTCAAGTCTAACTAAAATAGATAAAAAAAACTTACAAATCAGCCATTCTGGCCAAAGAAGAAGCTCCAATGATGTTTCCAAACATGTAAGCCGTAGTTGATATGTCAGCAATGAAAGCTCGTGGTCCGATTAGGTCAAACTTAAAGCAGCAATATTAACAAAAGCCGTATTTTACACCAAAAATGATTATACAACTTCTTAAGACCCATAATAAATTAACTCCACTCTAAAATATTTATTCTTAAAAGTTCTTAAGCGGTCTAAAAAAGTCTTGTCGTTGTTTTTCGTGTAAATCTATGTGAAATGGCGACAAGTTTTAAAACCCTCAAATATAAAAAAAATTAAAAATTTGTACTTTTCAAAGTCAAAAACGCTAGAATTTTTCAAAATTTCGAAGGTACAAAATGGAAAATAAGATAACTTTCAAAAATTCTAAAAAAAATTTAAAAAGTATTGACCTACCTCGTTAATAATAGATCCTTCAGTCAAAGTGCAGTTCTCTCCACTTGGACAAGCATTTCCGACGGTAAAAGCAGGTAACATCATGGCAGGTGCCGTGATGCACCATGCCATCGCTGATCCCAAGAAAATCCATATTATAAACGGATTTGTTTGGCCTGAAAATTTAAATTTTAATATTTAGAATAGAACATGATGAGGTAGGGTAAAATAGAGTGAGGCAAGGCATGTTAGGGTAAGATTGGAAAAGGTAAGATAGAGCAGAAAACAATAGATTAAGATAGAGCAAAATAGATTAGGGTAGGGTAAGGTAGAGTAGAGAATGGTAACTTAAGGTAGGTGAAGATAAAGTATAGTACAATACAATAGGTTAGGAAAGAGTATGATAATATAGATGCCAGTAAGAAAGGGTAGGATATGTTAGGGTAAGATAAAGTACGCCAAGGAATGCTAGAAAAGAGTATAAAAAACCAACTTACTGAAGCTGTCGACTAATTCTGCACCCATTTGCTCCTTCACATCAACATTCAGAGGTATGTATTTATAGTTAGGTTTATTGAACTAAACAAATAAATTATTTATTTATTCTTAGACTCTGTCCAGGCTAGAGACTACACAAACATTGTTATTTGCAAGAACAAACAAAAGAAACGTTCATTGGTTTTGGAAACATAAAAATAACATAAACTAAAGCGCCGGTTGCTATAGCTGCCAAAGGTTTTGATGAGATAAAATGTCATACTTAATGCCATTTTTAAGTTTTGAAAAAATCAAAAAAAAATTTTAAAAAAATGATTTTTTATCAAAAATGTCACAAATTTTAAATATTTCGAGGGAAACATTAAATTTCAAAATTTCATAAACTGTTTATGCCAAAGGGAGGTGGAAACCCAAAACAATTTTTTGGTCCACAAGTAGCCTGTTAACCGATTTTTCAAACAATTTTTTTCGTTTTTTCACGTACAGGTACCTACCTGCGAATTTTTTTTTCGGATCGGCTCAGGGGGGAAGAAGTCACACCAAACCACCCCCCCCTCCCCCCCCTCAAACGACGTCCGTGTATGTATTTGTTTTAAATAAACTGTATAAGCAGACGTTATGTATAGTTAAAAAACAAAGTTAGATTAATGTTTATCGTTTGGTAGTTACAGACTAAACAAAACAACTTTTAATTATGGATCGCCTATTTAGTTACCCATAAAAGGTTGAGAATAGGTAACATGTTACAGTTTGACGTGAAAAGTCGGTAGCTACCTACCAGTAGAACAAAAAAAATTTTTTGGGTCACCCCTCCCCCCCCTCCAAAAGAAAATCGTAGCGACTTCCCTGTATGACATATAATAAAATCATATATCAACCTTCCCTTCCCCGCCCCCCCCCCTCACCCTAAACTTTTTCATTATAAACCTTGTTTATTACCATAATGCACTCTTTAACCGTTCCTTAGCCTACAAAAAACCACCCCTCCTTACATATTTATTTTTAAAAACCAAAGGCAAACAATGACTTTTCAACTCCAAAACCGCATTTTAAAAAGTATGTTTAACGAAAAAAATATTGTTGATAGTTATTGCTCTGTTCATAAAAACGCAACAACACGAAAAAAGACAACAAGCAGATAAGGAAAAGTTTGGAAAACAACGAGAAACGGGTATCGCGTTTCAAAAGCCACTGGCCTCTTGTTAATATTATAGTAACTGGGAATAGGTGAATGGACCTTTGGGTTTTAAGATAATTAAGAGAAGCCTAACTTGGTCGTAGTCAAATTGACTATTATAAGGTTTTTAGAACGAGGAAAGTAGAGTGTAATAGTTTAGGGTAGCGTAAAGCAGATTACAGCAAGGTAGGTTAGTAGAAGATAGAGCCAGACAAAGTAAAATAGAGTAGAGTAACGTAATGTAAGACGAGATAGGATAGAGCAAGTTAGTGTAGCGCAGATTATAATAAGGTAGGGTAGTAGGATAAAGAACTTTTTTCGAATTTTGTTTTTTAAGGGAGGGGGGGGAGGGGAATAATCTCAAGTCCACCCCCCCCTGAAAGAATCTGTAGCGATGCTCCTAACCGCCACCTCCTAAAACAAAATTACAAGTCCAGCTCTCACCAAAATCCACTGTTTCCGAATCTTGTATGTAACTAACGCATCAGTTTAACAAGAAAAACTTAAAACTAGGAATTATGAAGAAAACAAACATTCTTTTACACTATTTTCAGCAAAAGCATGCCCAACTAAATAACTATCAATATGAGATCAAAAGAATGATCAACTATAACTATCAAATTAAAAACAAGACATAATTTTTTGTTGGAAAATTCCACGCAAAACTTCTCTGACAACGTAATGGAATCGATTGTTTGAGAAACCAGTCATCTTGAAGATGATCGCTTTGCAAAGTGGACTGTTTGAAAAATATAGTAAAGGTAAGGCTAACAGCTGGTCACTCGTGATTGTTGACCTGACCACGGACCGCTTTAATTTTTCAATTTGTTTTCTGGTAGTGCCAGGCCAAAAGGATTCAACGGTAAATATATGACTTTTAAGTTTATAGAAATTTTTGTTTAAATCATAAGGTTTTAAAGACTATAGGCTTCAATTATCGTCAATTAAGAACTGAAATTGCTATTGATTGTACTAAAAAATTTAAAAAAAAACAGTATACGACCAGCCAAAATATTATTCTTTGATTTCCATGCTATAATAAACTGTAAAAAGATCGGGCAAACGCAATTTTTCAGCCCGGTCCAATCCCTTTCAAATTTTTTTCAGCTCATCGAGGCGAAGCCAACCCCTGACTTACTGGACCCTCTTGTAGACGCACTTCTATAGCAAAACTATTAATTTTTTAAAACTTTTTAAGTCTGCTCTTAAACTACAACAATACAATAGAATGTTTTGAACATAAGTGCATTACCTGGAGAAAAAACCTATAAAACTACGTTTTCAAGACCAAGAAAACTGCAGTTTTAAAAGTCAAAAATTTTGGAAAAAAATCAAAAACAAAGCAAAAAAAACTCCTTTAGTATACACCATTCACGCTAAAAAAAGCCCGGAACTCACAGCGATTATTAAAGTTAATCTTTAAAACTCCGCTATTTTTAAACAGATGGCGCAAAAGTCCTTATATGAATATTAAAGAAATAATAATGATTAATCAGACGCAAGCTTCTTTGTAGATAAGATTTTTAAATTTCGTTCAGTATTCATGTTCCACCCCACCCCTCCAGTACTGATGCCTCTCCCCTGTCCTCTACTAAGCGTTTTTTGTAACCCGCTCTCATACCTTGCACTATTCTCTTGCCTGTACTAGTTGAAAAATCTTGGCTCGCTTTTGCCAGTGCCATAATTTTTATAGTACTGAAAATTTTCATTGTACTGATAAAAAATAATTTAATCTTCCAAAACGATGAGTTATTATACTAAAAAACTAAAGATTCTACAAAAAAAACATTTTTAATCCCCTTTCACTCTCCAGATCAATAAAACCAGCCCGGCACACAACAACGAACTTCCTTAGTTTATGTTTATATTATGTTAGCCTTCCAAAAACAATGCCCAAAAAAGACTAAAAATTTACATAAAAACGTGAGAACATACCTTAAAAAGCTTCATGTTGTTATACAAAACTCAAAACTCGTAAATAACACCTTCATCGACGTGTTTTTCCCAATCTCCGCTTCAAAATAGAGCTCCATATTGACAAATTCGGTAAATCAAGGAATAAAGCAAGAGTTGGCTCATTTCCATTTGCGTAAACTGTCTCTTTTTCGAATAAAAGCTAAACTTGTCCCAGTGATGTCATGGCCAATCTTTTTCTTTTATTTTTGCCATTTTATTTTTTCACGTTTAACTTTGACAAACTTTCTGACACTTGTAAAAACTTGTTTTTGGGTTTTAAGAGTGATTTACTTGAGGCTTTAAGGAGGATTATTTGTAAAATATTGTGATATTGTCCACGAAAGAGAGTTTTGAAGGAAAATGAGGATTTTTAGTGTTTTATGTTCCTTATATTGTTGAAAGAATCTTGCTTCAATTTTGAATGTCTTTCAAATATTAAAATTTATGTCAATGTTTGTCTTATTTAACCTTGCTTGCTATATATAGTGCCTACTATAACACATCTAAAAATAGTTTTAAAACTTTTTTAAGAAGAACTTTTGATCATAGTTTTGTAATTTTATTAGCAATATAAATGTTATACTTATCAAATATTACGGTATCTATAATTGATAGCCTTGAAACTTGCCATTCCAACCTTTATTACCTAAATTTTCAGGCGAAACGGCCACGCATGGCCAAACGCAAACGGTTATGCGAACAGATGATGATGATGTTAGTGCGAGCAGTAATCTCGATGCCGTAGCATTCACGAACGAGCATGAAGCCGCGTTGAGTCGATTCGCTCACTTTGATAACATTGGCGACGCGTGTGATAAGGAGATTGGCGGAAAAGAAGTAGGTTTTTGATGTATTTTGTTCGAATTTTAGATAAGCATGAGTTCAAAAGTCGACGCAAGATACAATAACAATATAGGTTGATGTTTGATATTGAAGAAGGGTTTTAAATTGAGATTTATTCCTTTTGATTCGTATTTTAACAGAAATCTAATTTTCTGTCGAAAGTTAGGTGCTAAAAATTATTTTTATAGTTAAAAATTTATGTGCATAGTTTTAGACAGCTCTCTGATACATTAAAATCTCACTGGCACATTGCTAATGTTGTATATCATTAATCTACAACTAAAAAAAGCAATATATTATACATCTAACTAATCAGAAACACTATCATTTTAAGGGCTGTGAACACACAGACGATCGTTTCTTTGACTCGAGTGATTATCGTTGTTGTTTCAACGCTTTTCATCCAAAGATTGGTGCATTTATATTTTGCACATGGATTCTACAAGAAGTTGTTTTAGCTACCTTATTCTTGTTGGCTCAAAAAGAGTTTAAAGAAGGCGCTCCTACACCCAGTTCAATAGTATTATTAATATGTAGAGGATTACAAATCCCGACAATTGCCGTTGCCTATATTGGCTTATGGTTATATAAACGAAAATGGCTGTTTCCTTTTGTCATGGTTCAAGTGAGTTGGGAATTTGGTCGAAAATTTGCTTTTTGAAAGCTTTGAGTTTAAAGTTCGAAAAATTTTGGATTTTTACAATTTTAAATTTAAAAATCTAAAAGGATTGTTATATATATTACATAGTAAAAATGTGAAAAAATAAAATGTGGAACAACTCTAAAAATAATGAAAATCTGAATATTCCAGTTTACTGCCGGTATATTTGCGGATATCTCAACAATTTTAATAGGTGTAGGTTACTTGGAAAGTCATGGTTATCGAATATTATTCGACGAGAATTGGAAATGGCTCAACGTTTTATTGCCTTTAGTAGCATATGCTGGTATTATGATATGGTTAGCATGGGTTATGTACAGGTAGCTAACTGAAAATTATTTTGATATTTTTCTTCTCTTTCTCTCTCCACTCTTCTCCTCACTTTTTCTTTTCTCAAAAAATGAAAAAATTGACTTCAGATTTTATCACTTTATTGGAGCACGTGTAGAGCACGATGAGCGTCGAAAGCAGGAAAAAGAACGTCAAAAACAACTGGAAGAAGAATTAATGCAACATTGTGGTATTGAAATGGACGAAATTGGGGAACTAGATAGTAATGGTGAGAATGTCAACGCTGTAGATGATGGACGTTCCGCGTCCCCATCTCCACCACCATCTTTAAAGCACGGTATACCATTACGGCGTCTTGGTCGTAGTCCAAGCCAACATGAAGGTAGTATTATTGGTGCTGCTTCAATGAGTACCACTCCACACTTTCATGTGTTTCAAAGGCCGGAAAGGGTGGTTAAACAATGGCATTACACTGGTAGTTTACAACAGTTGCAGCCGATTGTACGTAAGCCTTCTAACGCCAGAAGATTGATGAGTTTGACTGGGACGGCACCATTAAGACGGCTGGCTCATGAACAAAGTGAACCTACTTTAACTTTGTTACAAAGTCGACCGGTATTTAAGTGAATTTTAAATTTGTTTTAAAACACCTATTTGGCTGATCTTCTAGAAAGTTTGAAGTACTACAATATTAACTAGCTTTCAAGATACATAGCTTTAACTTTGACGGTGTGTATGGTATATTAAAATAGGTTTTCTTATAGGTTTGTACTTTATAGTAATTTTATGCTCAAATAAGGATGCTTTACGCTATAAACTGGCTTTAAAATTGTTATTCATGGTCTTATGCATAAGTTTTTCTCTATCTGTCTCAACTTGATCTTATTGTTCAATACAAAAAAGAGCTTTATCCTTTACATTTTTGCAATTATTTGTCACTTTTTATAGTTTTTTGCCATATAAAGTATGACAAGTTTGATGCTGTACTTCTTTGTGGTACTTTGAACTTGCACGGTATGATATTTAGGACTTTAAAGTCATACAATACTACTTTTATCGTTTGAAGTTGTTCTATATCGTAAAAAAGTACCATACTTTACTATAATATATGTTATACTATAATATATTGCGTCTTCGTATAACTACAGTAGTGTGCATGTAATATTTGCTACAAAAGTACCAACCATAATATAGACGTTTTACTGATTGTATCAAGAATATTATTAACGTGTTACTTTCATCTGACATCCTATAACGTATGTTTGTCATATTGTCACTGTACTTACAATAAAAATAGTTTGAATTTTCTCTTGGGATTTAAGAATGTAATCGCGAAACGCATTATAGAAATTTAAATTGACGGTGCCGTCGCATATTGTGATAAGAGCGTTGCAACCTATACTCAACTTCTGCTTTCTGACAGGTAAACTAAAAAACCTTGAAGATGTTGTAATTGCCAAGAGCTGAAAAAACCCAGCTTGTCAAATCTTTTTTTGTAATTACTATATGTACGTTTTTTGGTTTATTCAATTATTAATGACTATAAAATTATAGTAAAATATTCAATTAATGGTTGTGTAAGTAATACCATTATAGTACAGACTTTTGCTCTTTTTCTTTTGTTTTATGGGCTGCAAAACCGCGCCAAAATTTTTTTGATTGACATTGTTATTACATGGTAACTGTACATATTGGTACTGTGCTGTGGGACCGTGTCTGGGTTAGCTATATTTATTGTAACTTTCATGCTTTCGAAGCATGAAAGTTACAATAAATATAGGTTTTACATTTCTAGGGCTCAAGCTAGACATAAGAATCAGGGAAAGAGTAGGGCCAGGGCTTCAACTAGGACCAGGGATTTGAATAGGACCAGAGATTTGGCTAGGGCTAAGGCTAACTCTAAGGTGAAGGGTAGAGTTAAGGCCAGAGCGATGGCTAAGCTTTTAGCTAGGGCTTGAGCTATAGCTAGGCCATGGCTAGGGTTAGAGCTAGAGCTAGGGACAGAGCTCTTGCTGGCGCTAGGAAAAATATGAATTTTGAAAGTGCTATTACTTATATATAGTATAGTAAGCTAGCAAAAAGCTAGACTACCATAGTTTTCTTTCAGTAAGAACTTATGAAAAAAGTATTCTTTAGAACTTTTCGTCATTAATTTTCGGTCACTTTTAAACCAAACCAGAAACATGATATAAATTGACTGCATCTTGTAGTCTATTTATGCTGTTACAGACATTTTTTTATAGAAAAGGTAAAAGAAAAAGCTACTGCTTTATTATATAAAAAATCTTTTTTAAAAAATAATGTTTGAAACATCATATAATTGCAATATAACCACCCAAGTTACTATTCAATAGGTGATACTATATGCAGCCATTTGAATCATCGTTTATGTGGGGGGTATGACAGTCAATGTAATACACCAAAAAGAGGCTAAGTGTATATAAGACTATATGTTTGTGATTACATGGTGATAATGCTACAAACAGTAAACAAACGAAGACTAATAAGGTGGTCTTCTCCATGTATTCAAAATTTGTGACTATTGGACATTGTTTTTTACTATACAGTTGTTTTTATTCTATTTTTTGTGGGATTTAAAAACTTTTAATCGTAGTATGTGGTAGGTATTTGTTTTCAATTATTTGATCTAAACCTAGTTTCTTTTAATAAACTGCAATATAAATGAATTTCTTGATTGTTTTTGTCTTTCTCAGGCCATCAAGGGCAACTTTTCGCATTTTTATTTGCAGACGGTCTAGTTTTGGTCCAAAATGAGCTGTTATCAAGAAATAAGATCATACTGTAGTTGATAGAGTTAGTGCAAAATCAACAACTAAGCGTCTTTACACCTAATTTATGATTTTTAAATTTTTGTAATAGTACAAGATTTTAAAATTTCAAATTTTTGATAGTGCATAATTCCGAATTTTTAAGTTTTTGATTGTTTGTTCATTCGTTTCTGAATTTCTAAGTATACGTTTGTTTTGAAAAAGGGCACTTTTCGATAATCCGACAAGCTCATCATGGCCAGCTTACCCGTGTGGGTGTGGCACAAGTAAATTTGAATTTTGAAAAGTAATTACCTGAGTATTTCAAATTGCACAAAAGGACGGATTAAGTTTGTTTTTTCTGGTTGAATTGCTCATTTTCGCCACATTCTCAAAGTTTTACAGACCAGAATTTATGGCCTGAGGGTTTGTGACTTTCTTCTTGGGGTACTGTATGACGTTTTATTAAAATTTTTAGACGGCAACAAATAATGAAAAATGGTTTTGCAGGCCACAGAATTGTGTAGAATAGGATAGGGCAATGTAGAGTAAGGTAAAGTAAAGAAGAGAAAGGCAGGTAGGGTAAAGTAAGGCAGAGGTAAGGTAGGCTAAGATTAGACATGGGGAACGGGCCGGGCCGGCTTTGACTCAAATTTAGGTCAGGCTGGAAATTAAGGACCGGCCCGAATAGCCCGTCTCGTTCTCACATAAAAAAATTGGCCGGGCCTGAGCAAAATTTAGGTCTGACCGGGCCTAAGAAATGGGTCCGGCCCGTTCCCCATGGTTAGCTAAAATAGGGTAAAGTAGAGTATGGTAAAGTAAGGCAGAGAGAGATAAGGCCAGGTAGGGTAAAGTAGGAAAACGTAGACATGAGAAACGGGCCGGGCCTGCAATCGGGCCGGGCCGGTCTTGAGCAAAATTTAGATCGGGCCGGGCCTTGGAAAGTCGGGCCGGGCCTGGAAAAAAAATTTCTAAATTTTTTAAAATTTTTTATTTTAATCCCCGTTTATGTTTTTAAATTTTATTGGATTCTATTATCCATAAATGATCTAAAAAAACAATTTAAAGCCAATTTTCCGTTTAGTTTTTAAGTTTTAAAATTTTTAAAATTTTTTAAAACGGGCCGGGCCGGGCCTGACCAAAATAAAAAACGGGCCTAAAAGTTAGGCCCGGCCCGGCCCGTTTCTCATGTCTAGGAAAACGCAGGGTAGGGTAATGTAGGGTATGGTAGGATAGGGTAGGGTAGGGTGGGGTATGGTATTATAAGACTAACATAAAGCTAGGGTAAGGTTCCTGTAGAGCTAGGAAAAAGGTAACTCAAAAATTTAAAAATAGCTTTTAGGTCAACATTTTATAAATGGCTTTAACATCAGGTTTCGTACAGAAGACCACGTTTTGAACTTTTACCTAGTAAGCAAACCAAAACAATGTATTCATAATAATTTTGAGTTAGAAGCTCTAATTTTGTTGACGTCCTTTTGTCCATAAACAAACATATTTTTGTATCAAGGATGTTCGCCGAAATGCAAAGTGCCTATTTGGTATTTGTATTCAGACAAAATACGTAATTTATTACTATTTTCAAGGCGACAACAACTGATGAAAAATGTAAATAGTGTACATACACATTACCCTACAGCCTTACAAGGTTTTTGCTTTGGTTTTTTGGTTTTGTTTTTAAGCTTGGGTCTTGGAACTTTGGGTGGAAAAGTTTCTTTTTACTTTTTAAGGTAGATTATTAAAATTAATCGCAATTTTTCACATTTAAAAAATTTTAATGATATTTCAAATATCCTACCATAACCTTAATTTACTATCCCAGGTCTACCTTAGCTTTCCTTAGCTTTACCCTTGGCCTCCACTAGGTCTATATAGCCCTAACCTAGCCGTATATTGAGTATACCTTAGCCCTACCCCAGTCTAATCCTGCCTCTAAATTTCGTATACTATAGCCTTACCATAGTTATTTTTGTTCTACCTCAGGCATACTATAGCTCTACTTTAGTCTTTCTTTGGCTTTACTCTGCTCCAACTTTAGGTATACTCTAGTTTTACCCTCACCTGACCCTACCATTATCTTAGTTCTAGACTTACTCCAGCTCTACACTAGCACTGCCATAGCCATTTTTGTTTTATTTTAGGTATACAATAGCCCTGCTCTAGTCCTACTTTAGCTTTACTCAAACCTTAGCTTGGGTTTACTTTAGCCTTGTTCTAGCCCTACTCTAACTTGACCCTACTATTACCTTAGCTCTAGACTTTCTCCAGCTCTACGTTAGTCTTACTCTAGCCGTATTCGGGCCTCTGTCATTTTATATTTGGCTTTTAACTTTTACTTTATTAAGTTTATTTTCTTAGTGTTGGTTGTCATTTACATTTGTCAAATGTCTTTTGACACCAAAAATATATAATTAGGTTTTAAACATTCTGATTAAATTATATAATTTATGATTACATTACCGAAAACATGAGTTTTTAATTCAAAACAAAAACAGTATAAATTATACTTGGAATTTCGCTTCCAACACCAAAATTAAATTAAAATTGTTAGTTGCCAAATCAAAACACGTGCAAAATGTTGCTTTTACATACCCTTCTTTTAATTGATAAGTTTTCAAGTTGTAAGGTTTATTTTTTGACGTTTTAGTTTTTCTACGTTTATAATATATGTGTATACTATTTTATCAGGGTTCTAATTAAGTAGTATAAACATAAGATACATGTCTGTGGAGGTAGGACATTAAAAAAATATGTAATTGTTACTTATGGATTTCCCTTCTATTTTTAATTCTTCATGTTTCTAATGAAACATTAAAACAGGGCGTTTTAATTTTTTGTGTGGGAGTGGAGTACGCAGGTTGGTACGATAGTTTTATTTTTTTGAAGGATTCCAAGATTTGTATATTGCTAGCCACGGCAACACAATCTATCTTATTCTCACCTGATTTGTTTTCCTTTGCTTTACCTTTGGTATATTCTTGCTTTTCTCTGGCAGGGTAGGTAATTTTATTACTATGACAAGGCTAAGACTTTACCAATTTTTTTTCTCTGCCGTTTCTTTAATTCGTCTTTTCCCTACTCTTGTTTTTTTCTTGTTGTATTCTTGCCATATTCTTGATTTACCTGTGCTCTACCATTGCCATAGTCTCGTTTTACTCTTGTCTTACCCGTGCTTTACTCCTGCTTTACCCGCGTTTTCATTTTGCTCCACCTTTGATGTACTCTTGCTCTAGCTTTGTCTTACCCTTGCTTTTTCTTTGCTCTATGTTTGCACTACTCTCGTTTTAACTTTGCTTTAACATTGCTTTAATCTTGGCCTAAACTTGCTTTACCTTTTCTCTACCTTTGTCTTACTTTTGCTTTCCTCTTCAATCTACCCATTTTCTACTCTTGATTTATCTTTGTTATACTCTTGTTTTACCCTTGCCTTACTGTTGTCCAATTTTCTTTTTCTTTGGCGCCATTCTCCCAACTTTGCTCTGCCTATTTGAAAAAATATGTAACTTAGTATCAACCCTTTTGCATTAACGATTACAGTTTTTGGATTAAAACAACTAATGTGATGACATTTTTGTAAGGGAATGTGGAGTTGAAAAACCAACAAAACATCACTAAAATGTCATCACGTTTCCGAAAACAAATTTAATTTGTTGAAACTTACAGTACCTAGTCTTGCATCCGTCTTAATACTCGGAAAACGTTCTGGAATGTCATACTAGAATGTCACGCAACAAATCGTACGATATAAGGGTTACACAACAATCTTGGTATCACGTTCTCAGACTGTTTGATCCACGAAGCGTGGTATTTGTAAAACTTTTAAACGATTTATTAAAAGGTCGCCGGTTTTAGTTGTAAACTGTAACAGTATAAATATTAGGGTAGTCGCATATAATGAGTGACACTTGTAACCGTATAGTCACGTGCTTGGTCAATGTTAAACTCTGTGAAGTTTGGAGTGTAGTTGTTTGTGAAACATTAACTACGAATTACGATACGGTTTTTAAGGCATAGTAGGTGTGTGAGTGGTCTTGCTGAATTTTAGTGTATATGTTACACAAATCTGTAATACACTTCGGTATGTATCTTTGCAAAATTGTTTGTTATTGTCTATAGGATATAAATCTTTATCAGAGAAGCAGCATATACCGTTTTTTGCATAGTACGGTACAAATATAGCTGTACTAAGGCAGGGTAAACCAGAGCAGAGCTACAGTTTTGTAAGACAGGGCAGGGAATTTATAAATAAGAAAGGCTAAGGCATGTTCTCGCCAATTTTTGCAATTCTTTTTGTTTTCTGATACATTACGTCAAATTTAGATATGCTTTTAAGAATGTTCGTTAGTAGATTGGTATTTGTTTTCTAACGCTTTAACTGTAATTTTAAATTGTACATCTTGTATTCAAAATATCATTTATTAAAATTTTTATTTTCAGGGTTGTTTCAAAGCATTAGTCTTTCGTTTTACATTGGTGTGAGAAAAACATAAATTAAAAATTCGAAATGAATGTTTTGTTGTTCAAGCCAGAACTTTATCAACAAAGGTACAACTGTAATTTCTATGATGTCAACATGATACCTATCAAAGAAAAACAACACATCTTTCTCGGTACAATGATTTTTATCTTTTACGTTGTTTTAATGGTAAGGGCATGATTTTAGGCTTACTATATTTATATTATAATAATATACGTCACACAAGCTGTTAGAGCTCTAAAAAAAAGTTATTTTACATATATTAAGCTATTTTTTGCAGTACATGTATGAAGTTGATATATTGTAGCAAAATACTGTAGCTTTTAAAATTTTATGAATTTTTCATTTCAGATGTTGTATGTCTTGTGCATCATAAGTATGTTATTAAGCACTCATCGCAGTAGGCCTAGTTATATGTTGATGATACTTCTGGGTATTTCACACGTTGGAGGTTTACAAGTTAGTGGTTTAATGACAGCCGTCTTTGCCATCTCTGGCAACGTTTTTTGCGACTTCCCAACTGTTATCTATGTTGGGGGATGTGTTGGGCTTGGTAAGTAAAATGATATATGTAAACAGTAAAACCGCTTCAGTATGTCTCTTGCTACCGTGAAACCCTCTTTATAATGACAGCTTTCTAATCCTCATTAAGCTTTTAAGGATATTCAAACTAACCTTACCTAAATTTTAGGCACATGGTGCTGCTCAACCATGACAGGCATCATTCTCACCCTAAACCGCTGCTGTGAGATCTACAGTCCACGTGTAGCCAATCGTCTTTTCAACGGTGTGTGCAAGTACTTTTGGCTAGCTCTTCCCTGTAGCTATTTTTGGTTCTTCTTCTGGTATACCAATCCACCCCTATTCAGTGGGATTTTAATGAGCTGGTTCTTCAACCCACACATGAGTTATTTCGAAGACGACAACAACACCTATCATAACTATTTTCATGCCATTAATAACATTGCCGACTGTATTTTGGGGACTTGTGTTAGTTTGTTGTTTGTGGTACTGTATTTGAAGAAGGCGAGGGCGGTGCGAAGTGATATGAGCGCGACTGATAAGAAGGTCAGAAGATTTTAAGAGCTTAATGATAATATATAGGAGAATAACATATTTAAGTAATTCTGTGCCCCCTAACCCTAAAAGTTTATTTTGAGAGACACAGAATTATTTGAACAATTTAATAATATATCACTCAAATGTTAATTTTAAAAAATAACTTTAAAATCTAATTTTAGATGTGCTTACAAGTCTTCATAATAGAAGGCATGCAAATCCTAGCCAGCTCATTGTACGTGGTTCAACAAGTCAGTCAAGTCAACTTTTACATTACATTGGTGGCTTCTTCTGCGTATTTTATGTCACAAGGTATGTTATACTCAAGTTTTTATAAAAGGTGCTAAAATTTTAAATAATATTAGGTTGTTCAATTAATTTTGAGCTCCATCTCAAAGTAAATAATTTTTTTTTGATGGAGTGCAGAATTATTTGAACAACATAATAGTACCTTCAGTGTCATCATTTTTTAGAGTTTTAAAGGTTTATACATTGAATATACAAAAATTAGAGCTTTTTAGGCAAATTTTGTTTTTTGGTATTGTATGGTACACTTGGTACTGATGGTGCACTTTAAAATACTTTTTTAAATAAATGTTCTAATTTGATAATTTTTTATCTTTGAAAAAAAATTGTGGTTGATTTTTACGTTTGGTACCAATGATACACTTTTTCAAAATATTTTTTTTTGTTTTTTGTTTGACATTCTAAGTTATAAATATTTTTTCAGGATTTCCACCAATAATTTACCTAACCTTCAACAAGACCATTACACGAGTCATGTACGGTAAGATCTTCCGCGTCTCGAACTACACGCACCCCTCCACGAAGGAGCAACACTATGACAAAAACGGCGTAGGCAACGTTCAAGTCAAAGCGTACACGCAGTACTAACTAAACCTTTACGCATGTAAAAATATTGTAATAACTCGTTTTCGAAACATATTATTTTACACTAATATAAATGTCATTTCACTACTGTTTTGGGGGTTTAACATGCTTCCTTATCGGTGTAAAGTTAAGATACGATTATTATGTTTATTTAAAAATTTTTTTCATAAAAATGGGATTAAAAAGCTTAAAAAATCAAAAATTTACAATGAAAAACAAAAAAAAATAAAAAATTAATAATTGAGTCTCTCATTGTAATTGTAAGGAACGGGAGCGTATGGTACCCTATCTCTAGCATAGGTCATGAATCTGAGAGGTGGGATCGGCTGCATATGGTGCATTCTTTCTTCATCTGGATTTGGACCAACACGGTGTGGAAGAGACTCTGGCATTTCTAATGGTCCTTTGAATTCTGGTATGCCTTCAACGGCTCTCACTTGAGGTGGCATTTTGTGTTCTGGCCCATGTTCTCTTTCTTTTTGTTTAGGTTTATGGTCTTTTTGTTCTTCTCTTTGTTCTGTTTTTTCTTCTTCCTTTTTACCTTCTTCTTTATCTTCTGACTCACGCTTAACTTTTTCTTTAACTTCTTCTTCTTTCTTATCGTCTTCTTCTTTCTCACCATCTTCTTTGTCTTCTGATTCACGCTTAACTCTTTCTTTCACATCTTCCTTTCCAACAGAAACTTCTTCATGCTGTTCCTCACGTTTAACTTTTCCTGTAGCTTCATGATCTTCTTGTGCCTCCTCTTCTACTTTTCGTTCAGCTTCTTCGCTTTCTTCTTTGTGAGCATCAGTTTGTTCTTTATTTTCAGCCGAACGTTTTTCTATACCATCTGATATAATTTCTTTTTCCAAAGATTCTGTGGAACTTAAAGGATCAGCAGCACGAACGTTTTGATGTTTTACAGGATCGGCTTCAACTGATTTTTCTTCAGCAGAACGCTTACCATAGTAGTAGGCTGGGTAGCCACCGTAGTAGTAGTACTGGAATAAAAGTGGTTACAGCATAGTTTTTGATTACTTAAAACTTTAAAAAGACGTTCAAATAATTCTGGACACCCTATCAAGCAATTTTTTTAGTTAAAAGCAGAAAACTATTTGAAATTCATTAAATACATAATAAAAATGCTAAAAATAAAGCTTATCTACAGTGCTTAGTTGTTATCTACAGTTTTCTTCTGTAACGGATATACTGATACAACGAGAAACATAAGAAGTATTACTTACCTGAGCTTCAACTGATAGAACGCAACATAAAGCAAGCAAAGCAACAACCTTATGAGCAGCCATTTTCACAATGAACACTACTAACACACTCAATCACAAGTTTTGCAATTTATATATATATATAAAAAGAACAGTTTTCATCCACTAAGTTGTATATAACTCAAAATACCTCATGTTTGCTTTAGAAAAGTTAAATTATATTTGTTGAATTTTATTTTATAGTATAAACAGTAAAAATGCATTTTGCTCAACGTCTATACGATAAAAAACCATTTGTAAACCAAGAGTTACTATAATTTGTACTACGAACTTACTGCGTGGTTTGTTTGTTTTACGTAAATATACTGTTACTGTTTGCTTTATAAGAGCGATAAAATAGGTATTAATTTATTACTTTGTTATCATTGGCAAATAATAAAATGCATAATTATATTAGGTGCCGACATAAAGAACCCGCCATAGTTTTCCCATGGTTTCTTGTAAAAAAAGACTGGTTCTTTATGTCGGCACCTAATATTATATAAGGCTACTAGTGATATATAAGATACTAGAGATTGGTTACAGAATTCATTAAAATATCAGTTTAAAACTTAATCGACTAACATTATGAGCGATAATTATTATTAATCAAAGTGTCATTCCATATAACGTTGAGATGTTCAAAGTAAAGCGCTGTTTCTACTGCTGTACTTTTCTGCAAAGTTTTAGGATCTGGTGCTACGGGTTTGTAGTTGAAAATCCAGCCAAAATCATTCAGAAAAACCTTTCTAATTGGCTTAAAGTACCATATTGTGATAAACGTAGCATACAGGTTGTAGCAAGCGACAAATATGTAGTCTAACTGAAAAAAAGTTATAAATAAGTTGACAATGTGAGATTATTTTTAAAATTAAAAAAAAAAACTTTAATTATGACTAAAAATAACAAAAAAATTACCGTTAACAGCGCCTTAAAGTAAACATTGCTTTCATCTAGTAAGTTCGTAAAGTAACCCATAATCATTAGTAGAAATACAACGCCACAACAACATGTTAAGATGACAAAAGCCATAATTATGACCATCATTAGGTCTACAACATCTAAGATCTCTTTCAAAACATACGATTCTGACAAAGTATAGGTAATTTTTCGAATTTGTTGTGCTTGATGCTTTAGAACGTAAAATGTCTGAAAATATAATAGTTGTTGTTTTAGTTATATTTGTTGCTAAAATAGATATTTGATTAAAAAGCCGCGTAACAGAACTTTTGGCGCACTGTGTAATTAGCAGCTGTTTATTATAAACAATTTTACTGATAAAAAATTTAAAAGGTAAGGTAGATTAGTGCTAGGTAGCCATACCTGAAACCCATAAACACAAGAAGCGAACAAAATAGCATTAGCAACTATAATTGTTGGAAAACTCTCATCCAAAGTAAACATTCTTTGCAAGCACGTATCAATACTATCTTCACAATTTCTCCACAATAACACAGACTTCATAACTGCTATCAATGTGCACGTCAAAGCGACGATAAACAGTATTTTAAAAGCAGTTTTAGTACTAGAGCCATGTTCGTATGTAGCGCGGTTTTTAAAAGCCACTCGACGTTCGTAGCCAACGATGAAGTACTTTGCACAAAATATGTAGTTGCATATTGATGACACAAAGTAAAAAGCGTATACAATAGTCGCCGTTGCGTACATTTCGTTTTTTACACTGTAAGACCGTTTCGGCAGTAGTAAGTAAACTTGGCGAGTTAGTGCAAACAGACATGTCAACATGTTGATAATGATCTGAAGTTTCATGAAAAGAGTAAATAGGGTAGGTTAGGGTAGGGTAGGGTAGGATAGGGTAGGGTAGGGTAGGGTAGGGTAGGGTAAGGTAGGGTAGGATAGGGTAGGGTAGGGTAAGGTAGGGTAGGGTAGGGTAGGGTAGGGTAGGGTAGGGTAGGGTAGGGTAGGGTAGGGTAGGGTAGGGTAGGGTAGGGTAGGGTAGGGTAGGGTAGGGTAGGGTAGGGTAGTGTAAGACAAGACACAGCAGAGGAGGTAGAGTAGGAAACGGCAAAATTAAAAAAAAAACTAATTTTAAATTATATTGTTCAAATAATTATGTGCTCTCTCACAAGTCATTTTTTTTAAATTAGAGGGCGCAGGATTATTTGAAAAACCTAATAAATTACTTACCAAGTTAATTCTGAAGTTCTTGCTGTAACTTCTAGCCTCCGCAAAACGAATAGCACAATATATATTTAACAAGATGCATACAATACATGCTACAAGTTCAAACCATCGGCTATAAACTGTAATAAAGCACGCCAGTGACAACGAGTTATCAATCAAATATTGTTGGCTATTCCATCCAAATTGATTAAACAATTTAAAAGTAGAGTTTTTTGACAAACACGCATCAAATCGTATATCCATGCTATACCACTATGTTGCCTGAGTCGATCTCTGCTATAATAGTATGTTTTTGTAACTAAAAATATAAAATTAGTAACTTTAAAATAGTAAATTTAAACTTAATCACAGTATTTTAGCATCACGTAATGTTACGTAACATTATAACTAACGTAAGTCACAGTAACTGAAAGATGAAAGTAAATACCAATTAGACACAAATTATCTGCATAGTATATAATAATATATAGCTTAGTATATAATATAATTACGTAATCAAACAACTCTTAAAAAGTTCTTGTATGATGCATTAGTTAAGTACAACAAGGTAGTCGTTATGGCGACATGCACTAAAGGTTCATAAGTGCTTACCTTTATTATATTATCAGTATTATGTTAACATATTAATCTTTATTATATTATCATATCGTTCAATTGGGCAAAGTTCTATGGTGTAATAAACTTCTTGTAGCAATTAGATCTTAATCTTTACGTACTCCGTCTTGACCTGTCGTCTGAGCTTTCTTATCAACAAGTTGTAGCGAACCGTTTAGTACTTTTTGCTCCCCTATTCTTTTCTAGAGCAAGTCCAATATGGTACAAAGCCAACTTCTCATTCAATACTTTACTAAGGAGGCCCGCAGTGAGAGCGTCCTACTCGTTTCGTCTACAATAAAAGCAACTGACTTTATACGACGATGTTGGGCCTTTCGCATGTTTAAAACGACACGATCTATTACTCTCCCTACGCTTTTAAAAAACTGCCTGTAACAAAAAGTTAGCATCGTTTTACGTCGATACTAACTCCTGCCCATTTTTTACGGCAGGCGAAGAAATTCGTTGCAACTAAAGTTGACGGAAGCTTATGCTTGTTATATTACGTAAGATGTGGTAACTCTTCCAGGCCAATATCAGTTAGGGGTTCTCTACGGGTTTTTTTCCATCGGTCAATCCTTAGTTACGAGACACATCGATAAAGTTGGCATATGTAAGTCACGTTGATATTTATTAATTACGCTGCATCGGAAAAAGAAATCGATTACGAATCTCTATGAATGCTCGGTCGACTTGAGGTGGCGTGCGCTGATATTTATTGCTGGGCTAATGGTCCTAGTGGCGCAGTAAATTTAGAGTGAGAAATCACGTTCGCTTTTATTGATTATCCTATGGGCTCTTGAGTATTCTTGTGATACAAAACATTCAATGATGTTATCCACACTGGCGGCTTTAACAGCGCTCCTGGCTTGAGGCCTTTGAGCCTAGGGAGGCAGGTGTTTTACGTTTTGATCCTAAGAATAAAGTTACTATCCAACAGCTACGCGTTTTGTTTCTACAAAACTAAAGTAAGGGATTGTGTATTACTCTAGTAGCCGTTAGTTCTTTGAAGAAGAGCTGCTACAATATTCCTACTCGGTTTCTTCTTTTACGTACGGGTTCAAATGTTCTAATGTTATTTCCACAGATGAACGGCACCTATAAGAAAAAATAAAACTTAAAAAAATCAATAAATAATTACTTCAGAAGGTCGTATTTAAAGTCGTGACTGTTGAACCGAAGACCATGGTAAAGAAGCAACGAGTAGAACTTGCTTTTCCGGTTTGTCGTTTGCTCCAATTCTACCGTCTTCTCAAAAGTCTTCAACAATTCAATAAATGACAGCCTGGACGTCAGCAATTCTTTCAACTCCAGCCATTTGTTGACACAATTTGTTGATAGAATGATTGCGAGATCAAGGTTTTTGTCTATATGATACTTTCTTATCATTATCTGCCTTATCAAGGGATGTTGTCCTAGATCTTTCTTATCTTTTAAATGTTTGTTACTTGGTTTAGACTACAACATGTGTAAGTTACAAGAGATGTGAATGAATTATAATCATAAAGACGAGGAAAAGACTAGAAGAAAACTTCCTCACCATTTTGTGCTTTGCCATGACTTGACCTTTCATCAACATGCGCTAGCCTTGTTTGAAGGCGGCGTTTAGTTGTTTTAAAACGAGAAGAAATAAATCTTATACATATGATAAGATGTATATGATAAGTAAAAAAATATGAAAATAAAAAATTGGGGGCTCATCCAGAACAGCCCCCCAATCCGTTTCACACCCCCAACCGCCAGTTCGCACCCCCAGTGAAACCCCCAATCTTCAACTCCAGGTTAACCCGACTTGGCCGAACCATATCGGCAATGTCCGGAGTTGAAGGTTGAGGGTCGCGCGAGAGAGTGCTGGTCTACCGACTGGCCAGGGCGGTGAACGGAGGAGCAGAATGAAGAATTTGCAAAATCTGCTGCCTTTTATACGCATTTTCATTGACTTCGTAAAGATCAATTTAAAAAATGAATAATTTTTGACTTTTTACGTGCCGGTTGTAAATTTCATTTTCTGGGGGTGCGATCTACAGTGGGTTGGGGTGCTATCTACGGTGGGTGGGGGTGCTATCTACAGTGGGTGGGGGTGCTATCTACAGTGGGTGGGGGTGCTATCTACAGTGGGTGGGGGCGCTATCTACAGTGGGTGGGGGTGCTATCTACAGTGGGTGGGGTGCTATCTACAGCGTAGGGGGTGTAAACTACATTGATGGGGGTGCGAAGTAAAATGGAAACATTAGTTCAAAATTGAAATTTATGTGAAAAATCGCAAGAGAAAAAAAAAGAAATTTTCAATTTGCTTTTTGAAAATGAATTTTGGGGTATGTTCTGGTTGACATCGGTGGGGGGTTGAAATGGTATGGGTAGGGGGGCTATTCTGGATGAGCGCCAAAAATTGCCTTTGCTTTACGCTATCACCACCCTAGCGTCTTACCCACGCCCTACACGACCCTTATTTTAACTTTACACTAATATAACTTTCCCTGTCTCATTCTACGTTGCTTTACGCTATTCCTAATTTAGCCCTGCCTTACCCTATTATTAGCTGTTTTAGTCTTACTTTAATCTATCCTACTTTACTCACTTTTACACTTTATTCAAACTACTTTACTTTAAAGTGTCTCCTTCAAGCCATGATAAAAGTGAAAAGTGCTAAACGTAGTTGTTTTAAATAATGCTAAAATACCTATTTTACAAAGATATATGTAAGGTTTCTTTTTGCACGTTAACAAGGCTAATGAGTTCTTGAAAATCATGCAAGCACAATTGTGGTACTCGATATTCTCAAAGTTTACTACAAGATGTTAACAAAAAAGATAAGTGTCAACAAAGATACTCGTTGTGACATACAAAACGTATAACACAGAAACTTAATTTATAAAAATACTATACTAGATTTCTATTTAGCTGATATTCGGTATATTTGTAAAGAAGCGACACTAAGCTAAATTTTTTAGTTAAATCTCCTTCAAGTTTGCTTTAGCCTGGTCCAGCTCCGCTTTGGTTTGTATCCCTGCTTTTAGTTCCAAATTTGTCATCCCAGTACTGCTTTTTCCTAAATGTTTTTGGCATGGTTAGACGTAAAAAAAGACCTACCAGGCCCGGACATTAACAGATCTAGGTTTGGTACAACTCTGTTTTATCATTTATGCCTGGATGGACATAATAAAAAATGTAAATTAAATTAGTAAGGTAAATAAACCCAAACCTAAAAACCCTTAAAATTTATTAACTGTAACGATTACTAATCGGCGCGTCATTCCAAAGAGTACTGAGTTGAACAAAGTGAATGTCGGCTTCTGTTAATACGCTTTTCGTTAGCTTCTTAGGAGTCGGTGCTACAAGTTTGTAATTAAAAATCCAACCAAAATCTAAAATAAAAAGTTTTTGAATTGGCTTAAAATACCATATTGTGGTGAACGTGGAAAACAGGTTGTAGGAAGTTACGAAAATGTAGTCTAGCTAAAAATACGTTATAGATCATAAAGATTAGATGTTAATAAGATAAGGTATTATAATACCGTTATATAACAAAAACCATTTAAAAAAAAAAACCCTTAAAAATTTGTTATACAGGATTCCTATTATATTATGCTACCATAGCATCAGACCCCTCTTGCAATAGTTTCCACTTACAGATAACAGCGCTTGAAAGTAAACATGACTTTCATCGATTACATGTGTAAGATAACCTCCAACCATCAGTAAGAAAACAACCGTACATATACATGTCATTATGCCAAATGCCATAATTAACACCATCATTAGATCAACAACATCCAGAATCTCTTTTAAAACATAAGATTCTGATAAAGTGTACGTATTTTTTCGAATATGTCGTGCTCGGCGTTTTAAAACGTAAAACGTCTGAAAAATATTGTACTTTAACTCGGACTAATTCACAAAGCTATAGCATGGAGCAACTTAGAGCCATGTAGGGTAGGAGAAGCATACCTGACAACCATAAATGCACGAAGGAAACAAAAATGCATAAGAAACCATGATAGTAGGAAAACTATCATCCAATAAGAAGGTCTTTTGCAAGCACTTGTCAGTGCTCTTTTCACAATCCATCCACAAAAGTACCGCCTTTAAAACCGTTGCTAACGTGCAAATCAAAGCGACTTTCGACAGACTTCCATAAGCCGTTTTAGTACTAGAACCATGTTCGTATGTGGCACGGTTTTTAAAAGCCACTCGTCGTTCATAGCCAACGATGAAGTACTTGCCATAAAATATGCAGTTGCATATTGATGACACAAAATAGAAAGTATATATAATACCCGCCGATAAGTACATTTTGTGCTCTATACTGTAACTTTCTTTTGGCAATAGTAAGTAAACTTGGCGAGTTAGTGAGAATTGGCTTGTTAGCATGTTGATTGTTATCTATAATCATGTATTGAATTAAATAAAAAGTTTGCGTTGTGTAAACTTATTATACGATAGGAAGTGTTAGGTAGAGTAGAATATCCAAAAAAAACATTACAGATACGGCCTTACCAAGTTAATCCTAAAGTTTTTGCTGTAACTGCTCGCTGCGGCAAACCGTATAGCACAGTATACGTTTAACGTGATGCTTACAATAAATACTAGTAGTTCATACCATCGACTATAAACCGTGATAAAGCACACTAACGGCAACGAGTTATCTAGCAAATATTGCTGATTATTAAAGCCTAGTCTGTCAAATAACTTGAAGGTTGAGTTTGTTGATATACAATCATCGTATGTCATTTTTGAGGCTTAGAGAACAGCTTTTAGAGTTTTGAATTAAGCTTTATATATGATAAATGTATAAAAAGTAACTACAGTATAAAAGTCTAAGACAAAAATAGCAGTATATTTAAATACAAAAAGCAATGGCAAAACCTTCTAGTCGTCAATATATTTACCAATTTGTCACTACAATATAAACAAAACAATAGTATTGCCTAAGCACTGCAATTGTAAATACTAATGAGAACCGTTTATCATATATAATTACCTAACAGAACAGTAAAGTAAAGTATTTCCTAATTTGAATTCTTAAACCGCATACTGTAATCGTGTACTGATTAGGGCAGTCGTTATGGCGACGTGTATTATCTGTGATAAAGGCTAAACCGTCTAGTCGCTATAATGGCATAAGTAATATAGCCTAGTGTAGCAAAAGAGTTGAACTACTTTGAACTTTATGTTGAACTAAAAACATATATCCCTTAGAGTTTAGAACAAGCTCTTTATGAGATACATGAGTATATTATCACAGAAGCGTTTTCAATACTTCAAATAGCTTCTTTTTTTTAAATATTTTGAAATCAAACTATTTTTTGACTAGCCGAAGTGTAATGTCACAACAGAAAAACATCAAACAAATCGGCGGAATTCAAACTCATCGTCTTCTGCACGCCAGACTAATTAATTTCCTTTTCTAGACTTAAAGACTGGCTTACTGAGGCTTGCCTGATCTTGGCCAGTTATTATATATAACAAGCTGACCGAGCAGCGCCACAACAAATTTAAAAAGGACAAGGCAAGGCACTGAAATCGAAGCCTGGCTCTGCTCAAGACGAATAAGAAGGGTCAAGTAGGACACTTTACCTAAGTTTGGATTCTTAATGTGTCGCTAAGCAAAAAAAACTTATTTATAACTTTTTGAAATTTTCTTAATAATTTTTTCTTTCATTTTTTATATGACTCGCACTAAAACCAGATTATTTTCTGTAACATCGAAAAAAAATTTAATACTTTATTATAGCTTTTGAGTTTATTCAAAATTTTTAAATTTAAGATTTTTTTAAATTAAAAAAAACAAAAAATTTGTTGTTTGTTCGTGTCATTTTTGTAAAATTTGTAATTTTGTTTAGTGGTGTTTGTTGAAAAAGGGTTATGGAGGAGATCTTCAAGTCAGTCGAATTGTGCCGAAAGAATGGTGGTTCTGTGACTGTTGAACACGAGTTGAAAGTACGTTTTTTAGAGTAGCGTAAAGTAGGGCATTGTAAAGGGTAGAGTTGAAAAATATTTTTATTTTTGAAAATAAGCCTTATTTTTGTTTTTACGATTTTTAAAATACGTTTTATGTGTTACAGACTTAAAAATTATATTTCTTTAGGACAAGTACGTTGGAGTATTGTTTGGCGCTGCTTGGTGTCCGCCATGTCGTAACTTTACGCCAATGTTGAAAAAGTTTTACGAGGTTGCAAAGAAGGACTTTGAGGTAGGTTTCAATATCAAACAAACTTAATTATTTAGCTATCTTTATTCTAAATGCCTTAGGTAATAAAAATATTTTTTTTAAGAATGTTATAGATCGTTAAGTTCAAAAAATGTTGGTTTTAAAACCAAAAACGTACTTTAAAAAGTAAAATTTTAGGTTGTTTTTGTATCTCGAGATCATGCAGAAAATTCGATGATGGCTTACTTGAAGGAACATCATGGCAATTGGCTTTACGCCAAGTTTAGAGACAAACATGCTCAGTAAGTACCATACTATGCAGTAGAACTCTTGTATAACGAAACTCCTTCGCAACGTACACTAAAAACATTGACTACTTCGTTATACAGGATTCTATCGTACTGAAAATGTATTTTTTTTTACATTACAGTAACTTTTGTTATCGTTGTAAGCGTTTAAACCATCTTTTAAATAAGGTATTGTTAATTTTAAAATTAAATTTTTTATGTTCAGTCACCTTCTGAAGAAGTTTTGCACCGCCGGAATCCCTACATTGACCGTGCTGAAGCCGGATGGTACTGTTCTGCTCAAAGACGCAGTAAAAGAAGTTGTCGATGGAAAAGAGAATCCTCAACAAACTATTGACAACTGGAAGAAGAAATGATTTTTTAAAAAAGGTTAGGTTATCTTATTGTAGGCACTGGACATGCACTTTTTTTGGCTATATAAACCTTTAGTTGATTGTCCTTGGTCGAGTGAAGCTTTAGTCGATCATACATATAGAGAACATGCAAGGATATAGGTCTTGCCTTGCTGTTTATTTAAAAGTACAGGTAAGTATCATGTGTAAGAATAATAATATTGTGGACTTTATAGTAAATTAGTTACTCTTACTGTGTATTGGGTATATAAAGAAATAGTTTTGCTAGACTTTGTTATTGATACTACGTGATAATTACAATTTTCAAAACTAACGTATATCGGGTGGGATAAGGGACGTACGCTAAGTTATTAGTATAATTTGTTTAAGGAAGTAAAAGTTTACAAACTGTTAATTTCATCGTGTCTTTACTGTAAAAAAGTTTTTTTTTATAACGCAAGATATATAACTTGAGACGTAAAAAGATGATAAGGGCTTGATGAAGATCATCAAAGAAATCTATCGCAGCTGTTCTCAATAGGGTACCATCTATGTGATCCTGTTTCTCAAGCTACCGAGTAATTATGAGGTTCTTCTCAAGAGTTCAAGCTGTAGTCGAATGACTGTGTTGGCTAAGCAACAACTGTATTGAGTTCTTGTCAAAGCATTAAAGGTACAGTAATTCATTATTTAAAATCTAATGAATGTACGTGCATTCCGCCCTCTGAGTTTATATATATAATACTAATACGCTTGTTATCGTACCAATTTACATTAAAATTAGTCATATGAAAGTCTTTTTTAAGCATTTTAATACAAAATTTAGCTTGGAACTCGGAGTTTTTAATGACATATTATTAAGTGTTGTTTTAGTGCATTACAAGAACATTTAACTTATAGCAGTAGCTTTCATTAAGTGGTGCTGTAATTTAAATGCCTGTTTCTACAGAGTGTAAGAAAGTACAGTTTTATTTCTTGGTTTTACTTTTGCTTTATCTTTTAATTTTTGTATAAAATTTCAAAAATATGAGGATAACAATATAAAAAAAAAATTTTTTTTAATTCTTCGATTTTACTACAGTGGAATTCGTGTAAAAAACCTCTCAAAAAGTTGAAATTTGTTTGTTATAACGAAGTTTTGTTATAGGGAAGTTTTAAATGTAATATGTAATGGTAGGCGGGGATTCAAAAGTTTTTTGTTATACAGGAGTTTCGCTATAGAGGAGTTTTATACAGAAGTTGCACTGCATATCGTCTATTGCTGGGCGGAGATTTATAAATTGTTCGTTATACAAGAGTTGGTTCTACTGTAATATACAACAGTAATTATGCAAAAGTAGACGTTAATTAATCAAAAAGTCTTTAAATAGCAGTGGAATTTAAAAATTTTAATTCGTATTTTATTAGGTGCCGATATAAAGAACCCGCCATAATTTTCCTGTAACTTCATGTAAAAAATGGCGGGTTCCTTATGTCTGCACCTAATACTTTAAAGTTTAAAGATTTTTGGTTAGGGGGGAAGCAAAGGATGATGATTTTAAAATACGGTATATTCCCTGCGAAGTAATAGTTCAGTGATCTATTCACAAGAGTATTAGGATAATACACTACGTTCCTAATTATTATTTTTATATCTATTTACTAAGCACATGTGATTATACTGTAATATGTTTATTACATATATCTATCACTACGCAAAATAATTATCATAAGTAATTGGGTAGCCAAAGCTATTTTACAATTACTTATTAAACGCTTCTAATAAGTTGTTGTTGTAAAAATATTTGAGCAGTAGACAGTACCTGTCGGGTACTGTACTTTCAGCCTTTGGGGGGGGAGAGGAGGATGGGAAGATCAAAGTTGGAGGGGGGGGAGACTTAATTTGTTTAAATTTTTTGTGATTTAGTACGATAGCGTTAAAACACAGTCATTTCTTGTCTTTATATGTTACGTTTTTTACTTTTTTACTACGGTAAAAAGCAGAATATAAGAAACACTACGTTTTTTTGCTTTGCATATGTATAAATAGTAATTGTATTGCTTAATATATTTATTTTGCCACATTATATATATAGAACACGACATTTTGCCTGTTTTTCGTCTTCCAGTCTTTATGTAACATAAAAACATGTTATTGTAGCATATAAATATTCAGGTATTTTTGAAAAAGTTACTCAGAACTGTCTTGCATATTCACGGTTAGAACTTCGAGAACTTATGCTATACAACATAACGCAGGCTTGAATTTGGCCGTGACTTGGAGATTTTTTAGTTCTAGGCAGTGTTTTGCCCGGACCGGCCCGGAGCGTTTTTCACCGGTCCGGTCCGGCGATTTTCGGGTCCGGTCCAAACTTCAAATTTTTGGGTCCGGTCCGGTCCGCAAAAAAATTTTTTTTGTTTTTAAAAAAGCAAAGAGCGCTAAAATCGCTTTTTCTACGTTTAAAAACACTTAAAAATATGTTTTCTTTGCAATTTTTAAAGCAGTTCTAATAAAATAAAAAAAAAAATTTTTCCGGTCCGGTCCGGAGCTTTTTCTTCGGTCCGGGTCCGCAAAAATTTTGTTTCGGTCCGTCCGGTCCGCGGACCGGACCGGTCCGGCAAAACACTGGGTAAAAAAGCGATTTTTTGTTTGGTCCGGAGATTTAGGAATAGCCAGACTAGAAAGGAAGCAAAAACAGTTTCACAGAAGTTGCAGGTTGTGCTAGTTATTATTTTAATAAATTTTTATAAGTGGACGGGACAAAACAAATTTGAAAAAAATCGGACAAAAATGTGGGCTTGGGTTAGCCTTTTTACCAATCTAAAGATGGGGTATGAAACAAAAAAATATTTTTAAACATTTTATTATCTTTTGCAACAATTTGACGCTTTTTTTGGAACTAGATTAAACATAGATTTTGAACTTTTGACTAATACCCACTTGTTCGCTTATTGAACTTTTTTGTTTTGCATGCATCAATTTGTTTTTTTTTCATATATCATTGCAATATCACGTATTTTTTGATGTTACGAGTCCAAAGATCTAAATTATCTTGTTCATCTTATACATACAATTTTAAACATTATTTTAAATTGGTTTGTTTTAGCTCGACAAACCGTAGTAAGCAAAAATTATTGTTATTAAGTACTACTGAAGGTCAAGTTTACTTCGTTAGCAATACTAATAATAAGACGGTAACTGTGGTGATACAATTTTACTTTGCTTCTACTGAATTATATATCAAAGGTGATAAAGTTTGAACACAACTGTAATACGATGCCTTATCACCATGAACTGTCATACGAAAGCGGTCCTGATATTATGTGGTTTCATGGAGCTGAACCTGTTCTACGTGATCTAAACTTAACAGAGGATGAAGCTTTGAAATTGTTGAGTACAGTACATGAAGATGAATGTAAGTATAGTTTTTATCAAATCTTATCAGTAAAAAAGAGAGATACAAGGTAAATATTAACCAGTACGAAATCAGTACTAGCCATTTATTGTTAAACGATCATATATATCGTATATTATTTTAGTCAGTTCAAACTTCCACATGTACTTTGAGTTATCGATAGCAACATTCGCCGTGATTGCCAACACTTTTTTATTATTTATAATGAATAAGCATAAACAACAGTACAAATCATTGCTTTTTATTCTACGACTAGCCATGTGTGTAGACTGTTACATGGCTCTGGTGACTATAAACTGCCAACCAGTGGTGCATGTTACATATGGGTACTTTTCTTGCTATTGTGCTAATAAGTTCTTGCCAAACAATATTTATTTAAAGAGTTTTCTGATGACACTACAGGGATCGGCCATTATGTCTACGGTCATTTGGCTGCCCATTCAGTTTGCTTATCGTTATCATTTTATTGCACAGTAAGTTTAGAGGTTTGGCGATAATTTTAATTTATCTTTTTATAATATTTTGTAAAATAATTTTAAAAAATTAAACGTTTTATTTTTAGTGGCCGATCACCCTCAATACATAGGCAATTACTGTATTTTGGCGTAACTTTCACTGCCTTCATCTCCAACACCCTTGGCCAAAACCGTATGCACAAAGTAAACTCTAGTTTTCGCAACATAAGTAGATTGCTATTCTACGTTGATGGATGGCAAACATCCCCCAACCAAGACTTTATGGGTGGTGGAATTGGTGAATTAAGGGTCTGGTTCTTCGGAGGATTTAACGGTACTATAACTATCATTTGTTATGGTATTGTAATTTGGTTAGAACTGAAAATACTGAAAAAGCTAGCGGACATGCAGAAGGATAGAAGTGTTAAACATCATATTGAAATTAATAGGGCGTTGACGGCTTTGGTAAGTTGAAAGATGTTATTGTTAGTGACTTTGCCCTGCATTTGCACTGCCTTTGCTCTGCTTTTGCACTGACTGTGTTCTGCATTTACTATTCTAAAAAAATTTTTTTTGAAATCATGTCCGACCTTTTTAGGCTCTAGTACCTCTAGTAACGGCAGTAATTCCGATCATGATTTACATGATCGGCTTGTTTATGGCGGTAGATCCGGGTAAATTTATGATAAACGCCACATTCACATTATCATTGGCTTCAATATTAAATCCAGTTACCACAATCGCATTGATACGACCATATCGACGCACTTTCTTGCAGTGGACTAGGCTGCACAAAATTCTACCGTCCAGGATATTGCCCAAACGGTCATCCTTGTCTACTACAAGATTATCACTTGGAGCTGCTAGGAGCACACATTGTCAATCTAACTAATTTTTTTTTGATTATTTTGAAATTTTTTTAAATAAATATCTTTTTAAAAATGTAGTACTAAAATTAGTTTGCTGAAAAGCTTAAACTTACTATAATAATTGATGTCAGTTTTGGGTAAACAATAAAATTACAGGAATTTCGGCTTTGCCACAACAATTAAATTCAATTACAGTTTTTTGTTTTGTCACATTTTTTGAAAATATATTATTATTAGTCTGCCAAGCTGTGTAGGCTTATTCTTCTCTGTGTTTATTTTATAGTTTTTAAGTTTATGCCAATACTTTATTGACGTTACCTGTAAAGTAAGTAAAAAACGTCAAATGTATTATTTTTACTTCCTTTGCACTTTCAAAAATTAGCTTTAAATTAGTTTTAATATAATTTTAAAAAGTTATTGCATTATAAGCAACACAACAAATTGATATTAAGTATTTGGACTGTTGGACAAATTATTGATCAGAAACAACTTGTTAGCCTTCAAAAAATATGCCCTTATTTTTACTTTAGACCTATTCTGGTAATACCTTAGTTCTAGCTCTTTTCTAGCTATAACTTACAAGGAAAGTACCTAAGCTCTGATTGACTTTATGCTTTTTATATAGAATGCTCATGTAAATATAAGATTTTCAGCAAAGTACAATCGTAATCAAAAAACTACATATTGCATTTCCCCCAAGTTGGCATTGTGTTGCAAGCTTATAAAATTGCCATTTTTTGACTTTTAGAAATTGTTCTTTAATATAATAGTAGAATACCTGTAAGTAAACCTATATTTTTAAAGTTGTAAGCGTAGCTAATAGCTAGTATAGAAAGTCAAAAAAAGTGTTTGAAACACAATGCCAATTTTGCCAAATTGGTGGAAAACCAAAATAATTCAACTTTAACACTCAAAAGCGCGAGCTAAATTTTTCATGTGTAATATTGATGGTACAAGGAATTCATATAAAAATTTTTAGCTTATTCTGAGTCAGACAGATAGGATACTTTCTCTGTTAGCTCTATCCTAACTCTATTTTCTACGGTAGCTTTTATCCTTGCGTTCCTTTAGCCTCAAAGTAACCATAAATTAGTCTTGCCTTGTCTTAGCCCTTTCTTATATTTAAACCAAATGCCCAAAGTGTGTGACATTTTAAATTAAAAACAATTACAGTCACACAATACTTGAGACACATATCATGCTGCCAAAATTTGGTTTTATTTGTCGTTCACCTAACTTCCGAGACTCTCTTAGACTTATAATGTATTTGTTAATACTTTTTTAGTCTTCAGTTTATTTATAAGTTTGGTCTCACGTTCATTATTTAGCGGTCGTGTAATTTGTTGTTGTTTAGACACTTCAACAATACTTAAATTTAATTTTTGAAAAATAATTGAAATTCTGCTGAAAACGTTGTATTGTCACAAATGGTGTAGACAGTCAAGTATTAGGTTGTTGTGCATGAAAAACAAAAGAATGTATTCTTGAAGTGTGAATTAGAATATGGTTGGCACATTTTTTAAAAATTACGGTACTTTTGTATATCGAATGGCTCCGGGGTTTTAAATTTCTTCATTATACAGAAGTTTTAAATTCACTGTGTAGTGTTGGCCAGGCATTTTAAAGTTTTTTTTTAAGTTGAGAGGCGGGCTTCTTGGGGGTTTGAAGACCAGAAAAATTTCTTTGAAGACCCTGTAAAAGAATGAGCTCAAGTTTATTGATGAACAAAGAGATTCAAACCCCAGATTCTTGATTGCCAGAGATAAGTGTAAAGAGGTCGATGAAGCGGAGGATTCATTTGGCCACAGGAAAACGTGATGAAATTGAACAGGCGAATCATGGCGTCAGCTTACCTGAAATAATGGTTACTGAATGAGTGTGTAACGGTTGCCTTCACGAATGAGAACAGAGACAGATACAAACAATGACCTATAGTAATATGTATTAGGTTCCGAAATAAAGAACTCGCCAATTTTTACAGGAATTTACAGGTAAAGTGCGGCGGGTTCTTTATGTCGGCGCTTAATATAAACTTACGTTGACAATTCGATGTAATGGTGAGTCCTTTAGCGATCTGGCCAAGGCGTCGGTAACAATCACCAATCCTTTACGAGCGCAGGTGAGTGCATCGAGCAACCTTGGAGTGCATTCGAGAAATCCAACCAGGCCTTTACGATTACGATGTCATACTCTTTTCCTTGACTACCATCCATCGTTGGGGTTTCAAATTGAATTTCAAAGTTTTGTTGTAACAGTCGACCAGCTTACGCTTTGAGATCGTTCGTGCTATTGCTGTATGGAGTACCAAGAGCCACGGCGTTTCTGCCATCTGCCACTTCTGTTAGCCGCTGTATTACGTACTTCAGAATATACATGAGTTCATTCACCTGAACATGGCACGTCCAGGAACCACTACTGTTGTCACGGAGGGGGTTTGCCTTGACATCTATGACTTTGATGTTCTGTCCAAGATGGGCTGCCATGATTTTGGCGAAGTTTGGTAGTACTGACGGAGAGCCTCTACGAAACAAAATATCGCTATAACAGTAGTGAGACATGATCTTTCCGATGTAAAGTACAAAACGATAAGTAAACCTACGATTTACTCGAATGGTACGGTCGTCTGCGAAGGTAGTTAATAGTACAGCCATTTCTCCCATTCACTCCAAAGGTAGAAGAACTTCATCTGACGTAGTCTACGTTAGTGACGTGGCTCGCCCATTACAACTAATCGTTGAATTTCTTCTGACGGTGTAGCCGAGATCGATACCAACGTCGTTACGGACATCATTAGCGCTTCGTCCAGGAACATGACACCAATGGCCGATTTGACCTTCATCTACGAAAGCAGGCCATTGAAGCAGTTATTACGACCACCACCGAACTGCATACGATCTGCAGTGCTGCTAAGGCCAATTAACTATGGTTAATGGTAGTAAATCATGCAGATTAAAGTTTTTGATTAAGAATCCTTTGCTTGAAATTAGATTCAGCCAAGGAATTCTCCAAGTGTCTAAGCAGGTGATCCATGGGCAAAAATGGCTCCACCCTGTCGAAGTCGAACCTTCACCACTACTTCTTTGATATTGACAGAGCGGTTGCTGCACATAACACCAAATTAGCCAATCCCAACTTAAGCGTCATCTTACGACAGTGAGCAATGGTTCTTGTCTTCCCTGAGCCCGCAGGGGCATGTTTACAACAGTAGTGCTTTTTACGAATAGAGGTTTCGGCTAATTGTAAATGCCTTTGATACTGACCCAGATTTTTAGACCAGTCGACCAGTTGACTGAAGTCCTCCATCTCCAGCGAAGACTTTTCAGACTGTAAACCAGTACCAGCAATAGAAGCCGCGTTACGAAACACGGTGCTTTGGCTGTTGTGGTACTTGGTTGAGGACCTACGGGGTTCATGAGGTTGGTTTAAAGATCGTCTACTTTGTTCGATTATAACGACTGTCTCCAAGTTTGTTGCCAACTACGGAAAGCAATCTGGCTTGTCCTCCAGATGTAAATAATACATCCTTTTGAAGTCTCGAATCGTTCCCATCTTGGAACTGCGTCGTCTGGAGGAGCCGAGGTAAGATCTCTCGTTTTTCTGTTTATCATCTTTGACCGATGTTGCACTTGAATCATGGTTGGTTTTACCTTGCAGACGCAGAAACGTCCATGCTAAATGGCGTCCAGGTCGTGGATCTATACTACGGACCCAGCAGTCAAGCGACTGGAGTACTTGATCATATCCAAAAACTCAATTGACAATCATAGGTGCCGATCGCCAGCGTTGATTGGTAGAATACTGGCATTTACGGTCATCAATGGCTGTTGGGTCGTTCTGTACATTCTAAGCAGCATCGCCGTAACTCGTACTTGCTTCAATAGAGGTGCATCAGATCGAAGCCGTTCTTTATTTCTCAGTGACTTTACCTTAACTTGGCGCAGTTTAACCTCTTCTTTTGTCGAAGCCTACGTTTTCTTTGACTACCAACCGATCACGGACGTGTAAGGTCTTCGTGCTTGGTAATTCAGCCTTCACCAACGTTGATGTTTGAGCATTGAGAGTTTATGGTCGCCACACACATTAACAACTTTGCCAAGCCGAACAGTGGCGCCTTTACGTTGATATTGGACAAGAACTGTAGGCTGGTCGACTAGTTGACGGAAGTTCTCTATCTCGGTATAGGCCCTTCTGGTTGTTGGTTGATACGAATGAGGCAAACTCCAAGTTCTTTTTGGATAAGAAGGCGTTGTACTTATAGCATTGAATTCTGATACGCCTTCTTACGCCACAGAAAAAGCAAGATGAGTTAGAAAACTTTTACGGGGCATTATTGCTAAACTGATCCTGGTTTTGAGGGTGATAAGGCAACAACGACGCCTTGATAAAAGATCCGAAAACTTGACCCGAACTTTGAGTGTCTTCAAGTTCAGCTCGGTGAAGTGTAGCCTCGATTGTGCGGGCCCTTTGTTTCATTTCATTGATATCTTTTAGACTTATCCACTGAAGTGGCGTTCAAATTAAGTCGCGCAATCTGAATAAAAAATCTTGCGTAATGCGATTCTTAATCTCAGTAAGTGAAGCAGCAGGCATTAATTTAGTGATAACTTATATTAATTTAGCGTTAAATTCATCTACAGCCTTAGGGTAGTTAAGAAGTCAGATCCACGGACAGCTATTTCGAGCTGTAGAAATTGCTTTTTTACGATTTTGATGGAGTCTTGAAACATTGAAGATATTGTTTTTTTGGCTATATGGTCATGTTTGGCCAACTTTTCACCAATTTGGGCTAAAATTGCGGACTGAAATCACGATTCTACAAAGCATGAAATATCAAAATATCAAGACTTCAAATCAGAAATTCACTCTTAAAACCTTAACCTTTGCCGACAATCGTTTACTGAACTGAAGAATTAGAATGGGCAACTATTGTTACCCAAGCAATCGATCAGAAACAATAGCATTACTTGCCTTTTCTATGGCCCACTTTCTTTCTTACATCTTCGACTGTCTTCTCTTCAAGAGGGTGCGGGGTCTCGCTGGAGTGTGGACGGAAACCTGGATGCGTGGGCTGATCTGTTGTCGTAATTATCAGGGTTTTAATCAACTGCCACGGTTGCTTTGATTTAATATAACTTGAAAAGAAATACCGTAATTATAGTATTCAACTAGCCATTGAGCTCAGTATGTGTTATACTGGGATTTAAAAGTCGTTTGTTTCAGCTTGCTTTTTAGGCAAAAAAATTAAAAATTGTTTTGAAAATGTTTGTAACGCTATTTAACTATTTGTTAATCTATTATCATATCCAGGGCTGGGCGAAACAAAAAAATTTTGGTTTCGCGAAACACGAAACGAAAGTAAATTATTTTCGCGCGAAACGAAACGAAATTACAAAAAGAATGTAATCTTTCCTATAAACCGAAATACTTGTTTCGAAAGACTTACATTATCGAGAATATTACGCTCTTTCTTTGCTGGTGCTCCGTCCGCTACAATTTCTTTCCATACGTCCGGGTGTTTCTGTATTAAATGGTGCCGGAAAGAGCTAGTTGAGGAATGATTTGTTGTGTTTCGCACTTTTGCCTTACATGTTATACAGACTCCTTCGTTAAAAAAGGGATTGTATTTCGGCATTTGTTCATGCCAAAATATGTTTAAAATTAAAATAAAAACAATTTCCAACAGTATAAAACAGAATGCCAAAAATTTTTAACATTTGTTGGTTTTCGGGTTGAGAAATATTTTTTTTTGTTTCGTTTCCGAAACAAAATTTGTTTCGCGAAACACGAAACGAAACGAAAGTGCCTCTTTCGCGCGAAACGAAACACGAAACGAAATTTTCGCCCAGCCCTGATCATATCATACTTTACATTAAAAATGTCAGTTTTATAGATGCACACAGAATTCAACTATCAAAGTGGGCCAGATATATTGTGGTTTCAAGGTGGTGCACCTTTAATAGAAGCCATTAACAAAACTGAAGAAGAAATTGTCGACATTTTGCAAAATGTGCATGCTGATACAAGTAAGTTGACTAAATCTTGGGTTCTATTGTAAGTTTTGCAAGTATACCTACAACAACATGAATCATATTGTTATTGATATAACTATGCCAGGCAAAGCTGTGAAAATCAAACATAGACACAATAGCTGTTAGACTGTTCATAAAATTTTTTGCCTCTTTTCAAAGCTAAGCTTCAGGGTTACAGGGCACAGATTTGAATACCTAATATGTTTTTGAACAACCTAATATTTAATATAAAACGTTTTTGAAACTTGAAAATATACGATTGACATTAAAAAGTATACTATGTACTGTTTATTTCAGCATTAACAACCATTCATATGTACATAGAAATAGCAATATCAGTAACCGCTCTTGTAGCCAACTCTTTTTTATTCATAATAATGATAAAACACAAACGACGATATGCTTCTTTAACAATGATACTAATGTTAGCCATGTGCGTCGACTTATTTATGGTAGCCATGACTTTTACGTGCCAGCCGGTTATTCATGTTATTTATGGTTATATGGTGTGTTACTGTACGAATTCATTGTTACCGAAAAATGTGGTTTTAAATTCAGCTATGATTTCACTAATGGGCACGGCTATCGCATCTACTGTGCTGTTCTTGCCAATTCAGTTTGCTTATCGATATCATTTTGTTGTTCAGTAAGTGATAATGAAGATTAGGTTAAAGGGGTGTTTTGACAGATACAGGGTTTTTTAGGGTTTAGGATTGGTATATAATAGGTCACAGTTGTATTATGGTTAAAACACGTTTTTTGTAAAGCTCGAGCCAGAGCCAATTGCATTGGCGACGTCAAACTTCAAACATTTTTTAAAAATCTGAAATTTTTATTATGAAGGTTTTAGACAATGCTGAGTACAAAAATACAACTTTTTTAATTTTTGCTTACTGTATTGTGGAGTACTGTAAGGTTACGGTAGAATTTATATCTTCATAACGAATAGTTGTAGAGACATGGCGTCTTCACTATCGTGTAGTACGACCACAATACAGTATTTCTTATGTTGAAGTCAAAGTTCCGTGTATAAATTTACCGTAGTAAAAATTCGTATCTTGTGTCGTAATTACAGTAACCCAAAAATAGTAAAAAAACGGCTCGAGATACCCCTTTTTTTTATTTTAGATTATTACTCTACATGTTATTGCGGTTCGAATGATATATAATTTTAAAAAAATTATTGTGACTTTTGGGGTCAAAGGTCAAGTTGAAGTTGGTTGACCCTATATGTATTTTAAAAAAAAATTTAAAACTAAGTAAAAACTAACTGGTGAAAGGTGCGCCAGTAAAAAAAACGGTTGCCCATATCTATAGGCGATTTTTTTCAAGTCTGTCCCTAACTTTTTCAGTTCTACCTGACCCTACCCCTGACGTTTTTGGCCCTATCCGACCCTACCCTTGACCTATTTGGCTCTACCCAAGTCCACCTCTGACCTTTTCAGTCCTACCTGACCCTACCCTTGACCTTTTTGGCCCTACCCGACCCTACCCTTCACTTCTTTGGCCTTACCTGATGCTACCCCTGACCCTTTTCGCCCTACCCAACCTCACCGCTGACCCTATTAGCCGTACCCAAACCTATCTCCGCCTTTTTGAGTCTACCCAATATTCAGTACCGTAGTCTATCCTACTTATTATGCTATACCATATCATATTATATCTTATGTTCTTTACTATTCTCTACCTTACCTACCATACCATACTCTATACTACATAATATATCGTACCCATCCTATCTGATATACCATACTCTACCATACCGTATTATATTATATCATATTATACCGTATGCTCCCTACTATACCATAACTTACCTACCTACTATACCATGCCATACCCTATTCTACCTACCACTTCATACTAGGGTCGGGTAGGACTGAAAAGGACAGGGGTGGACTTGGGTAGGGCCAAAAGTGTCAGGGGTAGGGTCACGTAGGGCCAAAAAGGTCAAGGGTAGGGTCAGGTATGGCCAAAAAGGTCAAGGGTAGGGTCAGGTAGGGCCAAAAAGGTGAGGGATAGGGTCAGGTAGGACTGAAAAGGTCAGAGGTGGACTTGGGTAGAGCCAAAAAGGTCACGGGTAGGGTCGGATAGGGCCAAAAACGTCAGGGGGTAGGGTCAGGTAGAACTGAAAAAGTCAGGGACGGATTTGAAAAAAAAATCGCCCATAGGTATGGGCAACCGTTTTTTTTTACTGGCGTACCTTTCACCAGTTAGTTTTTACTTAGTTTTAAATTTTTTTTTCAAAATACATATAGGGTCAACCAACTTCAGCTTGACCTTTGACCCCAAAAGTCACAATAATTTTTTAAAAATTATATATCATTCGAACCGCAATAACATGTAGAGTAATAACCTAAAATAAAAAAGAAGGGTATCTCGAACCGTTTTTTTATTGTTGTTGGGTTACTGTAATTAAGACACAAGATACGAAATTTTACTACGGTAAAGTGACAAAGTAAACTTGGAGTAATAATAAAAAATGCGTTTTAGTAACTCTACTACTTCACCGGTTAGTTTTTACTTAGTTATAAAATTTTTTTTCAAAATACATATAGGGTCGACCAACTTCAACTTGACCTTTGACCCCAAAAGTCACAATAATTTTTTAAAAATTATATATCATTCGAACCGCAATAACATGTAGAGTAATAATCTAAAATAAAAAAGAGGGGTATCTCAAACCGTTTTTTTACTATTTTTGGGTTACTGTAATTACGACACAAGATACGAATTTTTACTACGGTAAAATTATACACGGAACTTTGACTTCAACGTAAGAAGTACTGTATTGTGGTCGTACTACACGATAGTGAAGACGCCATGTCTCTACAACTATTCGTTATGGAGATATAAATTCTACCGTATCCTTACAGTACTCCACAATACAGTGACCAAAAATAAAAAAAGTTGTATTTTTGTACTCAGCATTGTCTAAAACCTTCATAATAAAAATTTCAGATTTTTAAAAAATGTTTGAAATTTGACGTCGCCAGTGGGATTACGATTTATAAAAAACGTGTTTTAAGGTAAAACTGAGACAAGGCAACAGTTTGATATGGCTAAAAATTTACCTTTAGCGGTCAGTCCCCTCCAATAACTCGTCAACTTCTCTATTTTTCTATGACGTTTATTGCGTTCTTAGCCCTCCTCTACAGTATGTTCGGCATGCACAATGTAAACCCTGAAGTTCAAACTTTAGCTCGAGTATTATTTTATGTTGTAAATTGGAAAACAGACCCAGATCAACCTTTTACTGGCGGCGGTTTGGGAGAGTTGAAAGCATGGTTATTTGCTTGTTTTAACACTTTAATGGCAATGACATCTTATACGATTGTGTTGATGATAGAGCTTCAAATCACTAAAAGTCTACAGACAATGCAAAAAGGCAGCTCATTAAGGAGGCATCACATTGAGATTAATAAAGCGCTTACTGCTTTGGTAAGGAAATGTTTTGCTACCCTTCCCTACCCTACCCTACCCTACCCTACCCTACCCTACCCTACCCTACTCTACCCTACTCTACCTTACCCTACCCTACCCTACCCTACCCTACTTTACCCTACCCTACCCTACCCTACCCTACCCTACCCTACCCTACCCTACCCTACCCTACCCTACTCTACCCGACCCTACCCTACCTTACCCTATCCTACCCTACTCTACCCTACCATACCATACTCTACTCTACCGTACCTTATCGTACCTTATTGTACTCTACCATACCGTACCTTACCCTACCATTACTAATTTTAGGCACTAGTACCCCTCTTCACAGCCTTGTTACCAATAATTGTCTACAACGTGGGAATGTTTTTCTGTGCAAATAGTGGACAATTTATGATTCATGCAACATTTACTTTGTCATTGGCTTCTATCATGAATCCAATTACAGCTATTGCCATGATCAAACCTTACCGACGAAGCTTTCTAGGCTTTTTCAGGTTTTATAAAGTTAAAGTGAACAATGACGTTATGGTACGATATACTACTACTAGCTTTAGTCCGCAATAAACTTTTTAATACCTAAAATAGAATTTTTAAAAATGTATGGATTATTTAATTTTAAAATTAAAATAAAAAGCGCTACCTTTATATAAATCCAAAAAATTTTTTTGTTTATTGCGAACTTTAATACGTACTATATTGTTACTACATGCTGTAATAAGATTACATCATATAACTGAGCCTTGTTTCGACAACGGAAATATTGTAAACAAAATTAACAACATAATGCACTTTTAACAAATAATATTATACCATACTTTATTACGTACTTAATAATCAAAAAATTGAACTTGTTTTCTTTATCGATAAACCCATGTCATTTTTAAAAAAAAACAAAAGATCAAAAACTGTTAACAGTTTAACAGATATTCAAAACAATAAAAATATCAAAGTATTTAAAACTGAACGTATACTGAATAGCATAGTAATGTCAGTCAATACGTAAAATGGTCTTTCACCAATATGATAAAGTTTCACCTGTACGATTACATGAACCAGGAATGTGTCTTTTTATTTTGTAAAGCTTGGCATGCTGCATTACTTGGACTGGATTGGATTAGTTTTTACGATCGTTACATTACCTTTGAATACCTTGCTTATATATGTGCTATATCAAGATGTTAAAAAGGCTAAGAAGAATACTTCATCTTTTTTTGAAATCTGCTTTGTCACGGCTGTTGTTGATGAATGTAAGTTGTTACTGAGTAAAGTTGGAAGTGCTTTGACAGTAAAATCTTTTTGTTAATGAAAAAATGTAAAATATGACTTGTATTCATAGAAATTTAAAAAATTTTATAATTTTAAAAGCTTAACTTCAAATTGTCACTTTTTAAATTAAATTATAGTAAGCCTATTAGTCATGTACACATTGTATCAACCTCCAAAGTGGGGAATATACTTATCATTCTATGAAGCTCATGACCAGCTGATTATGTACACAAGTTTTTACACTTCATGGGCATTAGGCCCGTACCAATGTTTGTTAACAACAATGTTGGCTGTCAATCGATATACGGTGCTTTTGGATGAGGCGCGGTATAGAAAGGTATTATTTGTAAAAACAAAGCGTAACCATTCGAAAAATCCACCAAAATATTTATTTTAGATTTTTAACGATGGTCGTGTATGGCACTGGATGGGAGGGTTGTTTTGTTGTACCTCTTCATTTGCCTGCCTTGTATTCATTAGTCCAGCAGTTTATGAGCTGAATGATCTTGGTGGTAAAACTCAAAAACTTACTAGGTAAAATAATTTTATAAAAATTAAATTTTTTTTGCTTAAGAAGTTAGTAGAACTTCAAAAAAATTTTAAACGCTAAAAAATTATTTTACCATCTTTAATTTAACTACTACAATATTTTTTTCAATTTTGCCTAACGTTTCAATGACAAAAAAAGTTTTTTAGAAACATAATGCTGGGTGGTATGTTCCTATTCACCGGCACTATTATGTTTTGTTGTTGCATAGCCATTTGTATTATGTATTACAAGATATTCAAAGAGTTACATTCCGCTACCTTGTTTCGATCAGAACAACGCGGTATTCAAAGAAAACGAGAAGTAAATTTGTTGGCTATGTCCGCTATAGTATGCTTTATTTTGCTGTTGTCTACGTGTTACATTGTATCTAAATCGTTGTTTGGATTCGATCATGGAGCTACCATGTACAATTTAGTTAAGTAAGTCATTTGAGAAAATTTTAATGTAGAGTTAAGCAGAGCTGGCCTGGTTTGGGGTGAGTTGGTCTATGCTGGTCTGGTCTGGGTTAGGCATATCTGTATTAGTCTAGATTTGTTTTTTCTGGGTTTGCCTTACTAGTGTTGGGCTAGCTAATCTGGGTTGATTGGGCTGGTTGGGTTAGGTTTGACTAGGCTAGTTTGACCTGGGGTTGGATCGAACTAAGCTAGATTAGGGTGGACTACGCTAGGCTAAGTTAAGTTGGGGTGGACTAGGCTAGGCTGTGATAGACTGGCTAGTCCGGGGTTTGCCGGACAAAGCTTAAGTGAAATGAGCTGGGCTAGACTAGGGTTGAGCTACAGTAAATAGGCTTGGGTTGAGCTAGGATAAGGCTAATCTAATATTATGGCTATTGTATTTCATAAGGTAAAATTTTTTATCAGCACATTTTTTCAAAAGTTAATTACAGTACCTTATGCAGTGGAGTGAACCCTTATTTGCTACTATCCTTTAGCGACAAGATACGACAACATTTCATAAAAATATTACAATGTAAAGTTGTTCATAAGAGTTGCCAATGTTTCAAGTGGAAAATCGAAACTCGACCAGCTACGCCAACTATCAACCGGTCAGCTGGCTTTAGCCATAGCTGATTTTGTTGTTATTTGTACAGTAACATGCACAGTAAGACGACTATTGCAACATGCATGTATGCAGTATAAAACAAAAGAATATCATTTCGTATTTTACATCACAATACATATTATCATATATTAATTACAGCATAATATAATAAATCTAACATAAATTCAGAAATAAACTTTAATCAATGTCAATGTTATCAGTATAGTTCTCTTCGTTTAAGATAACTCAATTGACGTCATGAATGATAAGCTTACTAACAAGGAATGATTTTAGAATTTATTTACTATTTTTAAACATATTTTACATTCCTAGAGTGGGACCATGTTAAATATTGCGTTTTATTCGATTTCCTGAATCGTGGGAACGTTGAGGCTACGTTTAGGTTTTACGTTGACTTCTGAAAAACGACTTCGATTTAAAAAAATAAAAAGACAGAAATAAAGGTCAAGGTATAGTTCAAATAATGACATAGTTAAACTGAACTTTTTAAATCCTAAATTTGATTTTTTATAAAAAGTGATATTAGGTTTAACTCTAAAATAATCCCTTAAAGCCGGCTTTAGCTCGGTTTTAGCATGGCTTTAGCCTAGCCTCAGCCGGCCTAAGCCCGGTCTCATTGCGGCCTCGGCGTGCTTTCATCCCAGACTCTGCTCGCCCTTAACTCTGCCTTCGTCCGTTTTCAGCGTGGTTTCAACTAAGCCTCAACCTGACTCCAACCAGACCTCTTCTATGCCACAGCCGGGTCTGGTGTAAATTCCTTCATTCCTTTTGAAGATGCTTTAAAAATATGTTTTAGTCATCAAAAATTATAAAAATATAAAATAGTCTTTAGCACAAGTTCAATTTTTGTGTTAATCTTTGTCAGTGTTATCAGTATGTTCATCTTGCGATAACTGAACGTTTGGATCTTTGCTTTTTTATTCTTTTCTTTTTGATTGATGTAGTTTCTACTAAAAGGGCTTTTATAGCCATATATTTAGTTTAGTTGTTTTTTCTTACAACAGCTTTCGAAAAATTTTAAAAATGTAAAATGAAATTTTGGCGTCAATGTATAATACATGCATTTGCTTGTTCAGAAGCAAAATGACTTTATTTACACCAATATTTAGTTTTAAAAAATTATCTTTGAGTAATTAGAGTTCAACCTAAAATATGCTTTACACTTTTTTCAAATCAAATATGTCGTTGCTAACTCAAAAAACAAAGCTAGGCTCTTGAGGACTGCACTTAGGCCCTGTCTTAGGCCTGAACAATCCAGTCCGGCTTTTTCAAATTGAGGTTTTCTAGTCTGTTCTCTTAGCTAAGGACCCTTTTCAAATCAACTTTTATAATTATTTATATCACCTATACTTTAAATTTTCTTTGACTAAAACATAAGAATACTTGAAGAAACTTTTTTTTTGCAAATTCCAATATTTCCCCGAAGAATAAAGAAAAAATACGAAATTCTATCGCCTTAAGCACAAAAAGTGTTTCCAGACATTCGGCAGTACTCTCGAGGGACTTTTAAGCACAACTTTATATACTCTCGACTCTAAAGTTGTAGAAACGGTTACAATCAACTTTTCTGAAATATTAGAATAGATATTTCGGTTTGGCCAGTTTTAAAATGGTATGTATCAGTTAAGCTTGTGTTTTTATTTAAAAATATGGTTTAAGTTTGTTAAAATAATATAATTCTAAAGTTCTTCATATTTCCAGCCCAGACCAATTTGCTTAGGCCATTTATCATTTATCTTTTCCTTCACGTGACGTTCAAGATCTTGCCCATTACTCATATCTTATTTGTTTTTTGCCTCGATCCGTGTGAAGTATGGGCCTTTCAGTTATTTATGACGGTAATTTGCTACAGATTCGTATTTTTCACAATAAACAGGCGTAGCACATTTAAAAATACGGCTTTGAATTTTTATGAAATGCATTAAAAAATGTCTTGAAACTAGACCGTAAAGGGAGTATACTAAGCGCAAACTGAAGTTACTTTGAAAACCAGCCTTAAACCGGCCGAAAAGTTTATGAGTCCAGCCCCTTTACAGGTCTACTTAAAATAGCAAAATAATTTTTGGCAAGCCTTAACCCCTAGTAAAGAGCCCTAGCCCGGAGCCCTAGCCCACAGCCCTAGCTCAGAGTCCTAGCCCAGAGCCCTAGTCCAGAGCCCTAGCCCAGAGCCCTAGCCCAGAGCCCTAGCCCAAAACCCTAGCTCAGAGCTATAGTCCTAACCTTGCATTATCTCTGACTTCTCTTGTAAGTAGCTTTGAAACGTTTAAACTAAAATTTTTAATTTCAGCCATTTTCTTCACATTTTGACCACTCAATTTCAAAACCTTGCTACACTTTTTTGTCTGTGCCAATTCAAAAACTGCAAAATTCAAAAGCCATTGTGTGAAACGCCAATAAAAGGAATTTCGTTATGTTTCACGTCATTTTTGACACAATTTTCGGATGACATGCAATTCGCTTATATTTTCTTGCATTTTTAACCAGTTTCGCACGGTTTTGCGAAGGATTTTTTGCATCAGAATTGTTTGTTCGGTTTTGAATTTTAGGCTTAAAACAAAAGATTAAAAAGTAACCGAGCTGTAACTTGATATGTGATTGATGAAGTCGAGTTTGTCTTTGTAAATTTGATTTTTGTTTCATTGAAATTTTTTAATTGAAAAAAAGGTACAATTTTACTGTAGAAGTA